TTTGTCGTGATTTCGAACATCGAAATTCTGGTCTTTCGGGATTTTGGCTGTCGGGTCTTGGCGTGAAAGATCCTAGCGTTTTTCGACCACTGTAGCGGGCTCTAAAGGGACAATGACACCAAGAATCGAACGTTTGCTACACTATGAAAAGTTACTTTGAAGTTTTTTGCTTCAAAATCTCTTTAAAGGTTGAACTTACATGCGGAACGATCCGGAATTCAATATCATCGGGAAGGGAGCAGAGTTCATGCGTTGGCGGAAGATTGTAACTATAGAAATATTGCGTAATCAAGAGCTTTCGGTTGTTTAGTAGTCATACGCAAAGTATTTGCTTTATCCTTACTTCTCGTACACCAACTTCTTCATCGCCGTCTTCGCATCGTCCTCCACGTCCGAATTGAGCATCGACGTGCAGTAGTAGCATTTCACGGCCACGGCAGCTTCGATCAACCCGAGCAGCAGCCATATGTGCCGCCAGGGCGTTGTCCGCATCGACCACTAAAGCATGTTTTTTTCCAAATTTTCGAATGTGATGGTTTTCTAACCTACCTCAACGCCGCCACCGCATTCGAAGGAGGTTGTGTACAATCTTGGAGCACCTAGATGAAGTTGAAACTCAGAATGGAGTGGCAGTATTTGGGAAAAAACAGCTGTAATAATTTGGGGGAGTCGATTGCGGGGCCGTGAGCGCTAATTATACGCCTGGGAATTGCGGCAAAATGGGTGAAGAAAAAGATATTTGTTGCGAAAGATAGAAAGAAAGAAATTTGTTGGTAAAAAATCCAGCGAGAGATAGAGAGAGTAAGAACGAGAGGGAGAGAGAGCGAGAGAGAGAGAGCGAGTGAGAGAAAGAAAGACAGAGAGCAAGAGATAGAGAACGAGAGAGAAAGAGCGGAGAGAGCGATTGAGAGAGAGGGCGAGAGAGTGAGAGAGGAAAGCGAGTGATAGATGCAGATAGGAGGAGAGAATGTGAGAGAGAGCAAGCGAGGGAGAGAGAGAGAAGGAAAGAGAGAACGAGAGAAGGTGAAAGAGTGCGCACAATACATAATTAACACGAAAGACTGATTCCAAGGCCTGAAAAAGCTAATCATAGCATTTTCCGAAAAAAATTAACTTTTTAGTTTCCGAATTTCTCAAGAATTTCGCTGGCGAGCTACGATATAAGGTCACGAAATTCCCAGCACGCACACCGAGAAGCTCAACGAATTTTTGAGTAGTAGAGGAGTGAGGGACCCACGAAAAGTGTTTTGGGGGGTTGTGGTGGTTGGCCCGGGTGTCCCGGCAACCGACCCCCGAAATTGGACGCCTTTTCAGGGCGGATGGGGGGGGGGGGTGTGCACCGCTTGACCCCGGGGCTGGTTGAAATATGGGGGAAAAGCATCATATGGCTCCTCCGAAATAACCGAGTTTTCAGACGTAAGCAAAGTGTTAGAGCGGGATGCATCTTAAAACCCTACAAAAATGTCCAAAAAAGCCAGAGGTTAGAAAGAGCTCTCATCCAAAAAATCCAAATATTCTGACTGGCAAGCCCCTTTAAAACGAGACCTAAACAGGGAACACTGAAACATATGGTCCCAATATATAGGCCCCCGTTCCAGGTTAAGTGGGTTTAATGGGGCCTTTGGAATGGGTGCGTGGCACCATTTCCTGCTCTCTCTCTCTCTCTCTCTCTCTCTCTCTGCTGCCTAATTGCTAATCGTAGAGCCGTATGGGGATTTGCCCCTAGGCACCTGATTGCCCCCGCACAACATTGCCCTGACAGAGAGTGAACATTGGAACGGGTCAAATTTCTGTGAATGTTGACACTTGGGCAGACAATGGAAAATAGAGGAATTTAGAGCAAAGGGAGGTAAAATAAAAGAAATTGGAAGAACAGGGTGCCAGAGACAGATAGAGAGAGAGAGAGCGAGCGAGAAAGAGAGAGAGAGAGCGAGAGAGAGAGAGAGGGAGAGACAGAGAGTGGGAGTGAGAGAAGGATTGGCCAAAACGCGCTAAAAAAACCCGTCAGAATGAGCGGAACGGTTTTTGGAAGGCGTAAATAGGGTTGTTTCGTAGTTTTGGCCTTTGGCAATCGTTGCGCGCCCCAGAAGTGTATTTGCTAAAATCCAAAGCTCCAATTCCATCGTCTCAACCCCCAAATCCAAACCGGAAACGCGCGCCTCTCTTTGCATCCGGCTATTTGGTTATCGTAAGAAATTCCGAAGCCGATAATCCGAGACTTTTTCACTACCCTACCCATCGTCATGGAACAGCCGTGGTACCACGAGGTGAGAAGTGCAAGAATTTGTGGATTTCCGGTTTCAGGAGTCGTACCACTACTACGGTCGTCCTCCGGCCGGGGCATCTGATCGAAAGGTAGCTTCGGAAACCTGTTATCCTGGGTCCAATCATTCCTTCAGACCGTCCCTTCCAAAAAATCCGGCAAGTCGGTGGCCACGAAATCGGGCAACGGCAGCGGAAGCGGAAATTCGGGGAAGCTGGCGGATACGCAGGTCGAGGCGAAGAGCGACAAGAAGAAGGAGGTGGCGAAAAAGAAGGAGAAAGAGAAAGAGAAGGAGAGGGACAAAAAGCAGACGGTAATATTCTCCCAAAAAATCCCTGCTAGACGGCCCATTTTAGGACAGCTCGCGGAAGCGGAGCAAAGACGACCCGACGACCAAGCTGGTGGCTAGCGCCTACTTTTTGGAGTGGCAGGTGTGTCGGGAATATGTTCTCTCTCTTGCTGTCTCTCTCGCTCTCTCGAACTCCTTCAATTCCAGCAAACCTCATTCCAATCCTATGTCCGGAAGATCAACGACCTGTTCCTGAAGCCCCTGGTGAAGCACGTGACGGGGAATCGGCTGCAAGATGGTCGGCAATTTGCATAGGCTTTCTTAATTGCTTAGATGCTAATTAGGGGTCCTGATTACACTTTCAAGGTACCAAGAAACGCCAGAATCGACGGCTTCTGTTGACTAGGTCTCGGCATCCCCCGTGACAGCCTCAAAAACGCGTTTTGACGTGTACTTCCTACTTTTAAGGAAGTCATCGAAAAACCGAAAAGCACAATTTTGTCAAACGGGGTTTTCTAGGCCTAGTCGAGGGAAAAGGCCAATTTTGCCATTCATTGGTCCCCTTAAAAACCAACTCTTGCTCGCTCCAGATGGCACGATCGACTACTCGTGCAAGGAGCGCGAGAGGCTGAAGGCCGGACCCCAGGAGGAGGAGCAGTCGGATCAGCACCAGCTTCGCATGCGGCTCAAGGGTATAGCTGGTACCCTTGGTTCTTCAGCTGATTTTAAGAGGCTACGATGCGCAACTGGGACAACGATGGGTTGCACTCGAGGTAGATACGCAGAAATTTAAAAAAAACATTTTTGCAGTGCTGGTGAGCAGATGACGACACTGGGCGAGATGGCGGTGATGCATCGGCTGCGCAGTCTTGTACAGGTGAGGGCAGAGAGAGAGAAGCGCTACATCCTGAAAACTTCAGATCAGCGGCCAGTTGCTGACCATCGAGGCCAGGCTGAACAAGTGGCTGGAGAAGCACATTGGCGTAAGTTTCTTTTTGCTACTGTTCATACCACCCACCGTAACTCCATTTTCTTCTAGACCATCGCCCCGCACGCGGCCTCGCTGAGCCTGCTGCCCTACGCCTCGTACGCCTTCGAGGCCACGTCGGCCCTCAGCGAGATCTTCCACCTGCGCCCCATCGACAGGGCCAAGTGCAGGGTGGGTCGAATACGGTCCTCCAGTAGATGACCATGTTCTCTAGCCGGAATTTGCCGCCCTGCTCCGCCAGGTGACGCTGAAATCGACGACGTTGGACGTTGGGCTGGAAGTGGGTGGTACTCTCTCTCACTCTCTCTCTCGCTCTCTCTCTCTCTCTCTCTCGCTCTCTCTCGCTCTCTCTCCTCTCTCTCCAAACGCACTCCTTTCAGATCCCCACCAAGGGTACGGCCTATGTGCGTGAGCTGGAGGCTCAGATTAATGGATATCGGTACGCAAAATCTGGCAGTATAGCAGAGAACTTTTAGGAATTTAGTTTTTTCTCTATAAACGGACAAACTAGCAGTGATCATTGAGGAATTTTACATTCCTTTCCAGGGCTTGCGTGTACGTGATCGGCTCGTGCTTGACGGCCTCCATCCACTCGCTGTTCAAGGTATCCACCCTGCCCACTATGAATGCTCCCCTAGGTGGTCCCACACGAGCGTCTCGAGGTGCGCCCTCGTGAGGTGGAGGACACGCTGCTGCTGCTCCCGAATCCGTTCCTCGACCCGGCCCCGCTCCCCGCCCTCAGCGCGTACACCCTCGACCTGCTCAACGACGCGCCCCCGTCCAATCGGAAGTGGCCAAAGTTGCCGAAGGGGACTGAGGTACGAGAAAACACGTCAGATGTGAGGTAATTTTCAGATGAGCTCGGGCCGTCGTGAGCCGGAGCCCCAGTCGGACACGTCGGTCGAGGAGGGAGAGACCGAGAGGACCGAGAAGTTTGTTTTTCAAAAAAATGGATAAAAGGTCAATAGCCGAACACTGCATAAATCTGCATATTATCGTACTAAACGATTCAGCGATAATACCCTCGATTTCAGCCACCCCGAGCCGAGCAACCGCGAACCGCAGGGAGCGGCGGCCGAGGCGGTTACCCCGGAGGCCGGAAGCGCCTCGTCGAAACGGGCCCCCAAAGAGTAGGCAGCTTGGGTTCTTTCGCATTATCGGGGGGGACAATTGTTTTTTATTAATCTAGAAAGGCCTAGTAACTTAATAGGAAGTATTTTTATAACGTTCTTAGTAAAATCAAACTCTATTTTACCTAGAAAAACTATCAAAAACCTCGGAAAGATTTTTCAAAAAGGTCTAAATTTTTCTTAAAAAATCGCTAAGACGATAATCGCCATTTTTTGTATTTTTTTTATTAAGATTCCACAAGGTCTTTACGTTTAGGATAGTAAAAAACAGTCTAAAAAACACCACCGCCATTTATATTTAAAAAAATGATTTTCAAGAAAACATTTTATTTCACCTGCCCCCCACGCCCGATAGTGCGAAAGGACGCAATTTTCTCTGAAAAAAAGTATCTGATCTAAGGCTCCTGGAGTTGCGTGCGCGCTGCGGCTATGTGCCCTAACGACCGCGATGCGACCGCGACACCTGAAACTCTCTCACCATTATTTCAGACCGACCCCAGCCGTCCCCTCGGCCACCACCGCCCCGAAAAAGGCCCAAAATCAGGTTTCATCTCTTTTTTCGAGAAAAAATCTTTCTTTTTAGCGCCCCGCCAAACGCTCGACGGGCGACAAGCTGAAGGACAAGCTGAAGCTGATCCGGCTGAAACATTAGACCAATCCCGTTAACGCATTAATGATACGGTCTTGCCATTGCCATTGCTATTGTCAATTGTTGGATACGATTCGGGTGAATAAAGCATTTAAATTATTATTGCTGATTCATTTAATAGATTTAATTTATTCTAGAGGAATGGATTTCAATCGGGGAAAGACGAATCAGACACGACTTTGCAGGGTTGTATGCGAATTCCATGCCGATTCCGACGAATTTTGGATTAGCGGCCCGACTTCTGAAAAAAAATCGTTTTTTGTGCTTGTGAATATCTAATTGTAGTGAGAGCTTAAAATATAGTCTAAAAGCCAATAAAAATGAATGATAGCCTGACGAAGGAAATAAAAAAATGGAAACCCTGAAAAACATTAAACTTATGACAAAAACTGCGAAAGAAATACAGAGAAAGGAAGCCTTGGAAACCCTTAACTTACGATTAATTAATTACAATCATACGGAATTTAAAATAGAGAGAAGGTACAATTTTCTTTAATCAGCTTTGAAATGTTTTTCCTGGTTCCACACTAATTCCCGCAATTTTTAAGGTTAAATCCCCACTTTGTATGGTCGTCTGCGAACTCCAGGCCGTCGGCGTCCGTTGACTCTGCAAGAAGCTCTGCCTCTGAAATTCGTAAAATAGATATTGGTTAAACCAGAGCAAAAATCCTGAAAGTGCTCACATCTTTCTCCTCCCCATTCGACCACGCATGTAAATCGACGAAAGCGACGTAGATCCATGCCCCCACATATCCACCTATCAACGGACCGACCACCGGCACCCACCAGTAGTAATTGCCGTTGCTGGAAAAAACAACAAATGAAGAACTGCCAAAACTCTAGTTCAAATATTCTCTGCTTAACCGCCGGCCAAGAACGCCAAAAACCTCCTCAAAGGTTTCTGCTAGCTTGCCTTGTCAAATATTCAACAGGACTTACGTCCACACATCCTTCCCGTAAACGATAAACAAAAATAACCGGGCCCCTAGGTCCCTCGCTGCGTGGATTGGGTATGCGTCGTTTTGGGCAAACGATAACCCAATCGTTAGCACCTAAATTTTGGAATTCCTACCCGGAGCCTCGCTTTCGTACCGTTAATCCTCCAAAAATCGGATGTAAGCACTTTGGAATCCCATTCCTCGGGTCGAGCATTGAGGACATGGTGCAGCAGAGGATGGCTGTGCCTACGATCTGAAAATAGTTTTAGGCTGGCAAGCTAGCAGTGATCAGATTGGAAACCGGCAGCTAACTAGCAAAGCTTATACAGGAAAAGAAAAGAGATGTGCAGATTTCCATTTTGGAGCGTCAGAAGACCTAATTTCAACGACGTATAAAGCAGGACTACGAATTTTTGACTACGGATTCTGTTTGGCTATTGAGCCGCGTTGCGTGTCGTGCGTGTGAAAAAAGCTATACCGAATCCATAGTCAAGCTATACCCCCCATCCCTCCCGCGGCGACTAGGTATTGACAAAAGCGCGCTGGGAAGAATATTCCAGATGATTGTCGTTAACTAGTTGTCGATACCTAGCGATAGCAGGGGCCGCCTTTTTTTCCTTCTTGGCCCCTTTAAATCACAAATTTAACCGCCCACCTGGTCGAAAAGACAGGCCAACTTCGAGGCATACACGGCCTGGCAGGACACGAAAAAACACAGGGTCGCATTTGGGCCCTCAGTCGTTCTGGTACCACCATCATAGTGGTTAAGGGTTTCTAAAAAATGAACTTCTCCCGTAATCTTTTGGAAAAATATAACTGCTGAAAAAGGGATTATTTCAGAAAGTGCTTCATGAAAAAGCGATTTGCCAAAACGCAATTTTCGAAAAATGGTTTGAAAATGCGTTTGAAAACCCTACCCAAATAATCAAGATAAGCAGTCGCAGTACCGACAAATGCCCCGAATACCTGGAAACAACCTGATAACTCCTTGAAAAGCTTGTGCTAACCTGTATCGGGATGTAGACGATCACTTGCCGGGCCGTCAACCGCCCAAGAGACCAAAGTACAAGGGAAACGGACGGGTTCGTTTGGCCACCTGGAGGTGTTTAAAGAGTCTGCAAAACCCTTCTTACCTGACACTCCAATGCCTAACATTGTCGAGAAGAACACGGCCATGCCCCAACAGAGATTTAGGGTCAAGAAATTGCCCTCAACCCCTTTGACAGCTTTGATCTGGACGGTTGTGCCGATGCCGATTAGCTGGAAATTGGGTTTTTAGGATTCTGCAGACTTTGAATTATGCCGAAATTCAAATTCCGCCATAATACCGACAGTTCCACAGAATTGCCTAGAATTCGACAAAATTGATAATCGTCAGGTAGGATTTGGCCATCAATTTTGGTGTTGAGATTGCGTGTTGTGTCCGGATTTTAATCCGGATTATGGATTTTGAAATCTTACCTGTCGGGATTTCGGTTGTAATCGGGATTTTCGATGTCGCATTTTATGGCTAGCGGATTCTGCTTGTCGGGTTTGCCAGTCTCAACCCCTCAAGCTCTCTCTCTCTCTCTCTCTCTCTCTCTCTCTCTCTCTCTCTCTCTCTCTCTCTCTCTCTATATATATATATATATATATATATCTATCTATCTATCTCTCGTTCCCTCGCTCTCCATCTCTCGCTCTCTCTCTTTTAAGTAGAATTTTGACTCCAAAAATCAATGCTCCGTGGCGGAACACCTACAGTAACCCGATCCCCGGTCCCTTATAAATTATTATATGCAGCCAGATTCCGGCAACTACAATGGCAGACTGGAAATGACGATTTAGAACGTCTAAACTCTCCAGAATTTTCTAACAATGAATTACCAATACCACTTTGTAGAAAGCGGTTAACCCCAATACGGTAAAATGAAAATGGAACGATAGGAGCACATTTTTAATTTTGAAGATAAGAAAGCCTACCAAGAACAGAAAGGAGCACAAAAACTCGGTGAGACACTCCCGGGCCAGCCGATTCCGGATCCGCAACACATCCGGAAAGAAGCGCGAGCTCCGGAACGCGAACCCCTCCTCAGCATTTCGCTGCTCGACCTCCATCTCTCGTGCACCAACCGACGGCCGAGCTCGGACGTCTTTTATGCATTCACTGCCAGAAAGTACGGTATAAGGGCTGCAATTTAGCAGGTCAGTTAGGGTATTAGGATGCGGGACACAAATCAAAAAGGTGTATGTTGGAGAGAGTGTGAGAGAGAGAAAGAGAGAGAGAGAGAAAGGGAGAGAGAGCGAGAGCGAAGGAGATATAGAGATAGAAACAGAGAGAGAGAGAGAGAGAGAGAGAGAGGGGGAGGATAGAAAGAGAGTGAGAAAGAGAGAGAGGGGAGAGAGAGCGCAAACGGGATATAGAGATAGAGAGAGAGAGAGAGAGAGAGAGAGAAAGAGAGAGAGACAATACCCAGAAACACATTTCGCGACGGTTTCAATTGCGTCGGTAAGAACAACGACAAACCGTATATTGCGCCAAACTTTGAAGCCAAACCCCAAAAACCCAATCCGAACATCAAAACTGCAACCGGAACACGTGCATCACCTCCACCTCAATCCCAAAATCATAAATCGGAACCACCGGGTGAGAGGGTGGCGGTGGGTGGGAAATCGAATGCTTTATATTCTCATGTTTCTCCGCAGGGCCAGACCCCCCTCCCCCTCCCCACCTCGATTATTTGGGTATGCCGTTGATTAGCCCAAACCCTGCTGCCGGGCCAGACCGAGTGAGCGACCGACCAAAAAGATGCAGTAGCAAAAAAGATGTGGCGCGCCAGTAGTTTGGTGTCAATCGGGATAATCGTCGGCAAATAAAATTTTCGTTCTTTGGCATTATCGGGGGAGGTGATTCCTTGATAGTATAATTTTTCCAAATCAATCTGAAGTGCTTTATGCTGTTTTAAAAATTGCGCAAAAATTTTACAGATTTTGATTAAAAATAAAAGATATTGATTTTTCATCAAAAGTGCCCATTTCGAAAAAATGTCGAATTTTAAAATTTACAAATAGTTTCTTAGAGAGTTTATCCACTATAAATATAGTCGTCCAATTTTATTAAAACGTTATTATTTACAGAATTCTATAAGACATCTGCCGTTTTTTATTTTTTTTAAACGGATAGGATCGCCGGCTAACAAAAATTTAGAATTTCTTGAACCGAATTTGCAAAAAATCCAAAAGTATTATTTTGAATCCATTAAGCCAATTGTTAAAAGTGCATTAAACGAATTTCATTAAATTTAAATACCATTTTTATTTTCAAGGGAAAACCAATCCCACAAAAATTGCAAAGCGATGTTCGCTACTTTCACGTCTGCACATTTCGCACAAAAATTCAGCCCCAAAAATCCCGCGCGCCAAATTGGTGAGGGACCCAATTTGAACACCGACATCAAAAAGTTAGGCTCTGAATGGGAGTTGCTTCTTGATTTCTTGGTTATTTTGGGGTAATTGGCTTTATTGGAAGGGCTTGTGAACAGGAAGTGGAGTGAGGGTGAAGCCGTCGATTTTTGGTCGTGCATCGGTGGGAGCGATCTAAAATTTTCTGAATTCAAAGGATTAGGGAGCGCAAAATTAACCCCAGTTTTTGACTAGGTCTAGACAGCCACGTGACACGTTTCTATCGATAACTAGGCGACCTTGGCGCTTCCCAGCGCTTTTTCTACGGATTTTTGGTGACCGCGGGCCCACACCGATCGCTCGGTCATGGGCACGAAACGATACGCAAGTAGGAATACGAAAAACGCGATAAGTAACTCGGTACGTAGCTCTACATTTTCGGCGTTGCGTGTCGCGGGTGAAAAACATTCCTAATGAGTCATGCCGTATCCGTTAACAAATTTAAAAAATGCCTCGCCGGGCCCTTTAAAGGATTCGGCAAATTCCTCGACTTCGGCTGGTAATCTAGCCAAGTGGCCGCCTATCCATTCGGCAAGCTAGCAAATACCTCTAAGGATTCTTAAATTTACCTTTCTATCCCTCTCCTCTCGATTTGACGAGCTATGAATATCAATAAATATCAGATAGACGAATCCGCCAACAAAGCCGCCAATTAACGGGCCGACGATTGGCACCCACCACCAGTGATTGTAGGCCCTGGAGGTGGCTTTAAAGGGATAGCGACACCTACGTAAAAGCTGCCTGACCGTAGATAATAGCAGCAAAGGCCCGAGCGCCGAGGTCTCGGGCCGGGTTAATGGGGTAGCTGTCATTTTTGGCAAACGTCATCCCGATTAGCATCACCTTAACAGTAAGGTGCGATAAAGCCCTACTTCCTAAAGATTCTCTGCTCGCTTAGCGTCTTATCCAGACGCTTTTGAACCCCCGTTTTCTTCACTGACCACTGGTAGCTAGGCTGAACATTACTAATTCCTAATTTTCCGTTTTTTCTGGCTTTCATAGAACCTTGCTTTCCTCAATGATCTCTGCTAGCTGGCCTTGGCGGAAAAATCTAAGATGAACCATGCTGGCTTTTGGCAACCACCTTATATACCCACTCACCGACAATCCTCCGAATATCGGATGCAACCACTTATTGACCCCATTTCGCTTGTCCAACATTGCGGCCATAGTAGCTGTTAAGACACCAGTGCCAATAATCTAAAAAACACTTTAGTTTTAAAAAACTACGAATTCTAAGGTACCTGATCAAAAATGCCGGTCATATAACTTGTATACGACGCCGGACAGGTCACTAGGAAGCATAAGCTTCCCGTATCGCCTTCAGCTACTCGTTGGCCACCGTCGAAATCGTTTAGGGCCTCTGGAAAATTTGGAGTCCCAAAAAACTATGCTAAAAATCGTTAGAAAGTTATGAAAATTACCGATATAGTTCAGGTATGCACAAGCTGTCCCGGCAAAGGCGCCGATTGTCTAAAAAACTGAAATTAGAAATTAGAAATATGAAAAAGAAACTTAATTACTTAAATTAGATACACCAGACAAGCCCATCCATTGACTACGATTAAATTATGCCGTATTCATCCCTTTAAAGGGCTGCCGACGGCATGTGTCGATCCCCCCCCCGCCCATCAACAAATTGGCAAGAACCCAACAGGGCAGAGAGCGCGCCCTGGGGAGAGGCGCAGAGACATTTTCTTTCCAGCGCGTAATCGATTAACTATGCCGTCGGCATCCCTTTAAGTCTAGGCGGAGCCTCAGCCCCAGCCTAATTGTAAGCCTAAGCCCAAGCCTAAGCCAAAGGTCTAATCCTAAGCCTAAGGCTCGGTCTAAGCCTAAGCCTAAGCCTAAGCCTAAGCCTAAGCCTAAGCCTAAGCCTAAGCCTAAGCCTAAGCCTAAGCCTAAGCCTAAGCCTAAGCCTAAGCCTAAGCCTAAGCCTAAGCCTAAGCCTAAGCCTAAGCCTCAGCCTAAGCCTAAGCCTAAGCCTAAGCCTAAGCCTAAGCCTAAGCCTAAGCCTAAGCCTAAGCCTCAGCCTAAGCCTAAGCCTCAGCCCCAGCCTAATTGTAAGCCTAAGCCCAAGCCTAAGCCAAAGGTCTAATCCTAAGCCTAAGGCTCGGTCTAAGCCTAAGCCTAAGCCTAAGCCTAAGCCTAAGCCAAAGGTCTAATCCTAAGCCTAAGGCTCGGTCTAAGCCTAAGCCTAAGCCTAAGCCTAAGCCTAAGCCTAAGCCTAAGCCTAAGCCTAAGCCTAAGCCTAAGCCTAAGCCTAAGCCTAAGCCTAAGCCTAAGCCTAAGCCTAAGCCTAAGCCTAAGCCTAAGCCTAAGCCTAAGCCTAAGCCTCAGCCTAAGCCTAAGCCTAAGCCTAAGCCTAAGCCTAAGCCTAAGCCTAAGCCTAAGCCTAAGCCTCAGCCTAAGCCTAAGCCTCAGCCCCAGCCTAATTGTAAGCCTAAGCCCAAGCCTAAGCCAAAGGTCTAATCCTAAGCCTAAGGCTCGGTCTAAGCCTAAGCCTAAGCCTAAGCCTAAGCCTAAGCCAAAGGTCTAATCCTAAGCCTAAGGCTCGGTCTAAGCCTAAGCCTAAGCCTAAGCCTAAGCCTAAGCCTAAGCCTAAGCCTAAGCCTAAGCCTAAGCCTAAGCCTAAGCCTAAGCCTCAGCCTAAGCCTAAGCCTAAGCTTAAGCCTATGGGAATGCCAAAGCCTATGCCCTGGCCCAAGCCTAAGGTAAGCATCCTTTAAAGCCTCGAAAATTCCCCTCGCCACAAACCTGTGCGACACTAAACCATAGCGCCTGCTTCAACGTCAGCCGCCCCAAAAACCACTGGGTCAACGAGACCGAAGGGTTGATATGACCGCCTATTATTTTTTCTGTTTGAAGAAAGAGCCAAAATTCGGATTACCCGACAACCATATGCCCATTCCACACGAGAACGCCACGGCCAGCCCCCATCCAAGATTGATCGACAGAAAACCGCCGAGTTCTCCCTTTGATGTTTTTACCTGGAGTACACAGCCGACACCGAGGAGCTGGAAGTGAAGCACAGCGTAAGGAGAAATTTTGGAGGCGTTAAAGGTGTTGGAAAAAGGACTACGGACTACTACTAGGCTTGGCGTCTTTTTTTTTCAACGTAAAAACTTTACAAAACTTTACAAAACAATATCAGAAAAAATCAGTTTCTCGAGCAAAAAGGGCCGATTTCGGCATTTTCGAAAACTTTTAAAGAATTTTGAAACAGATTTTCTGGTTGAAATATGGTTTTTTTACAAAAATCACCACTAAAACACTTGCGATTACGTTACGCAGAGTCATAGACTTTTACAAAACCCCTAGCTCTCCCGATAATGCGAAATAACCGTCGCTAACACGCAACGGAATCGCATATGTGATTAAAAATTGGCCACGAAGTTTTTCCAAGCCAAAAATTACGGGTTTGCGGTCAACTAGCAGAGATTTTTAAGGAATGGAGTTCCAGACAAAAAAAAACTGAGATTAAATTGCTCGGTGAATTAATTTAAACTTAAAAAATTTACATTAAAACAGGAAGCTTCAGTAAAATGAAATCTTTGAAAAAGGGGAACTGTTACCAGTATTTGTAACTTACCAAAAAGAAAAACGTGCATATAAATTCACAGAGACACTCCCGGGCCAACTGATTCCGGATCCGCAACCGATCCGGATAATAGCGACTGGTCGGAAAAGCAAAACCCTCGGGCAGTTCAGATTTTTCCATTAAATCTGATCAGGTCACTGCTGCAAACACGCCAGAATTGGCCGTAAATTAGCACGCGACGGGCTTCTGCTGGCCGACCTGTTCCCCCACAAAATGGAATATGGGCGATAAGCTGGCTGTAAATTCGCAGGGCGACACGAACAATTTTGGACTCGGTCCGGGTGGAATTCTGCTTCAAAGATCAGCTAAAAACGAAGCAGAAAACGCTTAAAATAAAAGGTAGAATCATATTTGATTTTATTATTTATAAAATTTATTTAAAACCGGAGCGGTTTGAAAGGCTTTAACAATCTTTCAAGCTGGATTTTTTTAAAAAGTGGAACAGAGCGAAAAATGAGACATTATGGCGTTTTTAAATAATTTCAAAATTATTTATCGCCTAAACCATTTGAAAAACAGCAGAAATTAACAACTTCAAAAAGAAGCTGAACAGGGAAAGTTGGCCGGCCGATTTTGTGGTGGTAGCAACCTTTCCGGTAGATCCGGTAACCGGAAGTACGGTAGTTTCCGGATCATGCGGCTTCGGGGTCGGGTCGACAAATGAGGAATTACTGTAGTCCGGCTGGTCTTGGTTCAGGAAGGCGCTGATTATCTGCACCGAAGCGCCGCCCCGGTCATTAGGGACAAAGTGGCCGGCTCCCTGGAAATTTTTAGACGTTAAATAAAAACAAATAAATAAAAAGGCGTTAAATGAAACCCAAACCGTCAGAAATTACCTTAACCGTCAGCACGTCGATGATCATCTGCTTGCCAGTATACCTTTGCTGCCACCCAGCCGTCTGTCCTCTCCATTTCCACCGCGTTCTCTCGCTTTCCTACAAATTCACACTACTTTCCTAAAGACACACCATCCCCCCACCTGCATCCCATACTTTTCCGCAATCCTCTTCGCAAATCGGGCATCTCCCAAATAGTTGCATACCGTATCCACGTCCCCGTTGTATAGCAAAACTTTTAATTGGGTCTAAAATTTGTTATTTTTCAAGTTGAAGACAGTTTTGGGCCCACCCTGGTTTGGGCGATCATTTGATCGAAAAACTGCATCATCGACTCGTGGCTGGCCTTGTAGTCGCCGCCATTCGGGCCGGTCAGACCGCTAAGAACCGTAAAATTCAAATTGGTTGATATTTACCTGCATTCTCCCCATCTTGCCGTCCCGTTGGCCGCCTTGATCCAGTCGGGGGCGATGTTGAAGACCCAAAAAATTTTTATCCACATGAAAGAGAGAGGAGAAAGAGGGAGAGAGAGGGTGAGCGAAAGCGAGAGAGATAGAGATAGAGGGAGCGAGAGAGATAGATAGAGAGAGATGGAGAGAGAGTGTATGTGAGAGAGAAAGAGAGAGATTGAGCGAGAGCAAGAGTGAGAGATAAAGAGATAGCTATAGAGATAGAGATAGATATAGAGAGAGAGAACGAGCGAGCGAGCGAGATAGAAAAAGAAGAAGAGAGAAAGAAGTAGAGTGAGACAGAGAGCGAGAGAGATAGAGCCAGAGTGAGAGAGATACTCACCTCCCAAACCTCCGGTCGATTCATATAATTCCACAGCGCTCCATCATGCCAGCACGGAAAACCGAGCTGATTGTCCGACGAATCGTAATTTAAGGTTTTCTAAAACAATAACAAGACATTTCTTTAAACATACAGTATCCGTATTGGCTCTCGCCGCACTTTTTGCTTTCAGAAATTTCTTGTGGAACCTTCGCAGCAATGGGGAAGTTTGCTAAACATTTTTGTGTTTTAAAAAACACCTCCAGCTACCGTACCTCCATTTCAATTCCGTCACGATACCCCCAACACTCTTGGTAGTACATATAATTATTTAAACTCAGGGCATAAAACTTTTAGAGAGTCTTAAAATATACTAACCCCTCGTCATCTGGTATTTCATAGATTTTCATGGTCTAAAAATATTTTGATTTTTTTATTTTATCCGATTACGCCACCATATTCCCGCATTCCGACCCGTCGCTCCGATAGTCAAGATAGTCGTCGGTGTGCAAAAATTTGGTAAAATCATAGGAATCCATATCGTATTGGCGGCCAACACCTGGTTGGTAGCAGACCTCCTTCATTCGTTCCCAGTCCCTTTAAAGGTACGGTAGCACGCGACGATACCTTCACTACCGTATCGACACTTTTCCGTGGTAGGCACTCCACATCACTAGGGCATTGTTTAGTTCTCTTGCATCCAGGTATCCATTCCCGATTGCGAAACCCTAAAATGGGATGAAATTAGGTTTTCTCAATTCCTAAATTATCTCTGCTAGCTGAATTAAAATTCCTCAATAATCTCGGCTAGTTTACTCAAAATACAGCCCGAGGATAGCAAACTAAGGCACTGGTTTTAAAGCGCCGGATATGATTCGGATTTAGTCGCATGTGGCACGCAGCACGCCGTAATCGATTCCGTAGTGAAAATAGAGACTGGCGCGTTGCGTATCGCGAACGGAGATAGTCCATAGATAGTCCAAAATTTGGGTTAATAATAAAAAAAAAAAATTATATTTTTTTTTATTTTTTTTTTTTTTTTTTTTTTTTTTTTTTTTTTTTTTTTTTTTTTTTTTTTTTTTGGTTTTTTTTTTTTTTTTTTTTGTTTTTTTTTTTTTTTTTTTTTTTTTTTTTTTTTTAAATTTATTTTTTTAATTTAATTTTTAATATTAAATTTTTTTAAAAAAAAATAATTTAAAAAAAAAAATATAAATAAAATATTTATTTAAAAATTTTTATTAAAAATTTTTTTAATAATTTTTTTTAAAAAAAATTTTTTATAAAATTTTTTTTATAATTTTTTTTTTTTTTTTTTTTTTTTTTTTTATTTTTTTTTTTTTTTTTTTTTTTTTTATTATTTTTTTTTTTATTTTTTTTTTTTTTTTGAATTTTTTTTTTTTTAATTTTTTTTTTTTTTTTTTTTTTTTTTTTTTGTTTTTTTTTTTTTGTTTTTTTTTTTTTTTTTTTTTTTTTTTTTTTTTTTTTTTTTTTTTTTTTTTTTTTTTTTTTGGGCCAACAAGCCCAAAATTATCACTTGCTGGTCCTCTTAAACTTCCTCAAAGCCCACCCGAAAGTTGACATTCGGAAATGTGCCCCTCGAAATCCCATCCACAATCAGCTGGGCGAGCATCGGCTGATAGACACCGGAATATGAGCTGCCGGTCAGATAGAAGTCCCGCTTCGCGTACTCGGGCCCAACTCTCAACACCAAATTACATATGTTGAAACCGCACGTTGAGGGTCGTGCTGTGGCCTAAGCACGACCTGCCTGCTACTTGCGTGTTTTGGCGCCCAAAATCCAAAATCACACCGTAGCCCATGAAGGGCATAGCTTGACCGTCCCTGCGTCGGTTACGCACGGAAATATCTCTGGCCTCTCCCCATGGCGCTCCCCCCTGTTGGCTACTTTTTTTGAGGGGACGACATGCCGTGGCACCCTTTAAAGCCAGTTTTCCCCGAACTACCGCTTGAAGAAGTCGATCATCCCATTGTAGTTCTGTTGCGCCGTTTGTTCATCGGTAGCAAAGCTGAAAAAGGTAGAATCTTGAGTCCGCTAACATTCCCTGACTTGAAACTCTGATTCGCCGAGTCGTAGGAGAAACCGACGCTGATGGGGGAGTCCATGTAGAGCACATTTGCTCTCTATGCGTTGGCGGGGTCAAATTTTTGTATCAAGGGACCCACTGCATTCCAGGCATAAACATTCTCATATAGCGATTTTCCGTCCCGATTCACGTAGAATGGGCCCATTTCTTCGAACGTTTCGCCGATCGAGGAGCAACCGGGGCCTGGAGATGAACTAATGAAGGCGGCAAAAAAATGTTCATATATGGACTTGGATCTATGCAAGACAGAAGGTGACGCGGTGCACAACCCGGCACGCGAGAGCTAGAGGGAGAGAGAGAGAGAGAGAGAGAGAGAGAGAGAGAGAGACAACGCAGCCAAAAATTACCTCCAGAATAATAAACAGCCAACGGATCCTTTCCCGGATCGCTTTTCGATTCTGTCAGCCTAAAAATTCACTTTTCCGTATTTTTCAGAACCCTCAAACCCACCAATAAAACATTTTCCAACTTCCCTGCCCACCATCGTTCGCATTCAAATACCCGGAATAACTTCGAAAACCAGGATCATAATTTAGTCCGGGAGTCGTGATTTTTGCTAAAAAATTATCGCTCTAAAACATTATTAAAATTACTAGATCTGCGTCCGGCATACATTTAATGCCAAAAATTAGGAGGAAAGTCCCAAATAAATGGTAGTAGCATCGCGAAAATAGTAAAAAGGGGTCAAGGACCCGTCAAAATACACCCCCCGGCCCGTCGAATTGGATTGTGTCACTCCGCCGCCGGCATTTTGATAAGCGGCTTTTCGGGGGCTACAGCTGATAGGAATGAAGGGGAGGGGTGATTATTTAGCCTGAACGAGTTCTAGACTCTAGTTTTTAGGATCGAAAATTAATTATAAATTTACATCGAAATTCAAACATGATGAATGAATACACGATAGAAATATGAACCTGAAAGTAAATCATTATCCAAAAATGCCGCCGCTTCGTCTGGTGGTACCGCTTCTTTTACTCTTCACCGTGGTGCAAGCTCGGGTTTATGCAAATTAAATTTCGGGACTTAGCTTTAGTTCTGGTACTTGCTGTGCGATCGCGACGCGGAGAAGCCATTGGCCAAGTGGGTAAATATCTGGCTCTTTCACTCACTCTCTTGCTCTCTCTCTTTCTCTTCTTCTGACTCTCTCTCTCTCTCTCTCTCGCTCGCTAGCTCGTTCTCTCTCCTAATCACGCATTTTTCAGATTCATCCGCGATCAGCTCGTCCCCGATCGAGACTTCACCGTCGGCCATACCGTACTCGATTGTGGTAAGACTGGCGCTTTCGACTCGTGCGGTCATTTTTTGCAGGTATCTTCCTTGATTTTAATTATTTCACTCTCTCTCTCTCTCTCTCTCTCTCTCTCTTTCTAGTAATATACTAATTTTCTGTTACCTTTAGTGGCGCAGAGACGGAAGCGGTCTGCCCGTCTACGTCGGCGATGCATCCACATTTGATTCGGTGAGGGATGCGAGGTGAAGCAGCCTTCAGAAAATTTTCTTTCCAGTTGACCTGCGACAACTTCACGCGCACCTCGGGCCATGTATTTGTCGAGCTGGCCCATCTTGCACAAGAGGTTGGGCCGGATACGGTAGCCCAAACTTTTCGATTTTTAGGGAAAAATGGCGCAGGTGTACGTGGTGAATGCGTGGATCGATTTGGTGATACCGATTGAGGGTTGGTGGAGAGAGAGAGAGAGCGAGAGATAGAGAGAGAGATAGAATCAAACATTTTAGTCGGCAAAAAGGCATCTCTCACGAGGGCGCTGGAGCTGCTCTTCACCGCATCCGGCACATCGCAGAGACGGTATCACCATTTGACCAAACGTAACCTGAGTGCATTTTAGGCATCAGAAACAAGCCGGTGAGGCCAGCAGTCAGTCGACGCCGCTGAAGCCGAGCGGAAAGGAGGAATCCTGGGTCGGTTCTGTGAAAATATCACTAGGGTGGTTACAGGTATTTTTTAGGAAATTTTCTAGATTCGTCAAAATAAAGGATGGCAAGCTAGCACGGATTCTGAGGGAAATTCTGGTGCATCAATGAACAGTCCCCGACCCTTTAAGCCGTCGGATGTTTCAGGTCGCAACCCCGGAAGGTGTGGTAATGCTGCTCCTCGGCTCCCTCATCAGCGGTGGCCTGGGGCTGTCGATTGTTGGGACTACGGTAGAAGAGCAACTTTTAGAAAACTTTGCCCCTTGACTTCAGTGCTTCTTCGTGGTGCGCCAGGTGCGCAACGTGCGCCGCGAGCGCGCCATCGACGCCAACCGGATGTTGCCGAGGGGGAATCGCGTGGTGGCTGCCCCGGATTTTGAGATTGTAAGTAAGGAAAATGGCTATTTTTAGTGCGAGCAAGGTCCATTTATCCTTGCTTTGCCTGGCCCGTTTAGACAGGTAAAAAGACTTTTTACGCCAATCCTTTGGCTTTCACTAAAAATGTTTGACTTGTTAGCCCCTTTAAAAGAGTTAAATCCTGCCTGTTTCAGCAATCGATCTCCTCCGAATCCGATGAACAGTCCTGAAAGCTGCCCCCGACAAGAAGAAGCCAATCCCCATTATGCCCATCGAATAATTCGATTCAATCCTTTTGTGTGGTCGCTTCGTTTTTGTGTATACCCGTAATTTTGTGCCACACCGAATAAATGGCGGTATTTGCGTGTTTTACGTATTTTTCTTTTCTGGCGACAGTTAATGCGTAATAAATTGGCGCGCCATGTTTGTTCTGCGCATGAGATTTCCGTATAAGGTAAAAGCCCGGTTTTGACACATAAATAGCTTTATTCCCGCTAAACGGACAATGCACATCAGCTCGGCATAATTTGGTGATGAGGTATGGGTTATCAGAATCGAAATACACCCGTCTAATATCCAGGGGCAGTCCTGGGGGGTGGGCAGTGATCGCAAGATCCCTTGTGTCCCGGCTCTCCGGGCTCTCCAGGCTCTCCAGGAGGTCCTTCGTTTCCGGGAGCTCCATCCTGTCCGGGTTCTCCCTGTCCTCCAGCCTGTCCATCGTGGGCATCGTTTCCAGGGCGTCCATCGGGTCCAGGGGGTCCCTTTGGGTCCTCCCTCTCCTTGTGGTCCAGGTGGGCCAGGAGGTGCGGGAACTTCGCGAACTTTTCCGGCAGGTCCAGGGGCTCCGTCCTCGCCGGGTTTTCCCTCATCTCCAGGAGGTCCAACGGGTCCGGTTTTGCCGGGAGGACCCTTGCGACCAGGCAATCCACGCTCGCCGGGCTCTCCCGAGTTTCCAGCTTCTCCCTTGGGTCCAGGGGGTCCAGCGGGGCCAGCAGGGGCAGGGGGACACTCGAAACAGAAGTCGTCCTCGCTCGGGGGAACAGCATCTCCATCCACGGCGTCGGGACCAGGGTTTCCGGGGACACCACCGCGTCCATCATTTCCGGGAGTACCTTCGTTACCCTGTTGTCCAGGTGGACCAGCGGGGCCGATACCGCATGAGCAGCAACGGTATGCCTGACGCTTGGAGCGCTCCTTCTCGTTCTTGCGCATGTGTTCCAGCTGAAATTTCGTGGTGTTCGGGCTGTACTTTTTAACTTACCCTAGTGAACTCTTCGCGCAGAGATCCGGACCTCGTGCGGCAGAAGTTGATCTCGTCCTGGAGGGCCGACTGGACGTTCTGCATATACATACAAAGCATCGGGACGGCAACGATGGCCGTTAGGGTAGCGACGGTGCTAAAGGGGTACGGTAGGTGAGGCGAGTTTTAGGGTGCATACCTGACGGCCACGCCGAAGAAGGCGAACTTCTTGACCTGCTCGACGAGCTCGTCTTTACCCGCATCTGAAAATAGAGCAAATTAGGGATACACCAGCGCTGACCCCCGCTACGCGGAGGTTCAGCGCTGGCCTCCCCTCCCTCGACCCCCAGAATTTGAATTTTGAATTTGCATGCAAAATTTGGCTGAATTCCCGGTCGGGCGGACAGACGGACATTAGAAATTTATATATAGTAGATTTTTACAGAAAAATCCTAAGTTGATGGTATGGGTCCGGGTACTGTAAATGAGAAGTTAAAGGTAAAGCACGGACTTTTAAAGTTACAAAATGAGCGGAAGTTCCCAGATCCGGCCATATGGATTGATGGCCAGAAAAGGAAGCTTATAACGGCGTGGATAAACAGAAATATATCAATTTTCAGCTGATTCAGGAATTTGGGCTTTCCAGCCCCTTTAAAATCGATCAAAACGGCAGGTTTCTTCCGAATTGCCCATTTTACTTTAGAGGGATTAGGAAGGCAAAATTTTATACATTTTCGGCAAATGAAGCTGAACAAAGTTTGATTTCCAGGGTCCTTTAGGATTGGAAAACGAAGGTTTTCTTTTTGACTTCATGGAAATTTCAGAAAATTCTGAAAATTCAAGATAAACTTCATAAAAATTATTAATTTCTCGCAAAATCATCAAAAAATCCTTCTTGACCTCTTTAAGAATCCTCGATATGGATCGTTTTCTCAAACTCACGAAAAAACTTTCTTTAAAGGTACAAGAAAGGCAAAAGTGTGTACAGGGTGTCCCAAAAAAAAACCCCCCCCTCTAGCGGCGCCCAGACGTGTCCGATTCTCGCCGTTTAGGTATCTATCGAAAGCTCTCGAAAAGGCGAGAAAACAAGGAGGGTTCATTTTCTTTATTATGTATTTTTATTGGCGAATTTTACCTCCAAAAACCATGAAAACGGCGGATTTACGCGAAATCTGCATGCTAATTGCGAAATTCCTATTGAAAAGCTGCCTGTTTTTTAGAAAAACGTTGAATATCGGACGAATAAGAATCAATCTTAGAAAATGAAGCCCGCTTGTTTTCTCGCCTTTTCGCGGGCTTTCGAATGGTATAAAAATTATCCTGATCTGAGCTTCCCACGGACCGCTAGAGGGGGGGGGGTTTTTTTTGGGACACCCTGTATTTTGCAATTTATGCATCATTTTAAAAAAGTACCAAATACATACCTTTCTTTTCTGAAGCCATTTAGACGACGTCCGGCTTCAAAAAATAATACAACAGCCGGCTCCTGTAGTGGACAGTCTTCTGTGGGATGCCTTTCGCTAGGAGAAGATCCGGCGATCCGACCCCTCCACCTTCCTTTTAACGGCTGACGGGCCGCCCCGGGCTGCCCTGGCCACTTTTTGCGCCCCAGCCATACCCTAAAAAGTGCCCCACCAGGGGAAAAGCGCGGTTTTCGGGGGCGTTGCTTTATCTTCGGGGGGGATGGGGGGATTCGATCTGCCCTGGGTTCTTTTTTGCATACATAGATGGTCAGCCAGGATGAGCATGAGGATGAAGAGGAGGTGAAGAATGAGATGGAGAATGGATGAATTAGGCGATCACAACCATCCCATAATCAAGAGCGCAATGGGTGCGACGAATGGATGCGGTTTGTGACGGGGTGGCAACATCTGAGGAGAAGCACATTACGTAGACTCTGACGTGATATATGGAGCGGAGAAGTAATAGAATTAAAAGAATAAGAATCAGGGTTGATTTTTTACTCCAATTAAAGCACCGTAAACGAAGAACCTATCTAGAAAAAAGAAAATGCCTTCACACTCAACAGATCCAATTAGAGAGATACCATCGTCTTTTCTGGAAGCGGGCTGAACTTTGGAAAGCGCCCCCCCGGGTGCACCAAAGAAAAACGACCGAAAAAATGAAGTAATTTTCGCCACGTCAGGGAACCGATTTAGCATTCTGTAGCCAGTGTAAATGCGAGAATACCAAACTTTTATGCCGACGATCAGAATGCCGATTGGAACTAGTTTTTCTGTGAATAGTCGGTCTAATTTCAATCATTTACCGGCCGGCATTATAAATGTTGACGTTCGTGATATATGCGTCTCGTTCTCGTTCCGGTCGGCATTCCCGTCGGAAGCTTATTCAATCGGCATTATAGCTTTTAGCATTTTGGCTATTGAGTTTTTCGTCGGCATTTTCGCAATCCGCATTGTCGATTCTCCACGTTGGGCTTTTAGTTATTACCCCAGACGGAGCCCCTTGTGTCAGCATTTTACATATATCGATTTTTCGGCCTTGCAACTGGAATTTTTGGGCCTTGACCTTAGCGCTGCCACTTCCTCATGGCCGGCAAACCTTTCATCTACTACCGGGTTCATTATACAAATCGCCCACCCCTGTTCCACTCAGCTTATACCTCGCTACGTGACGCACCTAACAATGGAGAGAGAGCGGCAGAGCGAGAGAGAGATTCACTCGACAAATTTGGACTTGAAAACGAGCCGATCGCCCCTTTCGCGAAGCTGGAGAAGTTTTGCCCCCCCCCTTTTTTTTTGGCTGGCACCCGCTAGCAGCGCACTTTTGGAGAGAAGAATCGGATGTTCACATGGGAAAAGCGTGGGCATCATCGATCTGGCGGGACATCGTCAATCTGATTTGTTGAGCAAATCGAGTACGTGGCTTTCCGTTAGTAGTTGCGGTGCGGAAAGACCGATATGAGACCGGATTTTCAATCTACCATATTTTTTTACAGAGCAACAAAGTAAATTGGGCAGTTTGCAAACAAGTTTTTACATAATTTCTAAAATGTTTTTAGCAGTAACACTGAGGAATTAAGTTTGTAATGGGGCATTTTTATTGCCAAAGCCCTGAGCCCAGTTTAAATTTAGAAAGTTTACGGCTTAGCAGTTAAAAATTTTAGGTAGTTTTAGAGCTGGCTTGAGCTTGGCTGGCTAGTTTTGGCTTGGCTTTAGCTTAGTTGTAGCCAGAAACTAGCTTAGGATTAGCTTAAGCGCAGGTTCTATCTGAAGCTTCGCAGTAAATTTGGACCATTTATTTTTAAGTGGATTATCCAGCCGACTGAAAACTCGGAAAAAAAAGAATTGAAAAGATTGTGAACGTGAACATAACCTAAAAAGCTTAAGTCCGCAAGTTTCCCTAAATTGCCAACATTCCAGCTTTTGCACATAACCAGCAGCCAATGTCAGCAATCCCATCAATCCCCCCACCCAGGTCACCAAAAACCGAAATTCAGAAGCGGTGGTGTGGCCTGTCTGTCGGGTCGGACCGAAATTCCGGGGGCGCAGTGATAGCCCGGTTTCCCCCGGAATTCTCCGGCTGCCATCAGCGCGGTGCGGGAAAACCAATAAAATTTTGCGCTAGATTTTGTCATCACGACTCTGGGGGGCGTCGAATTAGCGATGTGCCACGCTTGGGGCTGAAGACTCGCTAGCGCGCTCCGCGCTCCAATTTCAGTCCATCTAGCCCAGAGGGTGGCGCCGGGCAAAAAACGCGAAAACCGGTTGATGCCGGGAAAGCTCGTTATCCTTTTTGCCGTGTGTACTTTCCTGCCTGTGTTAAAATTATCCGCCTTAAGTGCATGATATAACAATTTTTTGTTGATCTAATAATTTATTCCGCTAACCGAAACAAAATATATGTGGGGTCGTGTTGAGCAAGTGGGGGGAAGAGGTGGTGGTGGTGGTGAGGAACGTGGCAAATTCTGTACAACACCCTGACCAAGCCCACCCGGGGCCACAGAGAGACAGAGAGAGAGAGGGGCAGAGAGAGACAGAGACAGCGAGAGAGAGCGAGTGAATTCAACACCGGGGGCGGGAGGAAGAAACCAGAGCTACCATTGACTTGACTATTGCAATATAACTTAATAACTTATAGAGCCATGACCGGTATGATGCAGGAGGGCAAGGAGCGGGGCGGTGTTGATCAAAAAGGACGATGAGTAGAGCTCTAATATCCAGGGGCGGTCCTGGGTGGGGGGCAGTGGTCGCAAGATCCCTTGAGGCCACCCTCTCCAGGGTTTCCGGGCTCTCCGGGGCTTCCGGGGTTTCCGGGGGCTCCATCCTGACCGGCGTCTCCTTGAGGTCCAGGCTGTCCGGCGCTTCCGGCGTTTCCGGGGCGTCCATCGGGTCCGGGAGGTCCAGCCTCTCCAGCGTCTCCGGGGGCTCCAGGGGGTCCAGGGGGAGATGGGACGGTGCGCACCTGGCCGGGGGGTCCGGCGTTTCCGGGCTGTCCATCCTTTCCGGCATCTCCGGGGGGTCCAACGGGTCCAGGGGCTCCTTGAGATCCTCCTCGGCCGGGGGGTCCCTGGTCTCCGGGGGCTCCGGGGTTTCCTCCGGGTCCCTTGGGTCCCTGGGGTCCGATGGGTCCAGCGGGTCCAGCGGGGCACTCGAAGCAGAAGTCCTCGGCCTTGGGGACGGGGTGTCCCTCGGGGGCGTCGGGTCCGGGGTTTCCGGGGGCACCGGGGCGACCGTCGTTTCCGGGGAGACCGTCCTGTCCGGGCTGTCCGTTGGGTCCGGCGGCTCCGATTCCGCAAGAGCAGCACTGGTAGGCCTGACGCTTCTCACGCTCCTTCTCGCCCTGGCGGTAGTGCTCGAGCTGGAATTGGGGTTATGGGTCGCAAGCGCAGGAACAAAAACAAAGTAAAAAGTTGATCGTTTTAAAGGGATGAGCAAGTCAAATTTTGTCGTAATTTTTTGGTAAATTCATGGAATTTTGGCTTCTGGGTTCCTTTAATGTATAATTCGGATAAATTGAAAAACCCAAGTAGATATTTTGCCAATTTTTCTCACCTTGGTGTACTCTCCGCGGAGAGACTCGGCGCGAGTGCGGCAGAAGTTGATCTCGTCCTGGAGGTTGGACTGGACGTTCTGCATGTACATGCACAGCATCGGGACGGCAACGATGGCCGTTAGGGTGGCGACAGTGCTGAAGGAGTACGGTATGGGGGTCGAGTTTCAGAGTGCATACCTGACAGCCACACCGAAGAAGGCGAACTTCTTGACCGACTCGGCCTCGACCAACTTCTCCTTTTCGCCGCTCATGGTTACTACCTCTGCAAAAAGGGATGGTTTTGAGGGTTGTTAGAACGGTGGGGTGGACGTAGAATAATATTTTGTAAAGAGGTATCGGCAATTTGCTGACTGCGGAATGCGGAAGTATAGTGGAGGCTAGCTTAAAATTTGTACCTTGGAGTGGTTGAGGCGAAAAATAATTATTTGGCTAAAGATCAACTCGCTAAAAGTCCGTAGGCTAGGTCAGGATTTAACTAAAGCAAAATAAAGGGAAATCCTAGGGCATCGCCAAGTTTTTGTAAAATTTTTAACGCTTAGGCTTAGGCTTAGTCATAGACATGAACTTTGCTAAAGCCAAGACCCAGAGTTAAGCTTAACCATTCGGCTTAAAAATCAAAAAAATAATTGAAAAAATCATTTCCAATTGATCATCATTAATTTTTAGTGTTCAAATAAATCTAGGAATTTGTGAGAGCCAAAGTCAACCGAAAATCCAAGTCCCAGCCCCCCTGCTAATGGCTTATGAAGAGTGGGGGAACGGGGGGTGGAAGGCAGAGCAGAATAGGGCGAACAGGACGTCGAGTCCGCCGAGAGGGCGCATTTCAATCCACCCCGGGCAGTTACCCACCCGCGCCCAGCGCCCCCCGCGCCCGCCACCAGCGCGCCACACTGCCAAAACCAGCGCAAAAAATGAGACGACCTGATGACAAAACGGGGCAGAAGCCGGAGGGGGGCGTAAAGATGGAAATGTGGAATGGATGGGGCAAGTTGGAGGGGGAAGGAGAAGCTATGAGAAGCTCTTTAAGGGAACGATGAAGACAACTGACGACAGCCCTCCGTGCCCCCGAGGCTTTTGTAGGGGCCTGAAGGGGGGCGGGTCTGGAAGCGGTTGAGGAGGAGGAGGAGAAGGAGGAGGACGATGCCGCGCCCTTCGATGGCATCTCTCTCTCTCTCTAGAGCGTCTCTTTCTCGATTTTTGACAGTGAAGCCCCGGGGGCTTCTTCGACTTTTCCGTCTGCTTCTAGAGGGCTTCTCGACCCGGTGGGGGGTGCAGGGTTGGGGGCAATGGGGGCTCACTGTCGATTTCGGGGGCTTGCCGCTGACACGCTCGTCAAAAATAGCCTCGCGGTTCACGTGGAAAATGGGCCGCGGGCCGTCGAACATCGAACGAGGTCCGTGAGTCCATTTGGTCGAAGATCATCACTTCGAGAAAAACAAACGTCGACAGGTTTTTGTTCGGAAAGTAAATGTTTTAGAATTCACTTGTTGGAAAAGTCAACGCTCAGCAATTTTTGTTTCTAATTTCTAGGGTTATTCTTCTGAAAATTTTTCGGGCATTGAAATATACGCCCCATTAACAGGATTGTTATGTGCGTTCCGTCGACTAAGGATTCTGCTGTCGGTGCGACACGCGACGCGCACGCGGGTTAACCGACGCGAGACAGTCGTTCTAAACTCATGAGCCGGCGTGTTCGTTGCGGGTTCCAGCCGTAGCATAAACTATGTAAAACATGTATGATAATCGATGAAAGCATCATGTTCTAAACTGTCGGAGAGAAGCAGAACCGTTCAAACGCATGTATGCAAATATCGCATGTGTTCCTTCTTATTCAGCGCTTCAACATCTCACACCACGACACCGAGCAAAAACCATGCACCCAGCTTTCCTCGAACCCAACTCTACGTGTCAACTCGCTCAACCGTTTCGAACCCCCCGATTTCGACCTCATTCTCAATTTCGGCTGGCACCAGCGGCCTGCCCTCCTTGGCGCCGTCCTCTCGGCTTTGATGTCAACTTTTTGCCGTTCAACGTTTCGCGATACCTTCTCTTCTCCGCCCCAGCGCGACGATTGCCACCACCCCCAAAAAGGGGGATGGCGAGACCGCAGAAGGGTAGAATCACTTCCCGATTAGGGGCACGATCAGTATAATGATCATCTACTGGCAGGAGGGAAGGGTCGAAGAATGGAGGTATCCATTAAGGGGAAGATCTATGGGGAGGAAAGTGTAAAAGGAGGGTTCGGCAGGAAGGTAATTGGTTACACATCGAGGAGTTTCTAGCTTGTTAAAGGGACGATAAAGCATGGAAACTAGTTGTTCGGTTCAACAGCTTAGTCAGCAGGTTAGACAAAATTACATTTTTTAGCAAAAACATGTCCGTACTGCTTGTTTTTTGGTTTTCTCTCATATCCCTCTCTATCCCTCACTCTTTCTCTCGTTCCTTCTCCTCTCTCCTCTCTCGCTTCTGTTCTCACCCTTGCGCTCTCTCTCACACACTTTCGGTGTGCTCTCTGAACATTTCGGTAGGCGACACCAGGCATTTTGATCAAACTTAACAGATAATTTTTACTTGTTTTCTCGCTCTCTCTTTCTCTCTATCTCTATCATTCTGTTTCTCTGTTACCCTTTACTTCATACGGCGCCCCCACCGGCCGCTAGCGATACGGCATAGGCCTTGCTGCTACGCTCCCATTAAAAATTTTATCATCGTTCAAGCGACACGTCGCTGTCTGGACTACACACCGCTCCAAAATACACTCAAATTTCTCATCCTTTTTGCCATAGGTACATCGAACTCTTCAAAAAAAACACAAATCGAAGTAATGTTCCACTTTCACGCCCTCCGTACCTCCCGTGTCAGATTATCAGCTTCTCGGCACCCCCTTCGGCAGGCGCGCCCTCTTTTATTTTTCGGTTTTTACGAGGTCGCGCGCAGCGCGCTTGGGACGTGCCCTCAGGGCACACTTTTCTCCCTCTCGCTCCCTCTCTCGCTCTCTCCCTCCTCGACACAGTACCCCCACCCGCTTCTCGCCATCCCGCTCACCTCATCACGCAAAAACCTAGCGATGAAGTGCTGCTAGGAGAGGGGGATGCGCGGTAGGTGTTGAAAGGGTCAGCATTCCAATGCGTACTTTTTTGGAGCCAGTTCGGGTTCGGCTTTCGCTTTAGGGTTCGTGGGGGAAAGCTCGGGTTGATGCCTTATCACCGGAGGGGTTGGAATTCATCGGAACGGGGTATTGCAACATGGCTATGCAAATTTAAACGAAGGCCTACAGCTTACTACAGTTTACGAGAAGCTCAAGCTCAAGCCTAGCCCTTGTGAGACCTAAAAAGACGGCCATCAGCCTAAGTTTAGCCTAATTAGAGCCCAGGTATAATGCATAGCTGAAGCCGAAGCCTATTCCCAAGATCAAGCCTAAAGAAAAAATTTCTAAACAACAAAAAGAAATTCTGAATCACTGCCAGGCGGACGCCGAGCCCAAGCCCAAGGTCAATCCTACAAACTACAGCGTCAAAAACCAAAACGATACAGTAAGCCAGCAAAGAGCCTTTGCGAATTTTTCAGGTTTTAGTATGTAGCCAAGGTGTTACAACCGACTCTGGATAATCGCTCGGCTACAGTAGCCGAACACCAACCCGGCAAAGTTCGGCGCTTCGGTGGAATTCCTTCGAAGCACGCGGGCGTGTCAATGTCTCCCCTCATAATCACCGTCGTTCGTTTTTCAGCCCCGATTTGTTCGCCTCTCCCTCTCTCTCTTTCTCTCTCTCTCTCTCTCTCTCTCTCTCTCTCTCTCTCTCTCTCTATCAAACCAAGAGGAAAAAGCACCCGTGAGCGATTGGCGGCTTTTTGTCGGCGCGCGCCCTAGCCAGAAAAAAAAGCCAAAAAAGCTGCCGGAGAAGCCGGCGCGCGGGGGAGGAAAAACTCAAAAAGTGGGCTTTCGGGGTTTTTTCGGTGGGGCAGCAGTGCGGGCGATCCAGAAGCCCTGGGGGCCGGTCCTCCGTCTTCATTCGATTTGTCCTGCCGGCTGAAAGGGGGTGGCAGTTCGTCAGTCATCGATACCCTTTCGGGGCATATTGGGAGGAGGGATTGTTGCGGAATCTTGGACTTGATCGGGTTTTCGAAGGAACGGGCAAGGCAAAGATGGTTTTTCGGTTCCATTCCCTATGCGATATTAATCGCGTCTGTAACACGCGACGATACGCTTTTTCATTACGCACGTCCAGTCGAGCGAAGGCCCGTTGCGCGCGCAGCGGCCGTAAAAACATGGTATGGTATAGCCTAGACCTTCTACTAATTGGGCAGCAAACGTAAGGTTGTAAATTTTTCCGTTTCTGCGTCGCGTATTGCGTTGCGTGTCGCGGCTTCAACAACATCGATACACTGCCGACAAAAGGACTCCGCAGCCATGTCCTTACTTTTAAAGGGCGTCAGGGCGTTTTTGGAAAAGGAAAGGGCGGGGGGGGGGGCCCGGCCCCGGGGGGCGGGGGGGCCGGCGCCCGGGGGGGGGGGGCCCCGGGCAAAGGGGGGGGCCGAAGGGGGGGGGGTGGGGGAGTTGGGGGTACACGGCCCCCCGCTGAAGGGCTTTAAAGGGGCAAGAAAGGATCGGAACTTTTCGACCATCGGTTTCCGGAGACGCCGTGCGCTTTCAAATACGCAATGGATTACGTTAAATTAATTAATTAATCTTTTCCCGGTCCATTTAAAGGGATGATGCCAGCCGCCGAGAATCGATTACGCGATGTATTCCAGATCTTAAAGAATGGCCAGTGCTTCGTTCTAAAAACCTCATCTCCCTGCCCCACGAAAACACCATAACTCTGGAAATGAGCCCCAAAAACATGGCGTAACCGATCGCTCAGAACTTGCTGTTCCCGTCAAGAACGAGCAGTACAGAGTATTCCCCTCCTCATCGTCATCAATCTACCTGGGGCAGCGCTTCTCGACTCAATTTATCAGCCTCCTTCTCCTCACCGTTGTGTTTATTTTGTGTCGTTGCCAAAGGCTGGAGAGTAACGGAGGGTGAAGAGGCTGTGAGAGTGCTGGATCGAACTCGTGTCGTCCCCTCCGGCTCAAACAGTTTGTCCTTGAGGGCGAGTCGTGTGACGTCCTCCTTCTCTTCCTCTTTAGCCCTCATCGGTGTCCCTTCTCCTTCACCCCCGTTCGATTTCTGATCCATTTCCAGCGGGCGCTTCTAATTCGAGATGATCGACCTCTTCTGCGTGACTGCTTGCAGTTGATGCATCACTAGGGGCTGGCGAGTGCGCCTGAAAAATACTAAAACAGGGGGCAACTGATTTAAAGGGCATTTGTCCCAATGGCCTACTGGCTAACGTGCTTGAATATCAAGTCAAGGCCCCGGGTTCGAGTCCCGCCCGCGACAAAAGGTCTTAACCACTTTTTTGCAAAAGCCAAAAATTCGATTTTTGAGCCTTTTTCCCGGTATTTTAAAAGATAAGGTACAAAAACTTTTTCGTGTTTCAGAGGAATGAAAAAATAAAATAGAAATAAACTTAATAAAATGGCCATGGTCTAATGTCTAACGCGTTTGGCAATCAAGTCAAGGGCCTGGGTTCGAATCCCGTCCCCGACGAAAAATTTTACTTTGCTTGGGCCAAAATTTGCAAGCAAATTCAAAGGCCGAATCCTATTTTTAAATAATTTTTGATTCGAAAAACCCTCCTAAATTAATAGTGCAGAATGTACTCGCGTCCTCCCCCTTAGACCATATCAATCATTGTCCAAATCGCTCCAGAAGCTGCTGGTTTTTCATGCCGGGGAGTTCATCTACCGGCGGGTGGAGGGCATTTCAGTCCTTTCTCTCTCTCACTCTCTCTCTCTCTCTCTCTCTCTCTCTCTCGGCTTCTCCCAATGGCCAATGGATATCCTAGTTCCCCTCCTAAAATTAGCGGAAAGAAAGGGTCCGGTCTATCCGGAAAACGGTCCGTTCCGACAGGCTCCAAATGCCCTCCCCTTCTTGTCTCTCTCATCCTCACAGCCATTATCGGACTGCTCGAGGCGCCAAAAAACCGCATGGCTCGAGAATGGTCGCCGAAAAGGCAGGGACAAGCTTAAAAATCAACCTCAACGTTTTTCTGTAAAAAGTCTGTAACACCTAAAATTTTTATAAAGGAAAAAAGGCATAAAAAGATAGTCGACTTTAGAAAGCAATAAGCTTTAAGTTTTCCCTGCAAAAAACCCGTTTATTCTCCATTTTAAAACAGTCAAGGCACCCCGCCAAAAAATTTTCTGGCACAATTGAATGTTTAATTTGTTCTTATTTTATTTTCTTAGTAGGTAGTCATTATCACCCTTTATGAGCTTTATGCTTGTTGTATTTTGTAGTCAGTACTATGCATTGCAAACCGAACGTCTAGACAACGCTTTATCAGGTTGTGACTCGAGAATATACAGGCAAATGGCCATGATCGCATGTCCCGTTCTAATATCCGGGAGCGGTGCGGGGTGGTGGGCAGTGGTCGCATCCGCCTCCGTTGCCCTCATCTCCATCAGGTCCAGGCTGTCCGGGGGCTCCAGCGAGTCCGGGCTGTCCAGGGCGTCCATTGTCTCCAGGAGGTCCCTGGGGTCCGGGCTGTCCATTTCCAGACTGTCCTGGCTGTCCGGGAGGTCCAGCTGGTCCAGGGGGTCCAGGGCGTCCGGGCTGTCCGGCGGGTCCAGGGATGGTCTGTTGCTGTCCAGGGGCTCCGGGCTGGCCGGCGTTTCCGGGCTGTCCGTCGTTTCCGGGGGTCCAGGGGGTCCGGGAGGTCCAGGGCGTCCAGGCTGGCTGGGTCCACCGGGCTGTCCGTCTTGTCCGGGGTTTCCGTTGGGTCCCTTGGGTCCGGGGCGTCCGGCGGGTCCGGCGGGGGCTGGTGGGCAAGTCTGGCAACCCTCATCGGCTCCGGAGCTGCTGCCGGCCTCTCCGTCAGGTCCGGGGTTTCCGTCGTTACCGGGCTGGCCGTCGTTTCCGGGGCGTCCATCGGGTCCGGGCTGTCCAGCGGGTCCGGCCTCACCGACTCCGCAAGAGCAGCAGCTGCCACCTCCCTGAAAGTGTTGGGTTGGCTGGGAAAACTGTTAAAGGTATTGTGACAGCTAGTTGCCGGCAATACTGCTTAATAACCGTGATGTTCTGATTCCTCACCTGAGACATCGATCCTCCTCCAACTCCAGCATCTCCATATCCGCCCGACGAGTAGCTAGCAGCTCCACGAGCACGATGGCGTCTGTGAGTCGATCGGCCGGCATGACGATGAACAGCCTCCCTCTTCAGACGACCCTCATGTCCCTTGGCGGCCTCATAGCGTTCATATTCATGCCACAATCCCTCGGTGCGATGGACGCAGAAAGAGACATCATCCTGGAGACTCGACTGCACACCCTGCATGTAGTTGTACAACATTGGCACCGCGATGATGGCGGTCAGGGTGGCGGCCGTGCTGAGGGCGATGCCGAAGACAGCGAGGCGACGGAAGCTCTCGGCCTCGGCATGGCTCATTTTCTCCGACGACATCTGCAACGAGGTATTGATCGGGTTATTGGTGGGGGGGGGTCTATGGCCTAAAAAGGTGCCGTCGGTTTTTGAGCTTTTCAAAAAATTCTAGGGAGCGAAACACGCCTTCTAGGTCTTTAAAAGGTCTAGGATTTCCAACGATGGCCTAAAAAGCTTTATTCGAATAGGAAAATACAAATTAATCAAAAAAATCAAGAAATCGGGGTTTTCAAATTAATGCTTTTTTTCGAGACTCTTCAAAAGCTTTTTAAGGTTTTCGTGGGAATCAGATACAAACATTAATCAATTTCAAAAGTCCCAAAGATACTATAAAATCCGAAAACAAAAAATTAGATGATTTCCAAGATTCTAAACACAAAATTCTTGCCTTCCAAGTCCCTTTAAAGCCCAGAAACCCGAGGAAAACCAAGTATTGAAAGCCGCTTACCTTTCGAGATGAGGCCGTTGAATGGTCTGAATACCGGGCCCGGCCGCCACCTTATATACCCCGGACGACAAAGCAAAAGCTGGGGCTGCATCCGTTTACTCGTGTAGGCGGGGGTGGTGAGAAGTTCTCGGCGTGTTTCTTCTCCCTCTGTTCTTGCCTCTTTTTGATTACTCTAAAGGAGAAGGTAAGTGAATGAGGAGGAGGAGAGGGGTAAGAAAAGGCCCTCAAGGTCATACCTGCACCTCTGAAACAGTTAACTTCTTTTTAGTCGTGCTCCCATTGTTTGGCGGGAAGAGTGGGAGGAGGTAGTCGCTTATCTCGAGCCTCATTTTGGGGATGCAGAGATGTACTAGGGGTAGAGATCTGTAATTCGGTGTCTCGGTCTGTTTGTCTCTATCGCTCACTTTCTCTCTCTATCTCGCCCTAATTCTCTCCCTTTCTCTCGCGCTTTCGTCCTCTCTCTCTCTCCCTCTCTCTTTCGCTGTAACATGTACATTTTTCCCTCGCTACCCTGCAAAGGAGGAACCCCGTTTCGAAGCCGCCGAGGGAAATTCGATCCGATTTGAGCACCAACAATGAGGATATCGATGAAAGATTTTTCAGAATGTAGATTTCATTTATTTTAGGTTCAGGTCTTTATAAAACACCTTAAGGCGCCCGAAAAGTATCTTTTGGAGAATATGTTTGCCGGACCGCTGCAGTAATGTTGCGTTAAAATTTAACTTCGTAACATTCCTATTTAAATAAAACAAAATATTAGTTCTAAATCCTTCCTTTTTACTAGCCCTCATTAGGCCACAGACTTTCTTCTAGTCGGCTTACCGTTAACCACTTTCTCCCAACGGCGCACTAGAAAATTCGGGCTAATTTCACGGAGACATCGAAAAAGTCGACTCTCCCCTCGTGCAGGATTGAAATCTCGAGAACAAAGGCGATTGAGGAGAAAGTGCTTTTTGGGTTGTTTAAAACGACCGAGGACCGAAGTCAAATAAAAACAAGCTACTCTTCACATACAGTCGATCAAAAATTATATTAATCCTATCAATGCTTGCATAGAATTGGCTAAAGCATTTATTCCCGGTAACCACCAAGGTAAATTTAATGAAAGACAATGGGGGTGTCGAGTTGAGGTCTAATATCCTGGAGCAGTTCTGGGTGGCGGGCAGTGGTCGCATGTTCCGGTGGGGCCAGGCAGGCCGGCTTCTCCCGGGGAACCAGGCTGCCCCGGATTTCCGGGCAATCCGTCGGCTCCAGGATCTCCGGCCGGGCCTGGCGGACCTGGTCGGCTGGTGCCTGGTGGGCCGGGCTGACCCGGAGAACCTGAAAGAGATATTTTCATATGAATGGTTTGGTTTTAGACAATTAAATTTTTGCCGGGGCAAAATACCGATAATTCAAAATCACGACACAAAAAATTCGGGACGCCACCAAATCCCGGCAACCGAAATTTGGATAGTTAAGGGCAATCCGGAAACCCAAATCCCAACACGACAAAATTCCGACATGAAAAAATTCCCGCCGATAAGACGCAAATTGATTTCGCCATCGCTTGTCGGTGTTTTTCCATGTCGAGATTTTGGCCCGCCTGCGATATGCCTTGTCGACGATTTTACTATCAGGACTCTGTCGGTATTTTTATGTCAGCATTCTAGCTATCGGTATTTTCCTAGCCGAAAACGAAATTTTGTCGGCATTCTGAAAGTCTCCCAAGTACCCTAAAAATTTACCAGCAGGCCCGGGCGGCCCAACCGGACCCGGGGGCCCAGGAGTGCCGGGCACTTCGATGAGCTGCCCAGGGGCTCCGGGCTGGCCAGGAGTGCCGGGCTCCCCATCAAGCCCCGGAGCTCCGACTGGCCCGGGTGGTCCTGGGGGCCCTGGAGAGGCTGGTGGTGGTGTTGTTCCGGGTTGTCCCGGAATTCCGGGTGGTCCGGGTTGCCCCATGTTTCCTGCAAAATAGGGAATTTTCTTGCGCTTTACGGGTTAATCGCGTTCAAGACGCGTTGATCTACCCTTTATATACAAACCTGGAGGTCCCGGCGGTCCGGCCGGACAATCGAAACAGAAATCATCAGCCGAAGGTATCGCATCCGGAGCGGCATCATGACCGGGTTGTCCATCTCTTCCGGGGGCCCCATCTTGCCCGGGATTTCCGTCAGGACCCGGTGGCCCAGGTGGCCCACCAGGGCCCACACCACACGAGCAACATTGGCTGGCTGAAATGCGAGATTTCTGCTGTACTAGCTATGCTACGAGCATTCGGTAGCAACTTGATAGTGATCCAATAAGCACTGCGGGGGGGAGGCGGGCCACCCCTCTTACCTCTCGCTGTCCACCGCACCCGCACAGCAGCGTGGCGCAGTGGAAGCGTGCTGGGCCCATAACCCAGAGGTCGGTGGATCGAAACCACTCGCTGCTAAGGTTTTTGCTTTTTGGTCAAAAACTTTGGACGATATTCTAGTAGTTATTGAATTGACCATTTTGCACCAATTTTCTTATTTTCACTAGCTTGGGCGGGGAAAACCCTCTTAATATAGGTCTATTTTTTGGCGATCCATACTCGTAAGAGCAAGTAATCTACGCAAATAAGCATACTTCTTACCAGAAATTTGTGGAGCTTCCACAGCAGCATCCCCATATCCACCGTATGTTCCCGTACCCCTTGCCGTGGCCCGTCGTTTGTGATTTAGAGCTCTCTGCCGCGGATGCACCTCACGCTTCAGCCGGCCTGGGACCCCTTTGGCTAGCTCGAACTAAAGAAAATCTAGTTAGGACTTATTAAAGGGATTGAAAGCGAAAACAACCGTCAATTGGCCAATAAACTGCCAAAAACTGGGAAAAATCGAGTTCTTTCTACATTACCTTTGAATATTCGTGCCACAACCCTTGCGTTCTATGCGTACAGTACTCAATCTCATCCTGCAGCGACGACTGGACATGTTGCATATAGTTATAAAGAAGGGGCACCGCCACGATAGCCGTTACGGTAGCGATGGTGCTGAATAGAAAATGATATGGAAGAAGAAGAAAATTAGGACCTGATGGCGATGCCGAAAAACGCCAACTTCTTCAGCGCCTCAACCTCCACATGGTCTGCCTTTTCGTCGGTGTCATCTCGCATCTACAATGTTCATTAAATCATTGTAAAAAATCATGTAATATAGTTAAGGAATGAAAAGCACAACAAAATTTTTCATTTATTCGAATCGTCACAAAAATATGCCAAAAACTTAAATTACACTAAACGGTAAATTCCAGACACTTGTGCCGTAAACAGGAAAACACCGTAGCCAAGGAATGGGTTAGGCAGTACGGTACTATGGTTTTTGGAGAATAAGGTAACTACGGTATCCTGGAAGTCGTCTTTTAGTAACTAACGTAACCTGGGATCGCGTAATTAAGAAGATACTGTCATAGAAAGGGCGGCAGTAGTTTCGTTTAGCAAACGAATAATTTAGAGAGTGCTGTAATCATGAATTTCATCGTTAGGAAAGTTTTGTAAAGAGGATTTTAGCGTACTCGTGGACGTGATTAGAAAGTATCGTACGCTGGCAATAACGTACTCAGGAAGTTGTTGTCCACTGTAATTTCTTGCTAGGAAAGCTTCAGAGTAGGTCGGTCATTAGGTCAGTCTCGTAACTTTCAATTTCTTAATACGGAAGATGCCGTAGCCCTGAGCGTAATTAGTAAGGAACGTATGCTGGGAATTTCACAAATAGGAAGCGCTTATGCGCGCTTTTGAATTGAGGGAAATTCGGATTCGTCAAAAATGAGCACTTGTTCTTCCCGGGTAAAATGTTGTTGGAAGGGGACAATCGTCTTGGGGTAGAGGCTCTAGCCGGGGGGCAGTAATGACCCTTCGCTTCTGGGTGGTGTCTGGGGTAGAGGTGAAGTGGGTTGGTGAGTGAAACGATCGGACGGTTGACACCCGCCGGGGACCTCGCAATTCCGATACCTACCTCAAATGCCAAGCGGGGCGTAGGACCCGGGGGCCCCCCGAAATCGGCCGGGGGAAATTCAAAGGGGCCCTAGATTTTATCCAAATTTTCTGCCTGCGGCGCTAATTTTTAAGTTTTGGATTAAAAATAATTTTGCTGGGGCGCTTTTCGATTTTATTTGGCCCTTTTTTAGTACCCCCAAGCGTTGCATGGATTAGTTAGGGATCAATGAAGTTAATGAAAGGGGTAACGGCCCGAAAAATTGCGAAAATTGTCAAATATTGTCAAATTGTCAAAAATACCCGATATGGATTTATACCTTTAAGATGCCGCTACAAACCTATTAAAGGGAACGCACGGCGTCTCAGCCCGTTTTCGATCGCGTAAAGGGATAAAACCTCTCAACCGCGCTGGCCCGGCTTGTCTTTCCATCTAAGGAAATCCACGAAATAAAAAATGAAAAAGTAAAAAGTAATTAAATGGCCTAAAATGACGCAATTCTATGCCTACCCTGCTCCTTAAAAAAGGTAGAAGCGTTACATTTTGTCCGGAAAATGTATTTGGCAAAAACAAACAATCTTGCAAGCATCAAAAGCGCAAAAATTTTGCATTCACTATTGCAGAACCAAATCTGCAATAGCGACGATAAATTAAAATGGTTTAACCTGAAAAAATTGAGCATGAAATCAAGCCGCGCCACCGTAACCCACGCGGCCGCGTTGCCACCGGTCCGCTGCCTTTTATAAGGCCGGCTCGCCACGTGGAAAAAGCCTATTATTCGCCCCCTCTGTCCTCAAATTTGCATACGGACAGAGGAGCCGAGCGGAAAAAAGCCATGGAGAACCGTTTGATGGCCCTTCGGGGGGTTGGGTTGATGCCGGGGCAGGGTTTTAGCCCTCCGGTCGCTGGCATCCCTGAATTCGGTCCGCCCCTTGCCTTGCTCTCGCCCGGGGCTCATTATAAACTGGTTTGAAGCTACGGGGAGGGGGAAGTCAATAACCTCTAGAGGTAGAGAGAATATTGTAATTTGGATTTGGATAAGTTAATCGGTGCCAGGTGGTGAATTGTGTATAAAAATTATGATAGTTGATTCTTAAAAGTCGTATAACCACCATCATTCGCCTTGGCCGCTTGGCAACTTCAGAAGTGGCATTGCGTAGCCTAACGTACTTCGCTCACTACGGAAGCACCAATGAACAAGCGGAGCCCCCGAAATATATTAGTCAAAGGAACGAGCGAGGCACCAAACTATGGACATTGTTCGCACTAGATTTCATGCGGATTTTTGACGAGAGGCGAGGCCGTAACCGATAACGCAATGAAAAAAATGGATATTTCCATACGCAAAATCCAGAGCCATGCCTTGCCGGCACCTTTAAAAAGAGCCATTGAACAAGGCCTCCTCCGAATCAATTCCTTTTCAAAAAAGTACAAGTATCCGTCGGGTGGCAGACAAGGCACACGGCGGCGCCCCGCAGCGCGGCCTGTTCGGATGCAAATTAGAAGCGAGGCTAGGAAACGGGCGGAATGCATGCCCCCAGGGCACAAAACTCCCACCGCCGCTTCTGTAACCGCCCCAAACAAGTCTTCTGCGGTGGCAGACACGAAAACAGGTTGATTGCCTCGAATTTGGCTGTCTAGTTACTGGGTTACAGTTACGGTAGGTTAATCCGCGGTTTAGACAACGAGAGGAGAGAGAGGGTGAGAGAACGAGGGATAGAACGAGGGAGATAGAAAGAGAATGACAACGTGTGAGAGAGAGAGCGAGAGAGAGAGAGAGATAGAGAGAGAGAGAGAGAGAGAGAGAGAGAGAGAGAAAGAGAGCTAGAGCGAATGAGAGATTTCCCGGATTCCGATAATTACCCTATGACGGACGGACTGTCAGGTCTCGTCGAGAGTAGGCAAATGTAGGATTTATGAGGTCATACCTGGCGGTGAAAAATCGTCACTTTTTCAGAATATAATAAATATTTGTATTTTAACAGCAAAATGGGTGCTTGAATTCTTTGGTTTTTAATGCTGTGATATTTTGCTCGTTTTCTTATCCAAATCCAAGTTATTCAATAGTTGACGCGTGGGTGAATATTCTGACTGAGGGCGACGAGCACCTCGTTGTATTCTTTCTGGAGCCGAAGCGCCTAAATACAGTATTTTCCGACGTTTTACCGAAAGTCGACCTTCTCCTTGACCGGCCCATAGTTCGTTTCCCTCTCGTTTCGCTCGAAGTTAGCGCGAACTTCCGCCGTGTCCCTCGCGACGGCTTCCAGGCGTTTTTGGGCTGTTAGGAGCTGAAAAGGCAGTTATTAAAGGGAGGATTGAGACCCTTTCTTTGGATAGACCTCGACAATTTTAAAAATAGACAAACCTCCTTTGTAGCGTTTAATACTTGTCTAACCCTACTCGAACAATGGTAGATTAGCGAGCTTCATAGCCCCTTTAAAGGGCCAAAGAAGTCGTGCTCATATCTCTCTCCCTCTCACCCACCTTCTGATAATCCTGCATCGTATCCAGGCGCCGTTCCAACGCCTCTTTCCTGTCGCTCATCTCCACCTGATGGCCCTCAACTTCGGGAAGTTGCGCCTCCAGGTATTGCTGTCGGGTTTCGAGTTGCTAAATGATCGATGGAATCAATTGATTTTGTAGAGGTGCAACCCACCTCGGCCGATTCCCGAACGTCCTGCTCCAATTGCCTTCTATCCGCAAACTGCTCCATTTGGCGGTTCGAATCGCCGATTCGACCGTTCATGGCTTCCATTTCAGACCTATGTACGTTCAAAAATACCTAGAAAAATCACCTCAAATCCTCCTCCATTTCATTTAGAGTAATCATCTCCTCCTGTAGTCGGATGTGCACTGAAAAAGTCGTTTTCTCGCCTGTCGAGAGAGAGAAGAGAGTGAGGGAGATATAGAGAGTGAGAGAGAGAGAGAAAGGGAGAGAAAGGGCGAGAGGAGAGAGGGAGAGAGAGAGAGAGAGAGAGAGAGAGAGAGAGAGAGATTCCCTCACCTTCCTTCAACTCCTTCGCTGATGTGGCCGCAAATTCGCCCCGTTCACCCGCCGGGTCCATGCCGGTCACCTGCCCGCCCATGTTCACTTTGGCAATGTTGGTGGCGATTCGCTTCAGATTCTGGACGACGGCTTCGGAGAGTTCTTCCAGCTCCATCATCGAGAGCCTTGAAAAAATTAAGGTTTATCTTAATCGCATTTAGGCCTTGTCGGAAAGGCACTAATAAATTGTCTAATTAGAATTACGACATGTATTTTTGCAAAAAAAATATATTTTCCTCAAACAAACCGCATTTTTTTCAGACATTTGGCCTTCTATCAACGAACCCTTTTTCCTGGCACTTTTGATTCGCTTTTTGATCCACAAAGTACAGCCCATTCCCGACTTCTGAGCCCTTTTAAAAATCTACCTCTTCTGCTCTTCGAACGTCCCCAAAAACTCGCCCATCTGTTGCTCCTGACGTTTCAGCGCCAAGTACCGTGCATTTTGTTCTCCTGCAAGAAATCGATACTTTTTCTAGAGAGTCTATACCAACCAGTTAATACATCGATTTCATTGTCAAACTCGCGAAGCTCCTCCTGGGCCGTTTCGACCTGCTCGAGGACTTGGTCAAGCCTGAAGATGATACTTTATTCATAGAAAGTATCTTACTGCTTCTGCATCAAGCCGGCTTCCTCGTTGTTCTTCCTGACTTGAGCCAACAGCTTGGCTTTCTTGTCTTCGGGGGACTCCTGGTCCTCAGTCTCGCTTTTCAGGACGCGCTCCTTTTCGCGGAGTTCAAGTAGACGCTCACGGAGTTCGACTGGGTCACCATTAATTTGGATTTCTAGCTATCGCTTACTCGCTCTCTGCTTCAGTGGTGAATTTTGAAGTTCCTGCTCGAGGGAGAGACGCTTGTTTTCAATGTCTTTCATCTCGGATTCCTAAAGTTAATCGATTAAATATTAGTTGAAGGCTTAGCTTAGGCCTAGCTTAGGCTTATCTTAGGCTTATCTTAGGCTTAGCTTAGGCTTATCTTAGGCTTAGCTTAGGCTAGCTTAGGCTTAGCTTAGGCCTATAGGTACCTTCAATTCCATCTCATCCCTCAACGCCGCCGCCTGCCGTTGCAGTTCATCGTAACGATCTCGTACGGTGGGATCCTAAATCGCCTAAAATTCGTCCGCGATTTCTATTGGTTACCATCGACGCGATCACGGCCTGATTCAACCGTCGCTGCTCATCCAGCTCGGCGAGTATCTGCTCGATGCGACCCTCATGACCACGACGATCCGCAAAGAGTTGTTCTACAGCGGTTGAGACCTAAAATTTGTTAATTTAGAGAAGAAGCAGATGACTAAATTACCTGATCCGCCTTGCCCCTGACCTCCCTGGCCTCGAGCTCGATATCTCCCAGCTCAGAATTGGTGTGCATCCGCTCGACGACCATGTTCAGGTCGGCCAGCTTTCCTTGGAGTTCTCTGATCGCGAGAGCACTTTCTTCCGCCCTAAAGAATGGATGTAAAATTGAGCTTATGACCGACTGTTTCTCATAGATGGCCAGCTCATTTCGATCACGTTCTCCCTTTGCCGCGACGGTACGGAGACGTCCAATTTCCGCATTGATAGTAGCGATACGGTGTCGAAGCATAGCAATGTAGTACGATTTATCGTAGACATGGCGTTGGCCTGGAAGTTGAGAGGCTTAGAAACTGATCGTTTGTATACAGATAACTCGTTTTTGAGAACATACTTCCGGTTCCAGCCCTCGAAGCCGCCCGAATTCCGGTAAGCCCTTGTTGAGTTATTGGGCGGGCCGCCGAAGAAATTGGCCGCATCGTGGCGCCGCTCATTGGGCGATCAGCCAGCTAAAACATGAGGTTTTTGATGATTTAATGGATTAAATAAAAGTAAGACGGGTACTTTCAGCCAGTTTATTCCACAGACTACAATAATTTTTACTTTTTGTAGCATCCAAACCCGAAAACAACCCTATTTTGCCACCCACCTGTGCGCGCGGCGCCGTGGGAACTCGCGGCGCTGGCAGGCCGGCTCGAGAAGCTGGAAATCGACTTTATTTTTGCTTATTTTATCCTCCTTTTAATTTAATCAAGGACTTTTATTACTTGAATATTGTTTTCAAAAAACCAAGCAACAAGCCGCCAAAACTTACCAAGCCTTGGCGGCTCGGCAGTGGGAACTCGCGTAACACTCGAGCGGCTCTCCGGACGCGCTGGCTTTGGAGCTGTGCCATTTGCGGTGGGTGGGGCTAAAAATGTTCTTAAATAATATATAATTAATAAAGATACTTATTAAATATATTTAAAATGTATTAAAGACCCTACCGGGCCTCGAGGCCGTTTGTGGTCGCTGTCGAGCGGCCGATTGCGCCCGCCCGGCCGAGGTTTTTGGTCTGGCTGAGGGAGGGCGGGACATTTTTATAGTCTAGAGAGCCGATAATGTTATAGTGTTGTATAACATTTAATATCAAATGCTTTTAATAATAAAACTTAAAATCTTGACTTGGAAACCTAAATGGACCTTTTGCGGCCCTGATGTGTGACCTGTTACTATGGAAACGCGATGCCAACTTGCCTTACCTTGCCATCTCCCCCCGAAAATCGTTTAATGTATAGATATTTATCACATTTTAAGGTATAGAAACTCGTGACGGTAGGCAAGGAATGCAGAAAAATACATAGAGGGAATCACAAAGTTGCTTTTACAAGGAAAAATTGATGAAAATAGGATTTAAAACTATGTAAAAAGTAGACAACCGAAGTCAAAATTTATAAATACACTGTCTGCGTAATACATAAAACTGTAATATATAGTAATTACAATTTTGTGGAGAGTTGAGGGAAAGCCAAATGCTTGCCGAGCGTCGAATCGGAAATGTCCGACAGGATCTCGATGGCTTTTTCCTTTTCGGCATCACTTGGCAGGGTGGATAGATTGGAGATTGGCATTGAAAAGCCGAGGAGAGGGACGTGGACCTAGAAATAACATAATTGATTTTTTAGCCAATTTCATTTTGATATCTGGCTCGAGCCTTTATACTGTTTTTGCGACATACCAAGTTATTGAAGATAGCCATCAAACCCTGCGGAACTTGAAGCTGCACCACTTCTTTGTCAATGTCCACATCATAGTCCCCAGATTGTAAAGACAATGTCGGGCGTTTTTTCTCGGTTTCGGCCTGCGTTTCGGCCATCAACGTCTTCAACCGATCTACCCAGCCCTGCAGCTCCGCATCCGTTCTAGACCATCGATATTTACTAGCTCGTTATTCCCATACCTGACTTTGTACATCCCTCTCGTTTGAAACGGGAAAGTGCAGACCCGTTTCCCCCGGAATTCCGGCTTTTCCTTAGTTACGACTTTTTTTTAAATTGATTACTGCCTACCTCTGACACTTCCTTGATCCCGCAGACCTTTTCTAAAATTTCAAACTCATTCTTGATCCCGGGGAAACGATCAGAATAGACTTCCAGGACTCGCCAGAGCGTCTTTAGGAACCCAGCGTTCATCTCCTAAATTATCCATTGCTCATTTTTGTCTATTATTAATATCACACCAGTAGTATTATTAGTAGTGTACCTTTATCGGTAGCGTTGGATTTGCCCCCTTTAATGCGTGCATAACCTCAACGGCATCAGCAGCGATAGAGTCCAAAAAATAACCGCCCTGAAAATTTCGATAATTTATCGCTTTCCGATGAAATAATAAATTAAGAGAATAATAAATATATCTAAATTTACCTCCAAAATTAACGCCGTTGGAACACCGGTTGATAATAAAATTCTCGTCATGCAGCCGTAGCCAAGTGGAGAGACCCTCATTTCTCCTTCCGGATCGCCTGAAAGCAGAAAGTTAAGATGAAAAATAATATAGCCTATCATGAAAGTAAGTACTTGGTAGTAAATTACAAAAAACTTACCAAAAGCTGCATCAAACCCACACGAAACCAGAATTAAATCCGGCCGAAACTCCTGAATCAACGGAAGGGCAATGGCGCTCATTATCGTCAAAAATTCAGAATCCCCAAGCCCGGTAACGTTGAGGGGCACGTTGACGGTGTTCGAAACTAAATAAAAATATTATTTTTAGCATTGATTTCTTACATTTATGTTCGACGCCGCTCTGCTCGAGGTTCGGCCAAAATGTGCCGTGCTCAAATCGGTGGATGGAGAGCAAGAAAATGTCTCGATCGCCCTCAAAAAAGTTTTCATCTCTAGCAAAAACAAGTAATCTGGCTAGATTTCTCAAAAATTAGAACCTAAAAGATACCTCGATACACTCTTGCGTCCCTTGGCCCGCGTGCACGTCCCAGTCGAGGATGAAAACTCGTTTTGCACCCCATTTCTTGGCCTAGACTATGTTAAAAATATAGGTTTTAACTTGTTTAAAATTAAAATTGAAAAGACTTTCATAATATCCCCGTACCTGCTTCGCGCAAATCACAATGTTGTTAAAGATGCAAAACCCGCAGCCGGCGTCCGGGAACGCGTGGTGGCCCGGCGGGCGGATGGCCGCAAAGCCTGGTTCACTAAAATTTCAATATTTTAACTGAGCTAGCTTAGATAGACAAGAATATAAGAAATCGCTTACCCCGTCTCAACCACCTTTTTCGTCAGCTCGAGCGCCGAACCGGCCGACAGAAGCGCCAGCTCATAAGTCTTCTCATTCACATAGATATCCTCGAATTTGGCGGATTCGGCTTCCAAACTGGCCTGGAATTTCCGGTGCCTCGAGTCAAATTCATGAGCACCCACCTCGTCCAATCCCTGTGTAGCTTTAATCGTCTCAAAATATTCCGCGGTATGCACGGAACCGATTTCGGCTCGTGTCGCCGAGCGTGGCTTCAGTTTTTCGACGCCTTCTAGGGCACCACTATCCTAAAAACTCTTGTATTTTATCGTTTTAGATCCCGTCGAACACTCAAAGCTACATCTAAACTTTTTTATTGAGGGTGAATACTCATTTTGCTATCTAAAAAGTAAATTTTTATCTCATACCTGAAGCGCACGGCGTATAACTTGCAGCCGCTGCGGCACCTCGATGTGTGCCTGGTCCCAAGGGCAAAAATGCTCGTCCATTCGTTCATCGGTGATGAAGAACACCATTTCTGCCCCTAGAATACGCACCTGATTCTCGTAATGTTTTAATGCTGCCGAAAAATTGGTTATGTTCAAAGGGGAGGGTACTGGGAAATGCCATTGATAGGTCAGCCACTTGTGCTCGGGTGATAAGAGATAAGAGACGGGTCGTAGGATGTATTAGAGTTATTTGAAAGTTAGTCTTTATAAGGATTTGAGTAGAAAAAGCCTTACCAATCTTGTAACTAGGATTCGCAAAACATGCAGAAACCCGTTACGCTGGGTTATTTTAAAAAACTAAACTATGGTCGAATAAAATTTGTATTTTTATCGACCGCACGGTAAACTTGGGTCGACTAAACGGGTTGTGTTTTTCAACAGCCAAGCATACTTTTCAGACTTTTTCATTAGCTTTCTTGCCATTCTTCTACTTTTTTAGTTATTTTGCTAGCTATACATTGTATAGCTCCGGGACGTAACCTCCCTTTCGACAGACCAACAATATAGCGGCCTTGCCAACCCGCGGCGGGCATACAACCCCGTTAGCAATTGAGCGAAAATCGGTTCAACGCAAAAGCCAGAATCTTTAAATTTAGTTCCGTACGACACCAAAGTACACAATTCGTAATTCGTAAATTGTATTGGCGAGTACGCTTTTGCGAATTCGATTTTTAATTTGAAGTTTCGATATTTTTGTATTTTTCTTATTCAAAACAAAACCCTTTTTGTTCTAATAAAGTTTTAATTGTGAGAATCTTTCCCACCTTACATTCCAAATTTCAGGATGTCCTTCCTCTACCCTTGTCTGATGCCCGAAATCCCAACGAACTCCATCCCGCAAACCTCGCTTCCGCCATCCAATCACATCATCGAGACGGCCCGCATCGTTGCCGTGGATTCGAGCCTGAAGGCCAGACACGAGGATCTGATGCTTTCCCAGGTCACCGACCAGACAGCCAACTTTGTTCCGGATAGCAACGACGATGATCCGCCAGATGATGCGCCGCCTCCGTCATCCTGAACCGCAACACGTTGGCAACTATTTCCCCGGCGTTTGTAATTTTCTACTTTTGCATTGGTAAAACTACTCAGTTCTGTGCTCTCATAATGACCACATCGACTAGCTTTTTTCAGTGCTTACTCTACCCTTACATCTCCAAACTTTGGTTCTCTGTATATTTACCGGTTTTTTTCGATCTCACTATGTCCTTACGCGTTTTCATTTTGTGATAAATATAAGTAAACTTTCCAGAATGATCGGCTCGTTGTCACGATGGTTGCCTCGGATTGTGGACGCGCCTGCGCTCTCCCGGGCCATGTCGACGACGACGGCCCTTGGAAGATTCAAGCCGAACCGTGGAACGGGTGATACCGGCCAGAGCAGCCTCTTCAATGATGAGCGAAGATGGAAGGATGATGCGGCTTTTCAAGCTGTTGGAACCACCGACGAGCTTTCAAGCTACCTGGGAGTGTGCAGAGACGCTTCGATTCGCGCCTGCCTGCCACCTGACGTACCCGAATTGCTGACGAGGCTACAATGTTGCCTGCAGGATGTTTCGGCTCATCTTGCGACACCTGCAGGTATTTTCCAGTTATTCGATTCCTCAATATTGCCTTTTTTTAGATGCGGCGAATCGAAAAAAGAAGTTGACGTCGTTCGATTCTGCGATGGTGGAGTGGCTTGACGGCGAAATCGAGCGCTATGGCGATGCCGTACCTCCACTGCGACAATTCATTCTGAGCGGCGGTGGAGAGACATCCGCTAGCTTGCAGTACGCGCGAACGATCGCGAGGAGGGCAGAAAGAGCAACGATTCCGCTGATCCGGACTGAGGATATCGACCCGAAAGCGCTAGTCTTTCTCAACAGACTGTCGGACCTGCTGTTTGTGTTGGGACGGTACGCCTGTATGAAGACCGGCCATGAGGAGCTCGTCTACATGAGGCCGAAGGAATTTACACAACAACGCTGGCAAAGCCGAAAGCTGAAGGAAAAAGAGGACCCAGAGAATAAATAAGCTTTTTATTAAATTTTTCGCGTCCGGCTGTATTTTTATTGCTTCTCGTCATGTTCTCCGGTTTCCATTTATTCGGGTGTTCACATTAAATTTTCGATTGTAATTTTTCGAGCTTAGGAGATGAACCTGGCCCCTCCTCTTCGACGGGTCCTTGCCAAGCGCTACCTCCATCTGACGCTGCTAGGGAGAAATCGTGAGTTTCCTTTAGCTAGTTTTTATATTGTGTTTGTTCAGAGCGTGGCCCGCTGACGTTCGATGGTTGGTACCCGCGTGATCACAAGCCCGGCCCGTACCCCGAAAATGACGAGCAACGTCGTGCCGCCGCCACGAAGTATGGCATCCGCCCCGAAGATTACAAGCCTATGAATAAGGTATTTTATGAGTTCGTTAGTTTAAGATATCGAAAACGTGATAGAATGACTGAGAAACACGTTTTATTTTTTCCCATTTCAGGACGACCCAATCAAGTACGCTGGCGACTATCCCGATTTTGGCGTCGTCACATTTGACCACAAAGACCCGTACGAGGACTATTCCGACCGTCAGATGCGCCGTAACTGGGGAGAAATGGTTTGTATCCGGTTTTCGGCCCTTTTTACCATTCTTCCTTCTAGGTCTCCATCGACATGATGCGCTACCGACCCGATCGTCTCACCTTCACCGGGCTCAACGAGGAGGACTATACATAGTAATTTTTCTGTTCTTGGCTGATCTAACTGCTTTTTTTTAGCTGGGGCCACTTCACGATCATGGCTCGCGTGCTCGTACCGATGCTCGTCTTGACGTATCTCTTCACTCAGTCCGACCCCAACATTTTCCGATGGCAGAACCCGGCGGTAATCGGACCTCCTAATTTACTGATGAGCTTTTTAGATGCCCAAGCAGTACCCCTACGACTTTGCCCGTGCCTTCCCGTTCGGCGACCCGCGCGACTACCCAATCAAGAACTATTCCTTTGACCTCGAATAGACCGCTGAACTTAACGTGTAGCGCATTATCCTTCTTTTGTTCATTTAATCTGGTCTTCTATGTACTTTATTCTCTCTTTCTAACTGATTAGGGTTCACGCGTTGTATTTTTTGGAGATGCCGTTGTTAGTGGATATAAAGGAAATAAATATTTTCTATTATCATTGAATTGTTTAACAGTCTGCTTCTGCGACATATTGGATATTATTCGAGACAACGTAGTTAAAGAAGCTTGTGTCCAACAAAGGTTACCTATAATTTAGGCCTCGGCGCAATGCCACGTTGAAGTTTGACTAGGGTTTGCGATGGTTTTTCTTGATGATTTTTGTGAAGGTAGGGTCGCAAATTTTTAGTAACGCGCTATGATAGCTGCGTAATAAAACCCCCTTTTAGTATTAGAAGAGTTGCCGACAGAGCTTCAGGATCGCTACGACGAAATTGGTAGATTAGACGAGGAAGTGGAAGGTACGTAGAAGTCAGCCGGAAGAATTAATAAACAACATTTCAGAATCCAGGGAAAATTATCACCGTAATGTCGTCGCCTTTTTCAACAAGACGCCAGAGCTGGACTCTGAGGGAAAACGTAAAGAAGTGGAGAAATTGACGGAGGTTGGTCCTGCAAAGAAAGCTAATTGCCTCTACCTTCCATACATAATTTAAGATTTTTTAAGGAATGGAATTCGATTCGGAAGAAGGCCAAGGCTAAAGTTGAAATTGCGGAAAAGGTGCAGGTAAGGTCGAATAGGAGCGTTGCAATTGAGTTTGGATTTTAGGATCTCCTGGAGAAGTTTGTGCAGCACCTTGATCGGGAGAAGGAACATTTCAAGGGCGAACTGGAGGCGGATAACCCTGGGATTACCGCAATCATCGAGCAGCGTATGAAATTACATTCCATTGAGATAGCAAGCTTTTAGGCTTCACCGATTATCTGAAGTCAATGCTGTACCAAGGCGACAAGCCGCGGTTGTCGATGCAGCTGTCGATGCCGAATTTTGACGATCCCTTCATCGACCCGTTGTTCCAGAATGACGATGATGTGAGCTGGAATTGGATTTTTTGAATGTCAGCTCTTTGCAGTTGTTCAACCCGGATTGGGATCGGCCGCAGGGCAGACGGGGAAGCGCTGCGTCGAGCTCAGATGAAGCTGGGCCATTTAGGGTAGGAGAAAAAAATATGCATTTAAAAGGAAATGAATTTTAGTCAAGAAGACCTACCAACCCGCAGCTCCGTACTCCGACGACAGCTGGCATTGATCTTTCGCCTGCGTCTTCCGAGAAAAGTGGGGTTTTTCTAACTTAAAATGAAAGGGTTTAACGCTGACATTAAAAGTAGCGAGTCAAGAAAGCTGGTCTTGCTAGGTTGGACCCCGTTCGGCAGCATGTCCCACGATAACAGCCCGGGCCCAAATTTGAGCCAACCGGCTTCAAATGTAAGTCAATACAACGGGCTGTAACTCTACCATCTTTTAGCCAGCAATGCCAAATTTCTCCGGGATCGAGAGTCGACATGGGCGACAAAGAAAGTAGGCATAAGGGAATCATTCTATTGATTCAATAAAATTTCAGGCTGACATCGCGGGTCCAGGAGATGTTCAAGGACACGCTGCAACGCCAGCGCTCCTACCACTATGTGCCTGCCGAGGAGCCGGAAGAGGGTGGGTCTTGTTTTTAATGCTGAATTTCTACGAAATTTCGTGTAATTATAGAATTTCTAGAATCCGAGTCTTCTGAAGAAGATGAGGAGGGCCGGAAGACGTGGTGCATCTGTAACGAGAAGAGCTACGGCAAGATGGTGGCTTGCGATAACCAAAAGGTAGGTGGAAATCGGATGTTGTGCAGAATTTTCAGCTTTTCCTGAATCTGCTATTAGAAAAGAAAAGTCAAGTAGTAATCAAAATTGAGAAGTCGTACTAGCCAAAAATTAGCTAGTTTGGGCCTTTTTACACCCTAAAATAAGTGGTAACTTTTGAAATATGGTTTTTACAGCATAGCGCAAAACTTCGCAGACCCTGGAATTCAGCAGGGAATATCAAAAAGCATACACAGATATATAATTATTAATACAGTAAAATCAGCCAATTTCAGTGCCCCTACGAGTGGTTCCACTACCACTGTGTCGGTATCACGGCCCCGCCGCGCGGCAAATGGTACTGCCCGCACTGCTCCGAGAATCTCTGCGCCCCCTCCCACGGTCTGGACCTGAATTTTTAAGCTTTACCCCGAGTTTCACACCCCTTTTTCCTTTCCGCTTTCCTTATTTTGATTTGCCGTTTCCCACCGCTTTATAACAACCCTGCGTTTGCTTTAACCCCCGCCAAAAAATCACCTCTACACACTCCACAGCTCTGGTCTCAACAATCCTTCTCCTCACGCCCTATCTCAACCCTCAAAATGTGCATAAAATGTCTACGATTCTGATCTGCTGCCGAATTATGCTAAAAATTTGCTTTATATCTGTTCGCTGTAGAGAGGCTGGCCCTTTGTTAGACAAAACCCCTCGCATTTTAATAAAATAAGGGCCGGGCAACAACGGTTACCGGAAGAAAAGCCGCGCCCCCCCCGGGCGCGCTCCCCGTGGCTACTTGCCAATTTTGGGGGGGGGGCGTCGGCCCTTTAAGCATTTCCTATATTTTCAAGTGTATCTAATAAAGAGTTTAACCCACTACAAATTACCCGACAAATCACACAGTTGGACGGAAGGCAGACGTTGGGGGGCTACAAGGTTAGGTTGATTATTTTTATACCAAGCATTTCCTGAAATTTTATTTGACTGAATAGAGAGTGAATCCGCACAAAGGATAAAAACCATTGATTTTACAAATTACAAATATTTTACGTAAAAGCACAAATTGCCATTAGGCATACCAATCATTGTGCGAATACCAATTTTTCATAAATTTTAAACGTATCTATTCAAAAATCTTGGCCTTTAAAATACATAAAATACGAATTTTCCAAACAATAAGAATGTTGTCTAGCATGGAAAGGGGCTATTTAGTATTTGGTAAGTAATCGGGTCGGAAATGAAACAATGGGATGCTGCGACCCCGTCGCTGGTCGGGCCCAGCCCTTTTCAGCCCCTTCTCGGCGCTCTCTCCCATGCAGCGATGTCCGAGTGGTTAAGGAGATTGACTCGAAATCAATTGGGCTCTGCCCGCGTAGGTTCGAATCCTGCTCGCTGCGAACTTTTTGCTTTTTGGTTCTTTTACCGGTAATTGGCAGGGAAAGTGCTGTAAGTGGCAAACGTGCCCGTAATAACCGGTTTTGATGCTTCGTTGCGGGTTTTAGGCTAGTAACTAATTGAAACTCGACAAGCTATCGCTCTACAAGCTCCAACCCAGAATCCTGAAAATCTTGATATCAAGGGTATGCTGGGCAGCCGATTCCTCCCACCCCTAGCGTTCTAGTGAAACCCCAAAACCACAAGCCCCCACCAACCGCCCGCCCGAACTGCGTGGTGGATGGCGGAAAAACTGAAATCCTCGCCCCCCGAATTTCAGCCGCAGGAGGCGATCCCCCACCCCCAGAAGCTGGGGCTCTCCTTGGCGCGGAATAGCTGGGCGCGTAGAGAAATGTGGAGAAGAGGGTGACGAGCCATTGGAGGGACGACTGATTGCAAGTTTTCCACAGTCCACCCGGCCGGCCAGCCCCGGATTCGACCGTCCCGCCACGAAGGGGAAGCAGGCAGGGGAGGAGGGCGGCTGACGCATTCCGCACCTGCGAAACGTTTTTGCCAGTTTTCAGACAATTTTAAGGGCTGTTAATTATGGGTGTTTTTGAAGGTAATATTCGAACGAGACTCATAGGTCCTCAGCTTAAATAGAAATTTCTATTTGAAAATTCAAATAAGTGATTTAGCTACTTTTTGAATTCAGTCAAACTTTAAGAAGGTTTAAGGCTAAAACAAAATTCAAAAAATCAGAGCCTAATTGGGATTACATTTAAAGCCTGGAATTTAAAGCAGAGTGAATAGTTAGTTGTAGCTTGTAGCTTAAGGTTTCTATTTTTCGCGTTTTGGCAAAAAATCTTTAAAATCCATGGTTTTTGCCGAAATTTAAGCAATTTTTAGCCGTTAAGGTTTCGAGTACGTCTGGCTACTTCGGACGTCAATAGAGTTAGATTAAAGGCAAGTGGAAGACACTAGATGTGTTTCTCGACTATGGATTAACCTTGGATTAAGGATACGCTAGATACGCAACGCGCCTGCCATACACGTGCGTTCCGTTTCGCGGCCCCGAAGATCCCCATGGAAAGCTAAAATAGGAAAAAATAGCCATAGTTTGCCAGCGCCTTTTCTTGGTCCTGAAAAATGGCTACTTATCAAGTTCCAGAAGCCGATCCAAATTCGACAATGTCCAGGATCGTTCTCGCTGCAGCTCTTTCTCCATCCACCCTCCCAATTAATCAACCATTACCAGTTCCCCCAGTTATCACTTGAGATTCCTGGGGAGCAACAGCCCGATCTCCCCCCTAAGGGAGGAAAAGCCGCCAAAAACAGGCTCCGCTCATTATCGGCGCCACCCCCATCCCCTGTGTGACACTACGGTATCGACGCGACGACCGGGCCGAACTCGGTCGCCGTATATAAGTTTTCAGGGGGCGGGTGGAGAGGGAGGCAAAGGAGAAGGGGCGAAGGCGGCTAGCCACCCCACCACCATCGCTTTGGAACCGAGTTCCAGTCCTTCTTCTCGTGCTCCCCCCGAAAGTCCGGGGGGCTACACCCCAACCACAATCCTCCCCCCACATCCCCACCTAACCGCTAGATTTTGCGCGGAAGATCATCTTCTAGCATTCCTTGACCCTTTAGAATTATTAGGGTGGTATTTTGTGGTTTTTAAGATAGTATTTTGGATATATAACGTGGAATTTTATCGCCTATAAATTTTTTGATAATTATTTGGCCATTAAAGGAACCGGAAAGCCTTAAAATAGCCTTTTTTCTTTTTCCTTAGGGACTTGATCTTGTGTTTTCTTAACTTCTCTTCTCTAGAACTTACTTACGAGACGCACCAAATCACACTATATCGAGGCAATCTTACTGTATTTAACGAAGGATTCCGAGATTCTGATAGCCCGTCGTTTGGTGTACATTGTAGTGGTCCAAAACGCGGAAATTTAAGTTGTTAGTCAAAATCTCGCTGAAAAATCCGACTTTGGAGCTGAACTCCTTGAAAACGCTGCCAAATTCTTATGTGGTTTCTTAATGCTGTTCTTCTACCTCCTTGTTCTTACCAATTTTTGATGCTTCGTCTTCCCAAGTCTCTCAATTCCAAAAGATTCCTCCAATTTGCAGACCGCCCGCTCGTCCCGTCGTCGGCCCCCCACGAGACGCCGGCCATGGACAAAGAGACGGAGGAGCAGCGCCAGATGCGGCGCATCGCCTTTGTTGCCGTCAGTTTTTGCGCTTGTCTGCCTTAGTCTGGCGTACCTTAGCGTACTCTCACGTACCTAAAAACAACGTACCATTTTCAGGTTGTCGTTTCGACAACGGCCATCATCGCCTCGGTGCTGACGTTGCCGATGCTGTACAGCTACGTCCAGTCTTTCCAATCCCATCTCATGGTCGAGACGGACTATTGCAAGGTTGGTGATGGGGGACGGATTTAAGGATATGTTTGGTACGTCAGTAGGCGCGTAATGGATTCAAAATGGCTCTTTATGTGTCAGAATGTTTGAAAATTGCCTACGTTTGCACTTAGAGACAGGTTTTATGAAAAATGTCGGGGTTTTCGTCAGGGAACGGATTTAGGGTTACGTTCGATACGTCAGTAGGTGCTCGAGGTGACGCCTGATATCTCAATTTTTTCAAAATCACGCGTTTTCAAGATCATTATTTTGTACCAGCGTCGGCTTGTTATATTTTTCCCAAATTCCAGGCCCGGTCCCGCGACATGTGGCTGGAGATGACGGCGCTGCAAGCCGGCAAGAATCTGCGACACCGTCAGAAGAGAGGCTGGCTGTTCGGCCAGTGGATCCCTGAGGGAGGACAGGGCGGAGGTGGAGCCGGCTCGTACGGAGCTGGAGCCGCTGGACAGGGCGGCGGCGGAGGAGGTGGCGGCGGCGGAGGATACGGTGGCTATGGAGCCCCCGTTGTCAATGCCGAGCCCCAGGCCGTGTGCTGCACCTGTAACCAGGGACCGCCTGGCCCGCCTGGACCCGAGGGACCTCCTGGAAATGATGGAAAGGTGGGTGGATGAGAGAATATAGAGGCTTACAGAGTACGCAACACCCCTTGCTTGCAAGCCCCGTTAACCGGCTTAAACACGACGCAACGCGACCGCCACGCGTCTAGACATTTCCAAAATTTACCATATCCTTCCAGGACGGCTCCGGCGGCAAAGACGGACTCAATGGCCAGGATGCCGAGCTTCTCCCAGCTCCCCCATCAGAGCCATGCATCATCTGCCCCCAGGGCCCACCCGGCCCCATGGGAAATATGGGCCCCAAGGGACCGCCCGGACCCAAGGGATCTCCCGGAGAACCCCCACAGGACGGAAAGCCCGGAGAGGACGGTATGCACGGACAACCCGGACCTATGGGAAGACCCGGAAGGGATGGTATGCGAGGAGCCCCCGGACAGTCTGGACGTCTCATCCCTGTCCCCGGACCTCAGGTATAGTAGATGAACAAGATTGAAGGCCGAAAAGCTGAGCTAAAATTCAGTGAAAGGCTTAGCCGAGCTGTCACGATCCCTTTAAAACAACTTTTAGGGACCTCCTGGCCCGGCTGGACCTCGTGGACCCGCTGGTCCCAAGGGCAACCCCGGACCCGACGGACAGAGCTACGATGGACCTCCTGGACCTCCTGGAGACCCTGGACAGCCCGGAAAGGAGGGACGACCCGGACCCAATGGACCTCCCGGACCCCCAGGTAAGGGATAGTGAACACGGGCTTTGCTTGGGCTTAGCCTAGGCTTAGCTTAGGCTTAGCTTGCGTTTAGCTTAGGCTTTGCTTAGGCTAGGTTTAGGCTTAGTTTAGATTAGCTTAGGCTCAGCATGAAGCTTGGATTCAAGCTTAGGCTGATTCTTACAAAACTATCCCAATTTTCCAGGAGACGACGGCCCGAAGGGATCGTGCGAGCACTGCCCCACCCCCCGTACCCCACCCGGCTATTAGTGCGCCCGGAAGGGAAACGTCGAGGACTGTTGCTATCTCTCGCCCTCTCTGTCCCTCTCACTCTCTATCTCGATCAACATCACTCGCCCACCACACGGGTGCCCCCGAATATCGCAGAATTTATTCCGCCACTCAATGATAATAAAAAGGAGTCCATTCAAAGTACAAAATACGTAAATGCGTACACAAACGTACTGCCCCATGTGAAGCTACCGTAAGACTTGGTTAAGTACGTTTCGATACGTAGGTAACAACATTTGGAGTCCGTATTTCGTCAGGTGCATCGTATTGTCGACGTACGACATCAGGGAAATGGGGTCGTACGTGCGTATCGTGGTGTTGTCGTAGAAAGGGGTGTCGGAATGGAGGAGTCGGCATTTTCGGCAAACGCCGAGCAGGGCGTCAAGACGAAGGCGGATGTGACGAAGCCGGGTGTCGGAACCCTGGAATTGAAGGGTTTATGAAGCTTGAAAAGCTATAGAAACGTAGAAAATAGCGTAGTATGTTGATAAACCCCTAAAAAATCTGAAATTTCGCTTCTTAAAGGGATCGGCAACCTTAAGTGGAAATATATAGAGTTCTAAAGAAGCTCTCCCCACCTCCTTGTCCAAATTCAACGCCTCCAGCGGCCTCCCTCGCTCCAGCCGTTCCAAAAACTCGCTCAAAAAATTCTCCGGATACACCGGATGCGCGGATTCGATAAGGATATGATCAACGTGCTGAGAGTAGAAATCAGCATTCTAAATTCGTACAAATCCAGGCTCAACTTGCTGAAAACCTGCAGAAATTGGGTCAACACCGGGTCCAGCGGTACGTAGGGGTTCATCTCCGTTTGGAGGTATCTATTTTTAACGTTAACATGATGATGCCGTAATAAAAAAAAGCTTGAACGCGAAAAATACCTGACCAAGATGATGAGCACCTGCGGTTTATAGTCCAATATCAGTTCCCTGGTTGTTAAATTGAGATCTGAAATATCGACATAGACCTAGGCCAAAGCTAAGCTAAGCCAACGCTAAGCCTAAGCTAAGCATAAGCTAATCCTAAGCTCGTACCCTGGTCGTAATGAAAAAGCACGTTATTCCCCGGATAGGTGAACATCGCCAGGTTTGCGTAGTTGAGGGCGAGCGCTTGCCGAATTATCTGGGGTCCGAAAAGAAATATAAAAAGTGCAAAAAATCTACCTGTATTTGCTGGGTAGCATACGAGTTTCCAACGACCAAAATGGAAGAATTACCGTAACCTGGCTAAAGCTGAGGTTGGCGCCGTATAAAAAAATCTACCGGGAATTCGACAAGTCCAAACGGCGGTCCAGTATTGTGGTATCCGAATCCGACAGTACGGTAGTGGCCGTCGGGATAGATGAATTCGCCGTTTTGAAGTTCAAGATTGGCTCTAATGAGGGCTTCGTTGTCCTTATCTAAAAAATTTAAGATAGAAACCCGGCGGCTGCGTTGCGTGGAGTCTACACCTCCTCAAAGTCCGCGAAATCTACCGTACCCATCCCCATTCGATGTAGGTCCTCCCAGAAAATCAGCAGGTATGCACAGAGCGCTAGAAAAAGACCTGTGGATAGTATGGCGAGGCGACGATTCCTAAAATCCGCGATTATACCGTAAACCTCTAAAGAATACCGTAATAGAGGTTTTTCCAAGCATTCGTGTAGGACAACAGCCAAAAGCACTGATATCAATATTGCCGAGGTTGAAGCTGTAATTTCGTTTCTAGAGCCCTGCCCTCCTAATCCGCACCTTCAATACCGTGCCCGCCAAGTCGTGAGCCACCTTCAAGCAATTTTTTATGAGCACTGATGAAATAGACGATGAACTGCAGAATCGGCCAGTGGATGAGGTATAAAACGTATGAAATCGAGCCGCAGTAGAGTATAGGGCGGAGGGAATGGAGGGTAATTTTACTGAAAATCTTGAGGTTTTGGTTGGGTCTCTCGCTCGCTCTCTCCCTCTCTCTCTCTCTCGCTCTCTCTCTCTCTCTGTCTCTCTCTCCAACCTACCTATACGATCCCGATGCTAGCAGCCCTGAAGTGCTCACAGCTATCAAGCTTCTACAAAACACCGGAAATCCAACGATCATCGGCCATGGCCAAAAAATCACGAGCACCACACCACTCAGGAGCAGCTGTAGGACCGGTATTGCTGTTCCACCCTCTAAACTACACTTATAGAGCGAGATACCCTAAAAACCCGGGAATTCAGTTCTTCAAGGCCTACCCCTGCTCGTGCTCCTCCGCGACGTCAACTCCGCCAAGCAGCCCAAGCCAAATTGCCAAAGCCTGGCCGACAATTTGTAGTGAGAATCGGTGCGAATGTAGAGGAATTGGGTGCTCCATGAAGCTGCAGAGAGAATCGCAAGCAGGGCGGTGGCTATGTGACGGCTTTCTAGAAGTTAGGAAAATTTGTATGGCGCTGTTTAAAGGAATTCGGACGCTTAGGCCTAAGCCTAAGTCTAAGCCATCGACCCGTTTGTTCCATTAGGTCTCGACAGGTACGTTATTTTTCCAAATTCCATTCCAACGCTTTGGACATTCCGGTAACCTTTCTCAGGGTGTTTTTTTGGGAGCTCCTAGCTTTCCCGTCGCTGTCGAGGCCTAGTTAGTAGAAGGGGTCGATTTTCGAACTTTCCATGCCCTTTCAGAGACACGCCAAAACCCAACTTTTTCGTATTAATTGATGCAGACGCACGACAATCGGGGCTATCAGGTAAAATTGCATCTCGACGCTGAGCGACCAGCAATGAAGGAATAAGCCATAGTCATTCGGCTAAAATTGAGATTTTGAGCAATTGTAAGAATTTTTACGCCATGAAAATAGGCCTTTTGCAGGAGGGCGAGGTCGTGGTTTAGGAGAAAGTAGAGGGCCGTCCGAAATCGGTCAAAATTGGCGACCAACCAGCCGGAAGTCATCGTGAAGGTCGCGGCAAGCGCTGGAAATGAGCGTTTAAAGGGGTGATGATACTTTTAAGCAGTTAAGAAGTACCAGAATCGATCCTAAGCGAAAGGCACAAAGAGAAAATCGTGACACCCGAAAAATGAATTTTACGCGTTTTTTTTGAGCATCGACTGGCTGTCTAGACCCAGTCCAACCAGGGCCGAATTTCGTGCTTCCTAATCCCTTTAAATGGCCGACAAGGCATAAACAGCCTTGCTCTGATAGATTGTCGCACCCTTTAAAACATCCTTACCCGTGACAAACACCACGAGATAATACATCGGCCCGATCCTCGTTATTCGGCGCACCAAAAATTCCCGAACACACTCGATGCTAACCGCATTTGCATCCAGGATTGAAAACATCAAATAACCGGACAACACGAAGAATCTGCAGCCAAAAGTTTCAAGGATCCATGAAGGCACTTACATATCCACGCCCAGATAGCCGAGCGAGAATATATCCGGGAAAGCATGGAAAAGCAGCACTCCCAGGATGGCCACGCCTCGCAGGGAGGCGATATCAGGGCGGAATTTGGCTGGAAATGGAATCTTTTTCGAAATAGCTAAAATACCGACAGCCGAAGGGCCGACACTCAAGATTTTGCCTATCGCTGATTTAACCGTTGCCATGTCGGCATCTTGATTGTCGGCATTTTCACCGTCGGTATTTTGACTATCGATATTACGGCTCTGTTTGACTGTCGGCATTTTTCTATTTAGCATAGCCCACCGTCTTGTGACTCCTGGAGGATCAGACATTTTAGCGAAAATAGTTGCATAGAAAATAGCGGATTGAAAAACAGAACTCGCAGAACTTCTCAAAAGTCGTTCTGGCGTGAATAGATAAAAATCCCGGAGAAAGCTGTTTTTCCAAGCGGACCCAGCCCATTTTATGCAAATCTGCATATCTGGGTCAGCAGCCCGAACGGGTTGATAGAAGATGGGCGGGTTTTTTCTCCGGTTAGCGAGGAGGCGAAAACATCTTTGTTGTCACTGCGTATCCATATCGTCTTGGGGAAAGCAGTTTGTGTTTTTAAACTTGGGTTCTTTTGCATTACCGGGGGGGTCTTATATGTCCACAAACGTATAGTAATGTAAGAGTTGGCATCTTAATAGTGTTTTGGGTAAAATTGGCCAGATTTGAGGTGGAAAAACAATAAGAAACTGGTTTCGGTCGCAAGTTTGGTCTGGAATCTACCATTTTTAACTTAATTATCTATATTTTTGCATTTTTTTAATAAAATTTATATTAAAAAAAATTTCTCGCTGTAAAACCCCGATAAAGCAAAAGTACCGAGTTTTCTAAATAAACCGCTGCAATCCTTGCTTTAGGATGTCTTAAAATTCTCTTCGTTTTTTCTTTATGTTGTTTAGCAAAAACAATTTATCCAAAAACCGAAACTCTTTCTTTGGTACAGATTTTGGGGGGGGGAGCTGAAAGCACGGGAGAAAGGGATAGCACGAATGGAGGCAAAACAGGAGGGACTAGAAAAGTGTAAAAGGTACAATCCGTAGCGACCCGAAAAGTGATACGCAAAGTGGGAATATCATAGCATAAGTCATCAAATTTAATTGGATTATTCCAGATAAATATCCTCGGTGGGGTGGGCGAAAGCCATGTACTCGTCGTAGGAGCGCTTGAAGGCTCGGCTGAAAATTCATAAAATTAATTGACGCACAATTAGACTAAATTACTGAATGAAACTTTATAAACCCTATTAATAAATATACTGGTAAAAAAATAATTAAAATTTCATATGGATTTTAATATTATAAAATTGAGCTTAGTTTAAATTTAATTGTTTTTCAAAATTCGCTTAATTGAACCGGATTAAACTATTTTAAATTTTACCGCGTAAATCAGCAAATGCTAATTCGTAGAATTCCGTACCCGATCGACTCGACGATTTGCTGGGTCGACTCGTTGGAGACGAACACGTGGCACGCGAATCGGGGCAAAAGCGGATGCTTCGTGATGAAGCCAAAGTACCTGAAACCGCAAATTAGAGATCGTAATTTGCATACCGCCTAACTGCCATATTTTTAGACGTTTACAACGCTTCAAATCGACTAAAAACTCACTTCAGCTGTTTTGGATGGGACCCGCAAAATGAGATATTCTGAAGGCTGTAGAAGAAGTCGAATGTCGGGCATTGGAAGAACTAAAAAGACATAAAATCCTTTTTGAAATGGTATATCGTTTTTAATATAATTTGGACACAATTTTCAAGGCAGAAATAAATTTTTAGCGCTCACATTCTTCTTTTTCTTGTCGATGACGTGGACGCCGCGGAAGGAGACCTCGAGGAGGACCGTTTGAGGGACTAGCACCTCGTCTCGATTACTGTACATCCCCAGTACCTAAAAAAATAGATTTATTAAAGTTTATTATAATGTATTAAGGAATTTGGAAGACCGACTCTTATAGCATTCAACAGGGTCAGAAGTGCCATGTGGATTTTGCCTTCCTACTCCTTTAGAATGGTCGAAAAGTTAGCATATTTTGTTGTCAAAATTTCGTTTTTGCTTTCTTTCTTCGGAACCGCTAATAAAAGCTATAATGAAGAATTAAGCTTTCTTTGAAAAAAACCTAACCCAAAGCTAAACCAGCGAACTATTTAATTTTTATTCGTATTAAAGTTAATATTTCAAAAATTTATAAAGTTTTCCTTTGATTTAGTCTTATTTAAAAGCTATAGTTTTCGCATGCGAATTTAAAAAACCAACCCCACCTTATTAATAGCCTGTATCAAGACGTCATTCCCCTTGTGATGCCCAACTTCAATCGAGCCGAGCAGCGTTAAATAGAAGGTGTCACGCTCTTCTTGCAGCACCTCTGAAAGGAAAAACATTATAGAGCTAAGACCAGCTTTTTAATTTAAAAATAAACTTGATTTTCGTAAAAAAAACGGACTTTGTGCATTGCTGGGTAGGGCGCCTTGGCAGATCTCATCCACCAGATCGATCTCACACACCACGGAGGAGGGGAAAATTCCGTGCTGGCCGGTTCGGAGGTTTGTGCCTGAAAAAAATGGGGGTTGAAATTTTAAGAAACCTTGGCGTAGTTATTGGCCAAAATTTCGTATATACAAAAACGTACCGTAACACCAATTGTCCTCACACGTCCGGTCCACATGCACTGCGTCGCCCATCTCGAGGAGAAGCTACAAAATATGTATAGAGCTAATTAATCAAGATATAAGTGTTTATTGAGGTAAAATACAACGTCATAAACAAAATTAAAATAAAATAAATTTAAAGAATTCGATAAGAATTCGATACCTCATCACTGTGCCGGGGGTAGAAAGCCGTTTGAACCCGGTGGGTCGGATTTTGGGATTCGCTTCCGGCGCACGAGGAGACGCCAGAGGAATCTTCAGGCGAGAAAAATGCTGAAACCAGATCTTATAATTTCGTAAAGCACCCTGTTTTAATTAGAAAAATATCAGTTCTGGCGCAGGTTTTTAGCTTCTTGCGGCCGACATGGTCCAAAAATTAACAATCTGCTTGCCTTCCTTGCTTTATAAAAAGATGTGGAAGAGCGAAAATGCTAAAAAGATAATAATATAATCCGATAATAAGCTAAAAAAACTTCCAAATACGCACATTTCCTATTTTTCCTGGTTGACGGATAGCCGCTATTGCCATTCATCCCGTCCTCTTCATAATAAGAGTCCTCGAGGGCACTTCGCCCCATCATCGACGCGTCCATTCCTGAAATTGGTTAGGGTTTTCGCGCCTCCGATAATTTTCAGTCGACACGAATGCCTAGAAAAATGCACATTTTAACTTTAAAATTCATAATGGTGTTAATTTTTTAGCGTCTGAGGTTTGATGGTCAAAACAGCAAGAAAGCTTGAGGGGATGTAGCGCGATGGGGTTGATTTTTCAACCAAGAAATTTTGCTTACCAAAACACAGCCGATGATCATTGTTGGCAGCAGCGGCCGGGGTTGTTGTTGGCCCATGGAGGTGCCCTAGCAGGGACTGTTGCCCATTATGGGTTCCCATTATTGTTGGTGGCAAATCACGAAGTAGGGCCACAGGGAGTTGTGGCAAACGACGACCGCCCGACGAATGGTGCGCCGGGGGAAGCACTGGAAAAGAAACAAATTACGGTATAACGCTCGTAAATTTCCGTAAATAGTTCAAAATTCTGAAACGAAAACCCACGTACATTTTTGCCAAACTACGGTCAAAGAAATCATAATTATTTAAAGTAAATCAGCCGTATAGAGTCTAACTGAAAATCGTAGAAATCTGAAGGATGGTATTCGGAAGCCCGTAATTTTTTCGATCAAAATAATGTGTTTTTGAGTCGTAAAAACAGCCATAAAGGTAAGTTTTTACAGGCTGGCACGTTATGCTACAAATTACGGCTATCAAAATTTTGCGGCACAATCGCTTAAGCTTTAAAAAATAAGTACGCCACGCTCCAAATTACGACGCAAAAATGGGCCGCAATGGTTTGCTGACACAAAACTAGTAAAATTTGGAGGACATGAAGGAGGGGGGAAGAAGAGTCAGTTTATGGGGCCCATCCTCCGGGGGCCCAGCCCAGAAGCAAGCGAGGGGATCAATATATGGGCCCCTTGGTCCATGGAGGTCGTGGTGGTCAGGCAGGGGGTGGGCCCTTCTCAACCCCACTCCGCATTCCCTTCTATGGCCCGTAAATTCCATTATGAGGGCGCCAGTCTCGGCCCTCAGGGCCATTTATGGGCCATGGACACAACCACTGTGCCCACCCACTAATTGTGGGGCCATATGGAAATGCGGAAAAGCTCGCGGAAGCCGAGAAAAGCTGGAAAATGGCCTAATGAGGCGTATGTCCGGTTTAATTGACGAGGATCCAAATGTTTCTCTAGAGAAATGGCTTAAAGGCCCCGGCAAGCCGAAATTCGACCCAGCCTCGACAACTAGGTCTCGATAGATCACTAAAACTCATCATATTTTCTCTTGGCCATGTTTTTATGAGTCTTAACCCGAAATTCAAGCCGTTGCATGCGTTTTTTGGCGTGCCGCGTAGTTGTTTAACTCTAGAGGGTCGAATTTGTCGCTGCGCCGTCCCTTTAAAACGGGAAGGCTACGTCAAAAAGTAGCTATGAATCGGACATTGACAACCTTTCGCACGATCCTAAAGTATAATTGTCATGGGGATTGGCGTCGCTATGCTACGTGACGCGCCAGGTGACGCTTGAAAGGCATGATCACGTCGCGCTTTTGCGTATCCTAAAAGGACAACGACACCTCAGCGCTAATGAAAATTTGAGAAATTAGACTTCGGTAAAAGTGTAGGAAAGTAGCGTTGATTGGAAAGTGACCAAACGGAAAGGATTTGCTTGACACGCGCCGCACCGGGTCTTTAAAGGTTCATTGTTGCGTATTTCAACGCTCAAAAAACGCCACCAGCACCTCCTAAGAACAGGCATCTTACGACGAAACCTAAAACCTGAATCAAAAATAATACTTCGGCCCTAAGTCCATCAAAAACTTTCAAAACTCCAAAACCCCAAAAAGGCGTTAGGAGCGGCCGAGGCGATGGCCCACATGTGATAGGGGGCGGGGGAAAGAAGAAGGGCGATGACGTTGTGCCTTTGTCAGGCTCCTCTTTCACCCTCTCTATCTCTAGACTCTCTCCAAAGGCCACGAACACTATCCATTACTGGGAAAGGAGGGAGGGGGACGAGGAGGAGGAGGATCGGGATTCGATGTCCGAAAGGCCCAAAGGCCCCCTGGCCCCAACACTGGCCCTTTAGGGGGCTTCGTTTGGGAGAATACTGGAAGAGGACGGGGACATCGATTCTCCCGGAAGTGGAGGGGGAGAAGGAAGGGCAGGACAAAAAAAACAGACTCATTAAGCGCGGTAATTGTATCGAAACGTCAGCCTAAAAAGTGACTACCTTAGCTCGTTCCTTAGCATTTGGTAAGCCCAAATACAGCCATGGACGCCTCTCTCTCTCTCTCTCTCTCTCTCTCTCTCTCTCTCTCGTTCTCTCTCTCGCTCTCACTCTCTCGCGGCTCAATCTCAGACGTAGCGTCTGCCAAATTTGCGAAAGAATCAACACTTCAATCGTCTGGGTCGACAGCTAGGAGGTGTGTTAGCTCCTTTTAATGGTCGGAAAAAAGTTATAATCCTCATTCGTAGTTGTCTACACCTAATCGGGAATAGAGTCTATTTTCTCGCTTTCCAATCCCGTTAAACCAAGCTTTAGGTGTTACTCACTCCTCAAAGGCGGCGACATCGGGGTCGCGATATCCGCATACGGGTCGTCGGCAGGGGAGATTGGGTTCAGCGGGCTAAAACGAGAGTAGAAAGGTCAAAAATTTGTAGCCGACCTGCGGGCCGAGTTTTGGGTACGGCTGGCCGCCCGGAGTTGCAGATCGGACGGGCGTTCTTGTCTGAAAATTGTAGAGATCTTGGCGGGTTTTAAAGGGACGGGCAAGTCATAGATATGGCGTGGAAACCGCAACACGCGACGCACGCAAACGCGGCGCGCCGCGGTAGTAAGAGACAAGAGCGATACGGTCGTGTGTCGCGACACAATGTATCAGGAGAGGATAAAGGTATCCATAGCCGTAGAGGAATCGTAATTTATCACGTAATGGAAGCGCAAGCACGCACGTTAAAGGCGCGCAAATCCATAACTCTGCCTTGCCAGTCCCTTTAAAACGATCGTCCAAGTACCAAATCTCAAGCGAATGGCCACCAAATAGCATGCCACCTAACGAATAAACCAAAAAGTTATAGGACCACCAGCCCGGGGCCCTATACCCGAAAAGGCCAATTTGGCCGAGGGCAGTCTGACAGCGGGAAGCCATGGGCTCTCGAGGAGACCTCCTCCTCCTCCCCTCACTCAGCACCGCACGGCAATTTCCCGGACGGCCGGTGTGTTGGCCCCAAGGAGAGGACCCAAGGGCCCTCACTTGGGCCCCGGGTCCAACTTCTCATTTCCATACGCCGAGCGGCCAGATTTGGGGCTGGGCCCTCTAAGGTTGGGCCCTAAGAGATCGGATTTCTTGCGGGCCCATTAACGGGATCGTAGCCATAGGGGTTGCAAGTTTTTTTTGTTTGGAATAATTTTGGGGATACGGTGGCGGGATAAGGGGTACGGTAGTGGGGCTGCTTACAACGGAATTCTTTGTTTAAGACCTAAGCCAATCAAAGCCTAAGCTAAGCCTAAGCTAAGCCTAAGCCTAAGCCTAAGCCTAAGCCTAAGCCTAAGCTAAGCCTAAGCTAAGCTAAGCATAAGCTAAGAATCAGCTAAGCCCAGGCCTAAGCTAAGCCTAAGCTAAGCCTAAGCCTAAGCCCAAGCCTAAGCCTAAGCCTAAGCCTAAGCCTAAGCCTAAGCCCTAAGCCTAATAAGCCTAAGCCCAAGCCTAAGCCTAAGCCTAAGCCTAAGCCTAAGCCTAAGCCTAAGCCTAAGCCTAAGCCTAAGCCTAAGCCTAAGCCTAAGCCTAAGCCTAAGCCTAAGCCTAAGCCCTAAGCCTATAAGCCTAAGCCCAAGCCTAAGCCTAAGCCTAAGCTCCAAGCCTGCCTAAGCCTAAGCCTAAGCCTAAGCCTAAGCCTAAGCCTCAAGCCTAAGCCTAAGCCTAAGCCTAAGCCTAAGCCTAAGCCTAAGCCTAAGCCTAAGCCTAAGCCTAAGCCTAAGCCTAAGCCTAAGCCTAAGCCTAAGCCTAAGCCCAAGCCTAAGCCTAAGCCTAAGCCTAAGCCTAAGCCTAAGCCTAATAAGCCTAAGCCTAAGCCTAAGCCTAAGCCTAAGCCTAAGCCTAAGCCTAAGCCTAGGCCAAGCCTAAGCCAAGTCCAAGCCAAACCGAAGCAAAGCTTGACCTAAACCTACGCTAAGCCTAAGCGGCCTTTCTCTGCATCCAGAATAAGCTACCGTACCTCGAAGGCGCTCTCGGCGGATCGTTCTCCATATCCGAGTACCCGTTCGACGTCAGCTGGTAGTCGGACGGACGCGCGAATCTTGGCGCGGTCAGGAGCAGATCTATAAGGTTCATGCCTTGACATTCCCCTTAATATATACCATGGCTGTCCGAGGTGGGTAGATGCCGAATGGAGCAATCGTACTCGGGGTGGTAGTCGCCCATCATACGGCCGTACATCGAGACAGAAGTTGGGATGGTGCCTGGAAACGGAGAGATATCAAAAAATTCTGGATTTGAAGTAAGTTGTAAGTAGTAAGTTAAGGTAGCTGAAAGAACGGTATTTTTTGGCTGCCGTAATTTGAAGCTTAACTTGACCTTGTTTGCACGAAAAACCCGTAGAATCACGTTAAATTACCCTGAATCACAAAGTTGTAAAGTCAAGGGCGGATTTTAACAAATTGCGCAATTCGGCTACGGTATCACAACGTCTACCGTAAGTTTTCAATTATGCTACCGTAATCCTTAGGAATAGAAAAATCAGGAATTCAAGAATAGAAAGGACGTATCTTTTTTACAGATTACGCTTAACGTATAAGGTATCGTGACGTATGCTTTACTTTTTAATAAACTACAGTAATTCTTAGGTCTAGTAAAGGTCACATTTCAAGAAAATGACCCAAAATCCGCCAGAAATACCCCCATCCCGGGACTGCCATATCGATAAATTTCCGGCTCTTATATTAACCCCAAAAATAGCCACTCCCTTCCGCTTTTGTTACCCGCCGGCCCTGATTTATGGGGTCCCGGGGGCGAATGGCCCGCACCCTGGGACCCAATGAATTTTCGATGCCGTTAAGCCCAAAGGGCCCTGAAAATTCAAAAACAAACCGTAGTTAGTATCCTGGCGTACGTGCTCGAACTCGGGCCGTTTCGGCAGCCGGCGCCGCTGCTGATTATTCTGGGAATAGCCGTTGACATGGCGGAATCCCTCGGCTACGGTAGCTGAGCGCCGAATTTCAGGTTGGGGCCCAAGATGGTGGGGCGATTCTTCGGCGCCCATTTTCCAGATCTGCAATTGGGACGGGTTCGGAAATCGCTGGTCTAAGAGGGCTATGAAACTTCTGGGCGGATGTTGCAAATTTTTAGGTTTTTTTGTAGAATTAAGGGGGAAGGCGCAGGGGCGTACGAGGGGCAACAGGGCAAGTTGCCCCCCGACAAAAATTCGAGTTGCCCCCCCCAAAAAAATCGGGTTCGTGTACGCCCCTGGGAAGGCGACATGCAACTCCGCCTCGAAAAACTCGTGCTTAAGTAGGCGCTTTCGCATATGTGTAACCCTAACTAAGCCTAAGCCTAAGCCTAAGCTTGAGAAGTTTGAGCCGAAGCTGAAGCCTAAGACGAAGTCCAAGCCCGAGCCGAAGCCTAAGCTAAGCCTACGCCTAAGCCTAAGCAAGGAAAACTGCAACGAAAACGACTTGTTCATCTACCTGATATTGGCTGTTTCCGGAAGCCGTCCGGATCCACTGGGACCTCGAATCGAACGCACAACGCTCATCGGAATCCATGTGGGACTGGGAGGAGCCCTCGCCATACGGGCTTTCGTCGCCTGAAAATAAGTTTACATCTTAGTTATGACAATTTTAAGGCGGGATACGACCTATGTCCTGTTAAAAAAACTGGCAGAGATTTTTTTAATAATTTTTCCAAGTTTTAGAAAAATTCCGGACCCGAATATAACCCCTAAACCAATGCAATTCTTGAATTTTTGCTTCAATGCTTCCAAAAAGTCTTTCTATCCGAATATCAACACGCACCGCCCTCAAAGATCGTCTCCATCGCCCCAAAAAACGGGTAGGAGGGGACGCAAAATAGCGGCCAGAGGGCGAGAATTTGTAGCGGCTTTTAGAAGGGAGGGGATGTGCCCTCAGGGCTTTTAGCCCCCGCTACCACCACCACTGCCACTGCTTCTTCTTCTTTTCTTCTCTGTCTGCTCTGGGTGGGTGGGTTAATTGGCCGGAGGGCCAATTAATCGTGGGACTTTGTGGGGGACAACGGAATATCGCGGAAAATGGGTTTCGACGGCATTTTGGACGGTGGCTGGAATGGTTGGAATTAGGAGAGAGAGAGCGATGGATAAAGAGAGAGGGAGAGAGAGAGAGAGAGAAGGCGAGAGAGTGAGAGAGAGCGATGGATAAAGAGAGAGAGCGCGGTAGATAGGGAGAAATCAATGGGTACGAGAGAGCGAGGGAGAGGAGAGAGCGAGGGAGAGTGAGCGAGATAGAACGCGGGAAGACGAGAGAGCTAGCGTAAATAAGAAAGCTAAGCCGTGACGCTTAAAAAGCTAGACTAAAATTTCAAGCTTTCTAGGCCAGATAACCCATGCAATTCAACCCTTGGGCCCGAGAAAAACCCGGCGCCGCAACAAAATCCATCGAAAATTCGTGGGTAGCACCGTGAAATCGGAAAGCCCCCGACGACGACGCCGCCCCATCGGGGGGAACCGCTGAATTTTTCAGACTTTTTCTAGACACCGCCCTAGCTGCTGGCTGGCTGGCTGGCTGGGAGGGGATAAGCAATATGGGAAAGGTGTCGCTGTTTTTTTGGTGGTTGCCATTTGGGAACCGGGGAAGTGGAAGAGGAAAATGGAACGCCGGGGAAATTGTGGGAAACTAGAGTTGGGTCCGGTCGTTCGAATTCCAAGTAATATAGGGTTTTTGCCACGAGGATTCCTCTTAAAAAACCGCAAAAACAATCGATATTTTCAAACATGTGCGATTTTCGCAACCTTTTTTGGCCTTTATTTTCGATCCCCGAACCTGTCAGATTTCACTTGCCAGTCCCTTTAAAACGACGCTTTCGAAAACTCACGCTCATCCGGGTAGTTCGCCGCCAAATGCTCAAAAGCCGATCTCGAGTGAGGCATGGCGGTGTATGACCGGAGCTCCTGGTAGACGCTCCGAGACCTGAAAGGGCACGATGGAATTGAATAGGACGGTTGGGGTCTCCTAAAACCCATCAATAATTGATACCTGGGTATCCTGAACGCCGCCCCATTCATGTTCCACCCGACGCGCTCCCCTCGGTACAGCATCTCCTCCTCGGGCCACACTTCGGCCTGGAAATGGCCGGTTTTGAAGGGCCGGAAAAGGCAGGTTTGAATGTTTTTCTGGTTATGGATTGTCTATAGGATTTTGCGGCAACGCGACACAACGCATTTGTCGTGTTTTCGTGGCGTAATGGATTACGCCAAGTCTTGCCAGGCCCGTTAAAGCGTTATTAAGTTCAGAGCCTACTTGAGCTTGATGCTCCTCCTCGTCCTCACTGTCGCTAGGGTCTCCTCGTTGGCAACTGGGGGATACACAGCGGACTCGCGATTCGCCCTCAGAATCTGAAATATTTTCTGGTTACGGTAGTCTGACAATTTTTAGCGATCTGTACAGGACCAGGATCGCACGGGAGATAGACGATTACGCATTGCAATCCCAAGCGTACGCGTTGCGTATTGCGGCGCATTTCGCTGTGTGGCGAAGTTTGTTTATAATGCCTACCCGTATGTATATGATGTATATGGAGACTTCTCGAGATCGGGATCTTCTTCTTTCGCCCCACTTTCGGGGCTGGGCGGCCAAAGCAGGGGCTATCGGGGCGTGGAGGGCTCGGGCTGGGTGGTGGGGAACTGTCCGTTGATGGTAGTCGGATGGAGGCAGAACGGGCCGCTACAAAATACGGTAGAAGTTACGGTAGCCAAGGAAAATGGGCCAGTATACATTTTATTTAAAGGTATTTGCAAGTTGAAGGACGTCTGCAGGTCAAACTGTTGGAACCGGATAGACGTGCTTCCTTAATTCTTGAATAGGCGAAAAATTATTTGAAAGTGTTTATGCTTAAATTAAGATTTAACGAATATAAACTTGTTACGACCAAAGCTAGCTAACAAGGAGTCGTTTTTAGGTGATATTGGAGTTTTTGAGCGAGACCTAGCTAGTTCGATAGAGAAAAAAATTCTGAGCAAGATGTTGTTTTCCAAATCTGCTAACCGTGTATTGTATTCGATAAAAATGAATTTTAATGAAAAATTTCCGTGGCGCCACGCTGCCACGCTTGGATCACGCCCGGGACATAGGCCGCAATGCGAACCAGCATCCGCAGGAGATAGTGGCGTAGTGGTTAGTGCAGGCGCCTACCAAACTTTTGCAAATTTATGCTCGGAGTTCGGAACTTTTTTTGATTAGCTGTTTTGCTTTTTGGTTTTAAACGCAATTGAGGTCATATTTGGCATCACAGAGCAAAAAGCAAAAGAGTTTCAACTAGCTAGAGTCGAACCCGAAGGAAAAAAAGAAAACTTGTGAGGCAAGTGCACTACCAATATGCCACGCGATCGTGGTGGTTCAAGGGTCTGAAGGGGGCTATGTTCACGCGCACCAACAGCGCCAAAACTGCGGATCAGGTGAAAAATGATGGCGAAATTAATGATTTTCAAATTAATTTTTATCGAATACAATACACGGTTAGCAGATTTGGAAAACGACATCTTGCTCAGAATTTTTTTCTCTATCGAACTAGCTAGGTCTCGCTCAAAAACTCCAATATCACCTAAAAACGACTCCTTGTAAGCTAGCAGAAGCCATTGGCGAGCTCAAAAATTCAGGAACGAGAGATTTTTAAGCAAGTTAAATTTTGTAAAGTCTGATACTAAAAAAAAGTCGCCGCCTCGTCAATATGTGCAGCGTAGGTAGACACTACTCTAGACACGACTCAGCCCCCTGCGGGGAAGCAACCAGAAAATAGGATTCATTCGGAGGCGGATTGGCAGAGAAGAAGGAAAAAGGAAGGGAAAGAAGGCCACACACGCAAATACACGCACACACACCTCAATATCCAAAATTGGAACCCGGATCAAATTTGGGGGAAATAAGGGGACCAGGAGTGGTGATTAAAGGGACGTTGAAGTGGAGAATAATGGGTTCAAGTGTGGAAATGGTAAGTCAATTTGGAAATTAAATCTGGGAAAGCAAGATCTGAATAAAATTCGGGGTTTCAGGGAATTCCAGGCAAGGATGCGAGAGAGCAGAGGAGAGCGCGAGAGGGAAAGAGGGGGGGGAGTAGAGGGAGAGAGAGAGAAAGCGAGAGAGCAAAGTCTATTAAGCGAGAGATAGCAAGTGGGGTGAGCAACATCGAGAGGATGAGAGATGGCAAGAGAGCCAGAGTTAGTTAGTGAGCGAGGACGGGATCCGGAAAAAGGTAGGGAGAAACCAATATAAAAATTTTTTTCCAATGAATTTGCAGGTTAGTCGGATTTCCTATCGCATTCGGACTTCACTAGCCCTTTAAACCCGCCAAAAATAGTCATCCTGAACGGCTAGAACACAAAATGCAAATGCTTCCATCCCTCCGTTAGACCCATCGAATTCCAACGAATCCCCCATTTTTCGGGCTGTCCTCAAATTTCCGTAAATCGAACTCGCTGCGCGGCCCAGCGAGGCCCCCAGCTCCGGTCGTAACCCGAAATGGCGCCAATTCTGAGGGGAGGGCGAGGGCCTTTAATTTCGAGGAAAAGCCGGGAATAAAGTTGTTGATGTGTATTTTTAAAGGAGAGAGAGAGAGAGAGAGAGAGAGAGAGAGAGAGAGAAAGAGAGAGTAGAAAAACTCCCAGAAGCACCAAAAAATCTTTGGAAACCCACCCTGATCCGGACTATCAATCTGCGGATACGATCTGGCAAACACCGTCTCCGGTTTCCGCCCATACACCGTACGCCGCCGTTCGTAGCCCTCACTCGCTAAAAATGACCATCAAACATCGTAACCCTAAACTTACTATCACTATCCCCATCCACCAAAAATTCCGGGGCACTCCAGCAGTAGGCCGAGCCTTCGGGCGATGAGATGTCCTTAAAAATCCATCAATTTCGCAAGTTTTTGAATGTCAGTACCTGATCCTCAAGGAGAATATTTGCCGGGGAAGACCAGCAGGACATTTCAGCGGTTTGTTGAGGTTTATCCTGAAAATCTAGATCGTGAAGATTATGCCTAAACCTAAGGCCAAGCCTGACGCAAGCCCAAGCCCCCAAGCCTAAAAACCTATTTGGCGCTTTAAAAAATATTTTTCGATCGATAACTACAGAAATCCTGTATGGGGATGAGTGGTGTTTTGCCAAGTAGGCTATAGGAATGTCGAGGGGTCTCCCCGGCGATTCTTTTTCTTTTCTTGAACCGACGACGATCGGATTTGATGCCATAGTAACCAGGTGGGGGATGGAGGGATGCGGAAATTGCTGAATTTATCCCCGGATTTCTGGGTGGTCATTAGGAAATGAGGGATATTTCGAAAGCGAGAGAAAGAGAGAGAGAGAGTGAGAGAGTGAGTGAGAGAGAGAAAGCTAACCTTTAAACTATTTTTTCTGGCCTACCTCGACCGGAAGCGAAGAGTGGCTGCGTCGGGGTCGTTTCGGCTCGTCCGGCTCGGGCCATAATTTGTGTAGGGGCTCTGGAATTTCGAATTTAAGTTGAAAAATAATAACTTAATGCTTTTTCTAGGCTTCTGGGGCATAGAAAACTATTAAAACGTAGCTTACCATTAAACATTGCCACCGGAGCCTCCCTTTCCACGGTCAACGACTTGCTCACCGAGGCCAGCATTTTGTCGAGGTTTAGCTGGAATTCAAAAATGGATTTAAGGCATACGCTATTAAAAAACAGTTTAGAAGAGTGATAGAATAATTTGTGCCAACTCTAAGTCAGCCAAGCCAGGGCCGAAGCTAGGCCGAAGCCAAGTCTGAGCCAAGCCTAAGCCAAGCCTAATTCAAGCCTAAGCCAAGCCAAAGTCAGCCAAGCCAGGAATAAACCAAGTCTACGCCCAGCCTACGATAAGCCTAAGTCAGTTCTAAGCTAAGCCTAAGCTAAGCTAAACCTAAAATACGGCTAAGCGAAGCCTAAACTAAGCCTTATATAAGTTTAAACCCAAAGTATACCTGAAAATCCGTCCTATGGGCCCGGATTTTGGCTACAGCATCCGAGAAGCCGTACTCGGATTTCGTCTTCGTCATTCCGCTGAAAAAAAGCGTTTCCAAAGTCACGCCCCAAAATGTCGGTACCGTAATACGGCGTGAACGCGAAATTCGGGGTCCGAATCGGAGGTGTCGTCGTCATAGTCTGGGCGTGCGGCTCGTTGCAGGCCCGTGTGTGCAGAGCGACTCTATGAGGCGGAAGTTTCATTTTGATGATGAGGGCTTTGGAATATGCTAGTAAGTCAGATGGCTGGGTTTTTGTTGTTTGCAGGCTGCAACTGGTTTCGTGCTATATTATGCGAATCTGCACCTCTCATTTTTAAGATTTCAGAAGACAATTTCTGATTTCTTGTTTTTTCTTGCTCTTTCGCTCTACCACTAAGCCTACTTTAGCGATCCGATTGGCCCTAAATCGAGGGTCGTCCTCGTCGTCGTCACTGTCTTCTTCTGCGCTCATTTCATTAATGCGCCCGATCGGACGAGCCGATCCCATCTGGACGATCTGGAACTGGAAAACATCTCTCTCACTCTCGGTCTCAGGTTCTCTCACACTCTCTCTCTCCTCTCCCTCTCAATCTCGCCTCTGCTCATCGCCCCCCCCTTCTCTCTCTCCCTCTCTTTCTCTCTCTCCTTTCTCACTCACCATTTTCTCTCTTTCTCTCTCCCACTGTCTCACTCTCTCTCCCTCGCTTTCTCTCCCTCTTTCTTCCCTCTCTCTCCCGCTCTCCCTTTCTCTTTCTCTACCTCTCTCACCCTCTCACTCTCACCTGTTGCTCATCCTCACTATCCCCGGGCACATCGTGACTTCGACACTCGCCACAACTCATCTCGCGCGCCCCTCTCGTCTTCCCTGTAATTCGAGACGCCAAATTATGGAGATTCCGGGGGGCAGAGCACCGGCGCGTGAGGCTCACACCAAAAACAATGAATTGCAAATGGGGGGCTTCTCCCTGGGCAGCAGCGGGAGAGGGAGGGCTCAATTCAATGCACCTTTTCAGGGCGCGGACAAAATTCCCAAATATGAGAGGCCGGGGAGACGAATTATTACTTCCGGTTCGGGCTTTAAACGTTCAACGGGGACGGGCAAGGTAAGCAATAAATTTGCTATTCCGAAAAATTCCCGAAATTCCGCGAAATTTTACGGGGTTTTCAACTTTTTTAGTACAATCCTGGAACTCACGCAACAGGAAAAAACCCTCAGCCAACCTAACAAAAAATGAGGGAGACTTTCCGGAATGCCTTCTTCTCCCCCGGCCAAAAGCTGCCCTCGCCGGGGTATTAAACGGAAAAGAATGGCCTCCGCCGTCGGCTAGAGCCGGGTGGCAGGAGGCGAGCCACAACGTGCCCTCACGACTCCCAAATCCCCCTCGGAAATTGACGGGGTCCTGCAGCGAAGAAGACACACCCAGCTAACACCACCGACACCAAACACGAAAGCCAAATTGGCTGCCGCAATTGGTCATCGGAAGTGGTAAAGTATAAAATTCGAGGTTTTTTTTGGGTTGGTGACGTACGGCGAATTGGAGCGGAAATTTTAGGCGTGAAAATCGTGGGGTTTTAGAGTTCATTTCGCCAGCGAGTGGGAAAGGGGGGGGGGGGGGGGGGGGGAGAGGAGAGAGAGAGAGAGAGAGAGAGAGAGAAAGAGAGAGAAGGTGGGAGGGAGAGGGAAAGAACAACATCAAAATCTTAACAACTTCTTTCCCTGGGATTTCGCAAGCTGAAGCTTTTTTAGGTGGGTGTCTGACGCCTTCCGAATCCAATCCCGTGCTACGTCTGAAAGAGCTTTCAGATATCCATAAATGGCCCATCCGGTCCGGAGCTAATTTGCATAAAAGCGTTTTAGGATTCGCCTCAGAAAACCTCGGAAACCGGAAATCGGACGATGGCGAAATTGCCTGATAGTTTTCGGATTTGAAAATTGATGATTTTTGAGTAAATCGGGCCAGAACTCCGATGAAAATCGTAAAAATAATTTGATTTCTTTAAAAACTAGCTGCTGAAAATAGGCTGAAATTTAATAATTTATATCAAAGATCCGCCTTGGGAGGATACCAATAAAAAAAAGTAAAAATACATAATAAAACCAATAAATCCTCGAAAAACACGCCACTTGACACATCCACTTCAACGTTGCCGTGGGGAACAGAAGAAGCACGGCGCCGCCCCAGGCCGGAAAAGTTGGGCCGGAATGCGAAATGTGGATAGAACAAGGGTGGGAAGAAGCTGAAAAAAGGAAAAGCCAAAGGGGGAGAGGAAGGAAGGGGGGATGAGAGTGGATCGGGGATGGAGAGGGCCCACAGAGGCCCTGGTGGCCATTGGGCCCTAAAGGGATCGAGGAGGGGGAGGGGAGAAGGGCATCGATCCCCTCCCCTCCAAACACTAACCAAAAAAGGAGCGTCAGTGTCTACTCCCGATGGGATCGTTTCAAAAAAAAATGGTGGCAATGTTAAAGCCGTAGCCTAGCGTAATTGGTAGCCTAAATGGTCAGGACTCCCGTATCGTACGGACTCGTACCTAGCTTATTCTACCGTATCGTACTGTAGCGTAGCGTATCGTGTTGTTCCCTAAATTATGGTAGATACGGTAGCCTAGCGCTGCTTAGGATCGCACCGTAACTTGGTCGTAGTAGCGTAACGTCGTAGCGTAACGTACACGGGTAGCGAGCCCTAGCGTAGTTTCGTATCGGGCGCTTTTTTATCGTAACGTCGTGTTTCCTGACTACCGTAATCTACCGCAACGTCTTGTATCGTAACGTAAATTACGGTAGAATTGTACCGTAGCAAGCGTACTTGGTAGCGGGCCCTACCCTAGTTTACGTATCATCGCGTACTGCCTCATGGCCCCCGTACGCTACCGTAGCGTAACGTAGCGCCGTTTGGCGTAATGTAGTGTACTGAATCTTAGACATTGCGACAGAAATACTATCGTATCATTGCGTGCTGTTGCGTAGCGTTCCACAGTTTAGCGTATTATAGCGTACTGATTCGTAGCTCGGTATTCGACGCTTCCTATGTCAGACCAATTTATTGAAAAAGTATCTAAAAATCGATCAATTAATGCAATCGGTGCCATCGCCCACGAATCGCGAGGCCAAGTTGATTCGCCCAAGTCGAACGTTTTTTCGGCAACCTGGAGAACAACAAATTTCGAAAAAAACTTGGTGCTCACCTCTCCATCATTCACAAAATTCTTGGGGATCATGATCTCGACCTTGATGGGGCATTTTCCGTCATGTCCACATCGATGGTAGATGTTCAGCTTCGGGTCGATGATGGTCCACTCCTTTTCTTTGCCGGCAATCGTGAAGGTGCCATCGGTTCCTGTGAAGCCCTCCTTCATCAGGTCGTCGGTGTCGGGCACTAAGATGGTTTAGATAGGCTTACTAGGGAGGTATCTGAACTTGCCATCGAACCTTGGAAAGTCAGATACACCATTCGACGCGCCTTGATGAGAGGATTCCAAATATGTAATAAAATCAACGGGAGCGCATAACGGTAAAAAGTTATGAGCATTTTAATTTTTACGCTGAGACGGGCCGCTGCGATATTAGCCCCTCCCAGCGCAGCCTTCCCATCGGTCCCGTGGCCTAGTGGTGTGCGCAAAGGTCGCTGAGTTTTACGACCAGGGTTCGGACCTAGTCACGATTCTTATTTTTTGCTTTTTGCCCAGCTCCTACTGTTTACATTTCCGAATTCGGGAATAAGTTTTTCTTGACTCTGTGTCTCATAAAAAGCTCAAGCGATGATAAAATAACTTCGGGGAAAAAAATCCAGGATTGGAAGTTCTCTAACTCCAAGTTGACAAAATCGTTAAAACCACCCTTTTAAGACTATGCACGAATTCAAAGAATGTAATTTGTCAAAAATAAAACAGTACATCTTGATCAGCAGAACATTCCCTTTCGAATGAGCTATCTTACATGCGCTTTAAGTCAAATTCTCGAAACGTCTTCGCCAGAATCACCCTACCCTACCCTTACACCGCATTCCGAAAAATTTTCTAAGAATTTTTTGGCAGCCGTATGTAATATAGCTCATTTGAAAGAGCTTTCTTTGTTGAACCAGAAGCGCTAATCAGCTTAGACTAAATTCCATTCCGCGGGATGATACGGGGTCTCAAAGATGGTGTTTTTCGTCATTTGGAGAACTTTGAACCCTCATAACTTTTTACCGTTATGCGCTCCCGTTGTTTTTATTACATATTTGGAATTCTCTCATCAAGGCGCGTCGAATGGTGTATCTGACTTCCCAAGGTTCGATGGCAAGTTCAGATACCTCCCTAGTTAGGCTGAGGGTGCCGTTTGAGACTTATGCTTAGGCTTAGGCTTAGGTTCAGGCTTAGGCCCGACTTAGTCATATGTTTAAGCTTCGGTCTGGCTTAGGATCCGCTTAGGCTTGTGCTTGGGTTTTGGCTTAGGTTTTGGCTTAGGTTTAGGCTTAAGCTTAGACTTTTTGCTTAGACTTAAGCTTATCGTTAGGTTTCGGCTTTGGCTTCGCTCATGCAAATTTCCTTTAAAACTCACAGCTATCCACATCATACAGCTTGAGCCGGATGTTGGCCGCCGGCTCGCCGTTGCAAGTCAGTCTCCCCTTGATGGAAGCGGCTTGCCACTAGAAATATCGATAAAAATAGGAGTACGCTATAATACCCTGGACAACGGGTTGGAGATGATGCCGGAGAGGAGGCCTGGGGTGGCCAAGGCGACGGCCAGGAGGCTGGCGAAGACGATCGACTTCATTGTGAGATCTGGAGGTTGGGGGAATGGATTGATATTTATATGGGTGGCAAGCGACAGGGAGAGAGAGAGAGAGGGGGGAGAGAGAGAAAGCTATCGTGAAAATGCGTCATTTCCGAGTTGTTGATGGATCGCTTGATGAATCATTGGTTATTTTGGGTAAGTTACTATTGTTTCTTGAATCAATACAGGTTATAGAGCTCTTTAGAAGCCAAATGAATCAATTATCGGGACTGGGAAACACTTTAACTATGACAAGAGACATATTTACACCTCTAAAAAATAGGAAACCCTCCGAAATGCAAGCTTACGACTTGTTTTTTTATATAAAAGCAACAGTTAACCAAAGCTGGTCAAGTCGACTTAGCTGGCTTCATTTCTATAAACTTGTAAAGCCCAAAAATCCGCTCAATAACTGTAAAGCGAGCTACAAGCGCAAGTGCGCCCCTAGCCACCCGATAATATCCCTAGTTTTTCCGCATTCACTCCCGTCGAGAGATGCCTTTTTTGTCGGAAAAGGCCGTATCCCCCGGGTCGGAAAAGCGATAGTTCGGATACACACACACACAAAAAGAAAAGTCAGTCAGCGAGGAAATCTCTTCCCAAAATCGCACCCCGCCCATCGACCAACAGAGCGATTATCGGTGGGCTGAATTGTTGAATGTATGGCTATGGATGGGCAATTATCCCCATAGAGGTCGTACGGATGGTTAAACGGTCCGTGGTGGATTTAGATCAAGAGTACAAGGAATCAAGGGAGTTATAATCCCCAGAAAAAGTGAGTGGAAATGTTGAGAATCTAAACATAGTTTTATTGAAACAGAAAGAAAAGAGATAGGAAAAAGGAAAAAAGACGCGTCTTTCGAAAAGCTGTTTATTTTTTGTGTGATTTTGCACTCACCAGACATTTTTCATCAAGTTGTCTAACAAAAACTTGTTTTCTAAGATTTATTTTTGTTAGATTTTGATACTTAATGACCGAATTTGAGCTAGCGAACTCCCGTTAAGCTAAAAACGCTTATTTTACTAAAGTTTTTTAAGCTTTTTTTTTACTATTTTCTAAGCTTTTCGTAATTCGGGCTATAAATCAAGCGCTATAATTAAAAAACGCTTATTTCCTTACTATAGTTATTCATTAACAATTTTTCCAATTTTTCATTTGACATATGACAAGCGCCATGTTCATGGTTATCATACGTGCTTGCGCATTGTTAAAGCTGAATATTTGCCGAAGGTCTAAACTCTCGTTGCATAGCAAGCACTAACAGCGCCGGTGGACGCATAATTAGGCTCCTCCAATACCTACTGAATTTCCTAAATTCACACTGTTCACGTACTTTGGATTGTTCCGCACTTTTACCATGTACCAAGCCCTTCCTTTCTTCGCGCAAAACCGGGGGTAATATCGTAAATTTGGGGACGTATTGGCCGAACGACTTCGGAGAAGTTCCAAGCGTGTTCTTGATTAACACTGTCGATAGGATTTTACGGAGCTCCGAAGCTAATAAATAACAAGTTATTCTCTGGAATTTAGCTTGTTTTCTTTACTTTGTTTTGGCGAAAGTTGAGGCTTTACGCTTCGATTTTTCGTAATATCCAACCTTTTTAGTAGCTGAAAAAATTTCGAGAGCTTACGAGCAAAAGTGACGCTGTTTTTCAACCCCGGTAGAATTTTCAAAGCTTATTCGAGACTCAATACCCTCAAAAAATTTTCCACTCGACATGCCTGAATGGCCATATGACGCCTAGGTGTCAATTTGAATGACAGCCAAATTGTTGCCATAGCCCTCAAAAAGCTAGTCATCCACCACCATCTACCCACCCCTATTCATCCATCCATCAATACATAATGATATGCGAACACGTCCTCCTCAACCCTCCATCCCTTATCACCCCAACCAACCATTGTCTCGCATAATCGCCTCCGCCGCTAGCTCGACGATATTATTGCTCGCCCTAGGCACGTCGATCATTTCCGAGCCCCCGGGCTAATTTATTGCTTTCGTGATAGTCTTGCAGCGTTTTAAAGGTGCTTTTTCATTATCCTGGGGGGCAGGGACCTTGTTCATGCGAATCTTTTTATCTCGACGCAAATTTCGAATTTTTAAACATTCTCCTAAGTTTTTAGCTAGCTTTTGGCTCGAAATATGGATAAATTTTATTAACCGTAAGAGTAAAGAATTTTCTAAGGTTTTTAGATAGTTTTACGGCTAAAAATAAGGAAAAGTAGATCTACGAACAAATTACACATTTTAAAAATTGTTTGGCTTTTTAGATTTTCCCCCCGAAGCTGGAACAAGCACCTTTTCGTCTTTATCAAGCTGTTATTTTCCTGATTTTGATGACGCATGGTCAATGTTTGCACAATTTTTGCATGAGTAACCAAGGTGGGCAGCGCTCAAGCTGATCGAATTCGTCTGAAAGATAGCCTAAAATGGCTTTAACATCTTTATTACTACTAATTGATCTTATCTGTAGCCTTTTAAAGCCTTTTGCAAATTCCAAAAGATTCCCCATTTTTTTGCAAGTCTTTCGGTCTTTGCAATCGATTGGAATAATTAAAAATTAATTAATCCAATACAGCTACCTGGCGGATTCCCTCAATTTCCTCACGAAACTACGAAACTCCTCGCCCCCAACTACCTAAAACTGATAAGCATCTCCTTTTTGGTGTAACGATCCCCGGGTTGAGTCACCATTGCTTTGGGACACAATCCCCCCAGGTTTTCCCTTGCCGTCTGCGTCTCTATTTGTCCACCCCTGGGGCCAGGTGCTCTCCCGCAGTCTCGTGGTGGGGTATTCGCTTTCGCACCAATTTCACCCGGGCCTCGACGAACATACCACACCCAAGCTTCTGCCTCTCGCAACGATACGACTATGAAAAATTTGTTGAAATTTAATTAAAGTTTGGTACTTCGCAAATTCGTTACTTTCCAGTGTCGATTGGATTCCCGTGTAGCCATGCGTAATGCATTTTTCGACGAATTTTTATGTCGATTCTTCGATCTTTTAATCCTTTTCTTTTTTTATTTTGGGAAAATAAAAAGAAGTCATAGTTTTCTCATTTCACGATGTGATTGATATTATTACTCCTCTATCTGTCTTTATAGCAATAGGCATATTTTCTATACCAGATTTTTTAGGTTTATGGGGGCCAAAGGTCCACCCTTTCGCCAAAAGCACCTCCCCCTCGAAGGTTATGAAGTTCACCGGAAGCATAAGCAGGTAAAGCTTTACGCTCAGCTCTGATTGTATCAATTTTCAGCTCCGCGATGACGGGTGCTTCGAGCGATTGCCGTACGCCTCGCTTATGGCCACCATTTTGTGCCTTGTCGGTTAGTTTTCAAGTACTCTCCTCTAGAAATTAATCTATTAGGCATCGTCCTCTTCACGATCATGATGAAATGGGGCTTCGCAGCCCTTTTCGAGCAGCTCCAACGAGTACTGAAGGCGGACAAGTGGAATTGGCTCGATAAGGTAAAAAGGAGGCATGGAAAGCAAAAACTCGATTCTTCTCCAGGTTCAAATTTTCTTCGTCATCACCGCCGTCGTTATGGGCATCTGCACGTTCTTTTTCGCCGTCGCTGGATTTTTCTCAACGGGCGGGACGCGTGATGTTTTGTTCAGGTACGCTGAAAAGCTACGGCCAATCAGCTTGATGATTTAGGGATCCAAAATCGCGGCGCGGCGGTAGATGCACATGTGTTTTCATCATCATTCTCTGCTATGTTCTATTGGCATTTTGGCTCACGGCACTTGCCTTCACATCGGCTATCGTCGCTTCTTATCACGTATTTGGTAGGTGCTAGTAGAACATATAGTAAAAAATTCTAAATAACTACAAACAAAATCTCACGCTGAACCACCAATTTCCAGAAAGCCTTTGTTACTCGATGCACGAATACACGGAAATGGAATGCCTTGACTTTTCCGTCTACCGCCCACTTTTCGAATCGTTCAGCCACGCTGTAAGCTTTTACCAGCTGATTGTAAGCGCCACCAATTTTTTTAGTCCCTAAAATTCTGTGCGGGCGATGTGCAGCAATTTTGTGCGCTGTCGCAGACGGCCTATGCTTGGTTTTGGGTAGGTTTCCAGGCCAAGTAGCCAAAACTAATTCCTGGTTTCAGGTTGGCTGGGCCGGCGCGGTGCTGATAATTTACGGGCTGGTGCAATTTATTGCCGCGCACTCGGCCAACTACTCGCATATTGGGAATGCTTGGAAGTGGGTTTGTTCCTGAGCTAGTAACTAGTGATTCCCTTAGAAAGAAAGATTTATTTTATAGAAAGAAACGAGGCTTCTTTGCAATAACATAAAAATGATCGTACTGTTTTCATACGGGTTTTTCTAGATACGTGGAGCTTCATGAATGTCTTTCCGAAGCCGTTCCTCCGCCACTCCCTGCTTCACTTCCACCCCCGCCGCCAATGTATTCGAATGGATCTTCGACGACGAGATCCCGGGATAAATACGAGCGATATCGTGAGTCCAAACCTAGCCAAAAAAACATCATAATATCTTTAGCTGAAGAGCCAAGGAGCTCAAGGAGAGCACAAAAGAACCCCGCAGCGGATCGAGACAGGTAGACATTAACAATAAAAATAAAAACACCCTAAACTCTACAGATACACCTCCCACATGTCCGCTTCTTCCACCCAAATGGCCGTCAACCACTCCGACTCGGTCAGCCAGTACCAATATCGAGGACGGGGAAAGCATTATTAAATTTGAACTCCTTAGACCTCATTCGTGCCAAAAATTTGACATTCTCAGGATCGCTAGTGTGATACGTTAGATTCTTCATATTGTACATGACCCTCAACCCCAGGGAAGCATAACCCAAATGTCCTTCACTTATCTGCATCTTCCAGTTTTCACTTTTTGACTTCATTTGGCTGTGATTGTTCGCAATGATATGTGCATATTTTGAATTGATAAATATTGACCGAAAAAGATGTTCTCTCGATTTTTTGGTTACTCAATGAAACCATTTGATTTCGAAAGGTTTTAGGTTGCAGAATTTTGTTAGTTTATCAGGCTTTTAAAAAATGTTAGTTTTCGTGTTTTTTTTTATTTTAAAGCATTCATGGAGTTTATCTTCAAGTTTTGGTAGGGTTTTTGGTTACTAGTTATAGGGTTTGGGACTCTATAGAGTAGTTTTTATTTCGTTTTTCCACAGAACAATGCAGCTGTTTGATTCATTTGAAAAGTTTTTCTTTGTCCGTTTTGCTAGAGAAATATTATACTTTTTTCGATGAGGAACCCGTCGTCGATTTTCCATTTTTTTAAGATATTTTATAAACCATTTTTCATTTTTCAGGGCTCACTGCATGCCGAAGGGTGTCGAAGCGCAAACGCCCGATATCGCCTCGCCGACCACCGTACAACACGACGTGTCGGCTATCACCAACAACCTCAACGCCGTTGTCCAGCTACTCGGATCAACAGTAATTCATTTCTCTTTTATAAAACGTTTTCTTTAGGCATCCCCATCAGATTGCACGCTCGGCGACTCCCTGGAGCGTGCCGCCGTCTTTTGCGCCGAGCTTCACACGTTGAGCAAGCTTGTGTCTACCGACTTGAAAGCTTGTCGCACCGCTAAGGTAGTTATAAAATTTTACTTTCGTAGTGGACGGCTTTTTTGGAAGTCATTTTTCAATTTGTGTTGCATAGGGTCACGTTTTTTTAGAAAACCAAATTTTGGAAAAAATTGCAGTGCTATTTCTTGCCCCTTTTATCCGGTTTCTATTGATTATCCTACACAAATTTTTCACAAAAATAACCTCAATATTATTCCAAAATTTTTACTGAAATTTCCCTATTTAGGAATCCATCGATAAAAGCGCCGACTCCGTTGAGCAACTCTTTGACAAAATCGATCGTGTGGTTGAATTCGTCAACCTCGTAATTCTTTGCCTGCTTTTTAAAATGTAGTTTTTAGAAGAAAACTGAGCTCACCCGTCTCGAGAATTTGTGCAGCCACTTGGAACGCGCCCAGCAAGATGCCAAACCGTAAGCAGGACGTCGTCGACATTGGTGGGAGGACGTCCTTTTCAACTAAAATTGATTTAGACCTGGCGTCTTCTGATGACGAGGCTCCGGCCGAGATTACGTCCAAGGTAGCGCTCATATCCCTTTTGTTTACATTTTTAGGGACCGGACATTACGCTTGCCGAGGACAAAAAGGAGGAGCTGTCGCTCTACGAGCAGGTGCTTTTTAGGGCTTATTTATTGGATTTTGTTTTTTATGAATTCGGGATTTTTCGACATAGTCATCCAGGTTTTAGTGCTATTTTTCAGGTGCAACTACGCAAGAACAAGGAAAAGTCAAAACGCGAGAAGCGCCAACGAGAGAATGATCGTCGTGTCAAGAAAGTGGATGCTGAAGAATACGAGATACGTATGAAGTAGGGCTTTTCAAGCTTTTATTCTAACTAGGTTTTACGGAAGAACTAAAGATACATATTTTTTAGGAAAGCCTCGTTCAAGGTGGTGACCAACAAGAAGGGCGTCGACAACATTCTGCGCAAACAGCCCAATTTTCGTGCCGAGCTGCTGGCGGCCAGGACGCAGAGCCAGCGTAGAAGTACGCTTTTTCCTTTTTGGCAGATATATATTTATCTAGGTGTGACTACGGCCCGTTCGATTGCCTCGGCAGCCAAGAAGCCTCGGAAGTGAACAGTAACCAATTCTCGTTTTTATATTGTTTTACAATGACTTGTTACGCTTTATTGTTATTGTTAGATTTCTTGCCATAAACTGTACGACGAAGCGTCAGAAAGTCGGAAGTTGATTCAAAAGATATTTCATGGTTCTGGTTCGTGATCGGGGGTGGCTAAATTTTTTTGTTTCCTTGGACGTCGAACAACGAAAAATATGCTGTTTTTTGCATAGATTCACGAAGCTTCTTGACATTTTTTGGTCTGAAATGCATAAAAAAGGATCAAAAAATTTCAAAATTAGACTTTTAAAAACTTTTAGCATTTTTCTACCAATCAATCTACTAAAACTACAATAAACAAGTATTTTATTACCAGGTGGAAGGGCAAACCCCCCCCCTCCCCGTTATGAGAGAAGCACCAAGTCTTTTTAGGCATGCCATTTTCAAAGAATTTTTTATGAAAATCTGATCTCCCGATGCTCAGCCAGGATCACCCCGCCAGAGGGCCCATTTCAGTCTGCTCCAGCTGCAAAAAATATCGGAATCCAGGCCCGCGTCTTAATGGGCTCGGATCCGTTTCCGGTGGCCGCGGCGGCAGGGTGGCGGTTTTGGCCCTGGTTGGTCCCCCTGGCAACCCTGTAGGGGCTCAACGGCCGAGCGTTGTCGCCCCTCTGAAATCGGGCCAAAAGAACTCTGGCGGGCCTCAAGGGACCCGGTTGGCCGACTGTGGGCCCTCCTAATAGAGCCCCCCTAATCGACGCCCTCGCCTGCCTCGAGGGTTTGACGCGATGACGCATTGGGGAAATTGATTGATTAGATGTTTTTAATTTTTGTCGTTCCAAGACTGTACCATTGACGCCTTGTACTTGTAGGTGTTTTCTAAGGAATTTGTACGCTTTGCCAGCTCGGTTCCTTGGCCTTATCGGGGGGAGGGGCTAATTTTTTAGGGCGAAAAATAACATAAGAGTAACTGTTTTTGTAGTGTGATAAAATTTAACTATATTTCAAAGGAAACAAAGCTATTTAAAAAACTTTGCAATAATACAATTTTTGACGGAACAATCGATATTTTTGTTATTAAATTGTAAGGTTTCTCATGTTTAAAATTTAGGATTACTAAATAAACTATAGAACTACTTCCTCTATTTATATTACAAAAATTCGACGCTTAGAAAATTGCAAGAAATTACTGGTGTCATTTCCCGATCTGGCACAGCTTCCCCCCGGGGAATTTTTCATTAATACTTGCTCCCTGGGGAATCTCGGTACATTAATCCGGAAAAGTGGCTTCTTAAATAATTAAGAATTGAATTCATTGACCGCTCATACGTATGATTTTTTTACGAGATCGTAAAGATAGGAAAATGGGGTTTTTAGGCTAATTTTCGCAAATGTCAATTTTGTGTATTGCTGCTCCGCACAGGCCATCAAAAAGGGGGGGGGGGGGGGGGGGGGGAAATTTTCTTTGGGGTTGTTTCGTGTCCTAGGGTAGCTTTGGAATCGCCTTTTTTGTTGTACGATGGGGGATTCAGACTCTGGCGAGAAAAAAAGCTTCTATATTCGCTTTAATAAAAAACCATTTTAGCTGACTTTTTAACGTAAAAACGGGCTAAAAACCCGCACATTTATGTCTTTTTGAGACTAGAGTAGAGATCAAGACTCCCGAAAAAAACCCGCTGCTTTGCAGCCCTTTTTCCGCGAACCACCCCCCAATAATCCCAGGCCTTCACATAAAAAAGACGTGTAAAAGGGGGTGGGTGGGCTTTGAGCCGGACACCTATAACGACTTCCCGTCGACGGGCACCACCCGGTCGTCCAGGGCCCAGCCCAGGGGCCCACAGAGGGCCCAAGGGCACCTCCCCGACCGAGGCGCGTTCTGATTTCCAGCCCAATCCATCCATTCTCGGGTTTTCTCTGCTTTTTTGTGGGGCCTCCCTCGTATACATTTCATCGCCTCCCCCGCGCACCGACACCTAGACCCCCATATTATCCTCGCTATTTCCAGAATTCGGGGGGCCTGGGCCTGGCCAAAGTGGCCACGCCGCCCGCTCCAAATCGTTGGATCTTTGACGGGCATGCGAGTCTAGACATTGGTCCACTATGAGCATTTTTAAAGAAATGGACCCTTCTCGTATTCTTTTTTCCTGAAAAAGCGCGAAAAACTATGGGTGAGGTTGAATTCCAAATCACTTTGTTTTTGATGATGACCCTTTAATTTTTTTCGTTAATTTCTTTCAAATTCAAAGGAACTTAACGCTTAAGCCTTCGGCCAATTAAAAAAATGGCCGAAAGCTAGGGGATAATTTTTGTAACAATTTCGCGATAATTTTGTTGAAACCAAACGCGAAAATTTTTTACCGCCACCCGAATCATACGAAAATGGTCGTTTTCGTGTTAAAAAAGCGGGCAAACGGATATATATTGTTGTTTTTATGATTTAGCATTAATTTTTATATAAATCCGGGGTTGAAAACCCTCCCGCCTCCCCCTCCCTCCCCCATTTTATCTCTCTCACTTTCGTAGTGCTTACCCCCCCCCCTTGCATAATTGTTCTGACAAAGAAGAAAAAAAAAAAAACCTACCCCTTTAAATGGCCACTTCCGTTGCTAATTTCCAAAAAAGGGGGTTTTCACAAAACTTAAATTTATGTCGAAAATAGGGTTTTATATATGCGTGCAGTCATCCGGCCATACCGAAACATACATCAATTCCTATCGAGATACCTCCGGCAGCAGCGGAAGTGGTGAAAGGGCCCACGCACACACACGCACTTTTTTTATATATAGTAGGATTACGAGTCTAATGAATTTTATATATTCCTCGGGAGCTGTAAAACATATCCAAAAATCGTTATATCCAAGCCAGGTGTCTGCTCGCCGGGCCCCCCATTTGCCATTGTGCGGCTTCTAATTGACTCTATTCCCATCTTTGGCCGGCGGTTTTTTCCCGATGGTTCTGTACTATGAACGCCCGGATTTGCGGGCCAATTTCGGCTAGTCGCTCGCAAATCAGAGATGAATCCCGGATACGGGTGACGTGTGAGATAAAAAACTAATTTTCTCTCACTAACTTCTTTAGAGATCTTTCAGACATCTTATTTTATGTTATTGGCCCTTTCCGCGGTTGACAAGGTGTCGACACCCGGAAAATCACCTTGAATTGAGTGCATTTCACCACCCCGTTTTTTGGGTGGAACGGGCCGTTTGCTGCTGTTTTGTGGGGTGGATTTTGAAGGGTAAAAGGCCAACCCAAGGGGCTTTTCCTGTTTTGTGCTACGGGCCGGCCGTTTCTTCCTTATTGGGCGCGTTGAAGCGAGAATTTTTTGGTGGGCCGGAACGAGACGCGGCGCTTAGGGTTTTATTAAAGGTAGTTCTAGTTTTTCGGATCTGGTTTTTTAACGGAGGGGGGGGGGAACAAATTTTGTTCTGTGTCCCTGAGGCGCCATTTAAATATAGTCTAAGCTAAGCGATTTACGTTGTTTTATAGATAATGTTTTCACCCAGAATTTCGCTTTTCGGTCAAAAATGTATGAAAACTTGTCAAAATTGAGAATTTTTAATTTTTAAGGCTTTTCTCATCACTTTTTGGTAATAGAAAATTTGTAAAACCTTACAAAAATCGTTTATCTTGAGTGGTATGGCGCTTAGAATAGATAAAGGAAGCTACCCCCCCCGCTAACGAAACAGTACCACCTTTTTAAAAGCTCCCAAAGCTGAAAATCCCAAAATCATTGTTGCCACCAGTTAATAATATAAATCCTATCCGCCCCCTTTACCTCTCCCCTCTTCCAGTACAAATTTTTCCAATTTTCGGCCAAATACCGCGAAAATGCGCACACCCGGGGCAGACCAATCGAATCCCCCCCAAACAGCCCGAGAAGCACAGCAGCTAATATACACCTTGAAAAAGGCAAGATGGAAAATGAGTGGCCGAATGGCAGAACAATTACCGGGGAAACCCCCCGGTCGACAGCAGCACACCAACTATCGACACCGCCTTCGAGCAGGTGTCTGTCACTGCGCCCGCTAAGCAATTTCACGCTTTTTCGACCTTATATTTTGGAAGGCTGTATTTTGTTGTGTTTCGCGTTTACTCATTCTCAGTCTCATTTTTCATCGGCATAAACTCTTCTAAAATTTTAAGTCAATTTTAAAGACCTCGTTTGTTATTTTCTCCTTCTCGTTTTCATTTTTATTTTTGCTTTTAAGATGGATCGATTCGGATGCCATTAAAGAAACTGGCAAGGCAATAGGACCTATTCTTTATGGATTTCCCCGCGACACGCAACGCGCGCACGCGTTATTCCAGTTCGTAACGGATAACGGTCCTTCGGCAGGCGCAAAGCCTACCACGTGCGTTGCGTGTCGCGGGCGCGAAATATCGTTTTTGGAATCAGGGATTGACCAAAAATTTCCATGCCTTGTTCCTTCCTTTAAAAAACGTTCGTATTTCGTTCTTTTTTCACATAGAAAACTAACAGTTTTAAAACGAGGGCACCGGAAACCAAAAATGTTCAAAATAAATTTAATAGAAACTATTTTTCATTGAAAAATACCTTTTTTTGTTGCTCCTAATTGCCCCCGTTTCAAGCCGCCCCTCCATTATTTTTTGCTGACAACGATTCTTGGCCCCGGCGGCTGCGCGGGCCCACTACAAATGTGTGAGACGGGGCCGGCCAAACTGCGCACGCCTCGGGAAAACACGGAAATGCGCCTGCTTTTTCAAAGTGCAAATTGCCAATGAGTCTAATCTTGGCCTAAATGTTTTATCCTTTTATCGTTTATCAATCCCTATGGATTTTTCCAAGCCGCTACACGCAACGCGCCTAAAAATCGTCAGAATTACCGCCTAGGTAGGCTGCGTTTCGAGTGCGTTGCGTGTTGCGTGCGAAAAATTCTTGGTTCTGTCCCCCCCCCCCCCTTTAATGCACTTCCCGAATCGAAAACCAACTTTTGAGGGGATCAGCCCGGGATACTTGTACATATCAACTTTTGAGACGGATTATAGGGCCATCCCTAGTGTCTAGATACCAGAATGGGCCTAGGATAAGCCCCTCTTCTACCTCCTCATCCATCCATCCACTCCGGAAATTCCCCGTGCAAACAGCCATGGGCATTGATCGGATATAGATGGGGATTTTGGGGACTGGGCCAGTTGTTGGAGTTTTCTGTTCAACGTTTGGTAATGTTTTTAATAGGATTTAACCCTTTTTCAAGTGAAAAACTATCAAAAAATTGCAATAATTTCAAATTTTGTATAAGATCGGTCCGTTTTGTAGAAGAAACTGATTTTTTAAGAAAAAATGGTTCGAGCCTTTACATTACATTACTTTTAGCAATAGTAAAAACGGTCTAGAAATAGTTTTTCTATTTATATTAGAAAAATTCGATCAGCGGGAAAAATTTCGTGCTCCCCCGATAATGCAAAAGCACCCGAAAATCCATACTTTTTTGAGCTTTCGTATGCTCATTCTCCTTTTTCCTCGAGTTGACGCTCAAAAGTACCTCCCAATTTCCAGAATCGCCTCCACGACGCGCCCACGCAAAAGAGGACGTCTACGGGTTCCTGTTTGTAGAAGACGGGCTATGGTTGTCGCCGTGGCCACGACGATATCCCGGATCGAATGAGCCTCAGCTCGGCCACACCGCCCACGCCAACAGCCCTTGCACCGCCCGGTGAACGGCTCTCCATCGTTCGTGCGTTTTTTTTGCCAGATTTGAGTTGCTAGTTACCAAGTTGCCAGTGGCCGTTTAAGCTCGATATATAGAATTTTTATCATGATTTTCGTAGGATTTAACTATATTTTAAGCATAAACTCTTTTCAAAAATGTGGAAAACTCGAAAAATCCTGAATTTGGATCATTTAGGCGCACAAAAAAATGTCTCAAAGTATTTATGGGTAAGGTCCAGATTTAAGGGTCAGATTCTGTTTTGGCTGATGCATTTGTCATTTTTTTTTTTTTTTTTTTTTATTAAAAATTTAATAAAGAAAAAAAAAAAAAAAAAAAAAAAAAAAAAAAAAAAAAAAAAAAAGAGAAAAAAAAAAAAAAAAAAGATATTTTCATTGAAAATTCATGGGGGGTTTTGTTGGTGAGAAACCCCACGCCGAAACAATGGGGTTTTCCGCCGCGAAAATGAACTACAAAAACTTGCGGTAATACGACCTAAATTCCAGAAATCGAGCACTATGCCCACGACTGGGACACGTCGGCCGAGACGGACAAGCTGTTCCAGGATGATGCCGTCTGGATCATCACCTCATCCTTCATCATCTTCACCATGCACTCTGGTGAGTAGATTTTTTACGTGTTTAAAATTTAAACAAACTTTAAACTTTTTAAATTAATTTAATTTTAAACTTTTTAGACTTTAAATTCGAGGTCGCTCCTTTTTTGAAAAAGCCGGAAAATACGACTTTTCGAAACTTCCACTCTTTTCAGGCTTCGGCCTGCTCGAGTCTGGCAGTGTCTCGGCCAAGGACGAGGTCAACATCATGGTCAAGGTAAGTTTAAACACCGTAGACTACAAATTACACATCCGCCCCTGCTTTAGAACGTTGTTGACGTGGTGTTCGGCGGTGTCTCGTACTGGGCCATCGGCTTTGGCTTGTCTTTTGGCGACTACGAGCCGTTCCGGAACTCGATTGTTGGATTTGGGAAATTTTTTTACGATCCCTCGAGGTTTGTCGTTTTTTTTTTTGGCGAATTATCATTTTTTAGGACTGAAACGTCGGTAAATGTGGAGGGCTGGGCGTATGCGTCGTTTCTTTTTCAACTTTCATTAGCAACGACGGCTTCTACGATAGTATCAGGTCGGAATTTTTAGTTTTCTGCGATCAATTAATTAGATGTTATGCATATGACATTTATAAATAGCAATTGATAGAAGTTGCCGCTTTTTATTGCCCTTATTTAATATTTTTTCAGGCGCCGTCGCAGAACGAGCAAAATTGAAGTCCTACATCTTGTTAGGGTGTCTCGTAATTATAATTCAGGTATGGATTTTTAGTCTTTATGGTCCTTTTATCTATGGCTTTTTTATTTTACACTAGCTCTAAAATTTTCGTTTTCTTAGGCCCTACCCGCCCACTGGATCTGGGACTCAAAAGGGATATTCTTCAAGCTCGGCGTCATCGATTTTGCCGGGTGCTCAGCGGTCGGTTTTTAAGGCTTTTTAGAAACGCCTAAGAAGTTTAAAGAACTTATGAATAACTCTAACTTTCAGGTCCACATGGTCGGTGGTGTAATCGGGTTGATGGCCACCCTCTACCTGAAGCCGCGCCGAAATCGATTCTCAGAAGATGCCGTCTCGCAGATGAGCAGCCCGACCAACGCTTTATTAGGTAGAAAAAGGCTCTTTTTCTTGAATAAACACTTTACAGGTACTTTTTTACTTTGGTGGGGCTGGTTCGGGATCAACGCCGGATCGGTTTGGGGCATCACAAATGGGAGATGGCGATTAGGGGCCAGGTTCGTCGTGTCAATAGGTGTATTGAGGAAGCAAAAAATACAAAGGACTTACTTTTCTAAAATGTTCCAAGATATTTTTGTGCTAAATTAAGTTCAAAATAATTAAAATTACAGCACCCCATATTCAGATCGGCCGTGGCAACGATCATGGCCTCAATCGGCGGCGGTTCCACCTCGATCATGATCAGTTTTGCAAAAACGAAAAAGTTGCAAGTAAACTTTCTGATCAACGGCATCCTGTCGAGCATCGTGTCAATTACGGCGATGTGTGCCGTGGCGAGGCCATGGCATGCCCTTTTCATTGGCTCCATTTCGTCGGCATTTTCCATTCTCATCCTGCCGGTGCTTGATAGGTCAGTTTGCCTCGCAGAATTTTATGCGTTTTTTACACTCGAAAAAATTATGATTGTATTTCAATCAGTTTTAGGCTTCACATCGACGATCCGGTTGGGATTGTTCCAATTCATCTTACATCGTCGATATGGGGAATGTTGGCTGTCGGGATTTTTGCCGAGCAAGATCGATTTTTGGTGGGTTATGTAAAAATGGATTTTCCCTTGGTCTTCCTCGCTCCCTTAATAGCTTCAAATCTTCGAGCTTTCGGCATTTTTTGCTTTTTTAGTTGGTTTTGATAGCTGATGAACTTTTAACGTTTTTCATCTGGTTTTCTAGCCTCTTTAGTTTCCTAAAATAACCCAGATATCTTTCAGCAATCCACCTCCAACCAAGCCGGACTCCTCTACGGCGGTGGTTTCCATCTACTGGGCATCCAGCTGCTCTGCACCGTTGTAGTGGTCGTCTACAGCGCAACCACCGGGCTCCTCGCGCTATGGGCAAGTTTTTATCCGATTTTTTTATATTTTTTTTTCGTTTAGCTAATCGACAAATCCCCGCTTGGGCTTCGGGTCACTGATTACGAGGAGCAGATCGGCGCTGACGTGATCGAGCACGGGCTCGCTGGCACGAATATCGCCCGTTATGTCGTCGAGAAGCCGCTCAGCACAAAGTTCGTTGCTAACTTTTCTTTGGGCCTTCGGGTTTGTCTCGAGTTTTTCCTATAAGTCCAGAAAGGTAGCAAGTGTTTTGGTAGTGTTTTTAGCAAAATGTCACTATCCTGGGAGTGGAAAAATATCCAAAATTCTGTAAAAAAAATCACAAATTTTGTGCGTGAATCGGCAATTTTTTTTTGCCTACAATCAATGCTTTTGTGTTTTCAATCAAAATTTCTGAAATTTTTACATTTAGCTATAGTAAAGCAAGATCAGAAACCCTTCCCTTATTTATATTAGGAACAATGGACCGTAACGAAAAAATTGACCCGCCACCGATAATTCAAAAGCACTAGCTTTTACATACTTTAAATTTCTATGTCATATCCGCTTTTAAAAAGCACAGCCCCGGTCGAATGACGCGAATACTTTGGTCCCGGAAATTCCGAGAAAAATCCCCCTTTTATTCACCCAAAAAAAGTGGAGGTGTAGCCCGCAACAAGAGCGAGGCCAATTTGCAAGAAGCGAATTTTTCTGCTCCCCGGTCCGTTCCCCCGGATGAATGCACCCGGAACTCTGGGCTTTACGTCTCGCTGCCCTTCGAGGGAACCCCAAAAATTGGATTCTCAAAAAAAAGAAAACTGAAATCAAGGACGAAGGTAAAAGTAAAATAACATTAAAAATAAAGGAAAAGAAACTAATAAACTCAATATTTAGAACATTCCTTTCCGTGACGAAAGCCGTCGCAAAGTGGAAGATGCTGACCAAGCAAAAGAATAAGGAAAAACGAAAAGCCGCCTTTCTACAGAAGAAAGAAGACGGATTGCGGCAACGTGCGTGGCTTGTATTTTAAATTTACTTTTATTTTCCAGGGATTGTTAATGGCCATGGTCCACGGGTGGCTCCGCTTCAACGGGGCAGCAGTTTGCAGCTGAACAATTTGCCGAAACCGGCGAAGAGTGGGTTTTTTGGCGCTTTTTCGATTTTGTGTATTTTACTGGTTCGCCATGAACAGGATATGTAAAATTTTGGTTCTTTGATTTTCCAAAGATGATTTTTTCGGGGAATTCCTAATTTTCTTTATTTTTTGGTAAACTTTAACCAGATTTCAGGTCGAGAAACTATCTAGAAAACTTAGAAAAATGCTTGACAATTTAATATGTAGTAAAAAATCGGCCATTTTTGGTCGAAAAATACACGTGTGGTGAGGATGAATTGCAGTTCGGAATCCGATAGGATCACTCTTTTTTCCAGTAATTCACAACGGAAAACCGCGACAAAGCCGCTCTCAAAACAACTCACCACGCGATGCGACGACCCCAATGCCGACACCGCGCGGGACGCCTGGGCAACCGACGATCGAGGAGGAAGAGCCGCAACAAGGAACATCATTCGATAACGCGCAGCCACCAATGCATAAGGTAAGTAAGGTGACGATAGAGCTTTAATCTGACCTTTAAAGATATTCAAAATATGTGGTCAAATTAGCTACCAATTTCCAAAAAATATACGATAACTGATGCATCTTGGATCCTTCAATAATCTATCTTCTATCTATCTCCTTCAGAACTCGCATATCTCGATCCCGATGGAGCCACAGGTGGACTCGGGCCTCGGGACGGAAGGCGCCGAATCACCCACCCATCCCAACGATGAAGATGGTGTCCAGACCGGTGATGAGCCGCTGTCAGATGATGCTGGCCCGCCAACCCCTTCACCCAGGAATCGGCCACCACCAGCTGGGTAGGTTCAACAAATAACCATCCGTAGAAAGCAAACCATAAAATAGCCTAAAAATAAAAGGCACATCGTGCTGTCGATAGGACTGTCATTCACCCAAAGCTACGGAAAATACCCTAAAATTCCAGCCCACCCCGAAACCGCCCAGCCACCGTCACGTCGGTTCGACCCCGGTTTTCCGCTTCTCTCTTCAGAAGGGCCCCGCTACCGCGTCCGATCTCACCGCCAGATGAGGTACGTCGAAACGAGGTTCTTTCACGTTATGGGGGGGAGCGGGATTTTTCCTATTAGGAGAAATGTCTTATAGCGTAATTGCCATTATTTGAATAGTGTTTTGATCAATTTAACGACAATTCAAGCGTAAAAACTACCTAGATTTTGGTCAAAAATGATTTTTTTTTGTATCGGAAATAGTAAAAAACGTTTTAGAAACACTTCATCAATTTAGATTTGAAAAATTGCCCACCCCCGACAATGCAAAAGCTCTCGGAAAATATATAATGTCATTTTCCACAAATTTTTTAGGTCATCATCGAGACGTCCGGCCGTTCCAGCACCCATTCGACGGCCCGCTACGTTCGCAACAATAAAGTGGCACCCCCTTAGCCCCCTAAATCTTGATTTCCATTTTCCCCCGCCTATTCTCGCGGTGCTTTTCAGGTCGTCCTTCCGCTTTTTCCGGCCGGGAGCTGGAGAGTTCTGGAAATCATCGAACTCACATTTTCTACGACAAAACTCCCAGTCTCGGCTTTTTCCTTCTGCCCCATTCCGTTACGGGAGGCTTGCCTCGATCGAATCCACACGTGTCTTTTAGCATTTCGCTCCGCGCTCGATGTGTATCACGTCCTTTTTGTCTATTTTTATATTTAGCTATCGACAAATGGCTCTTGTTGCGGGTATCACAAAGTGCCTTCCCGGGTTTCGCCATAGAATATTATCATTATTATTGCGATTAATTTTATTTTTATTAAGCTTCTGGCGTTCATTACCGACTCAAGATGGTGTCTGTACGATAAAGATGGAGATTCAGACTTCGGAAAATAGATGCAAGCTAGCCTAAATGATGCCGCAGGCTTAGGGAGAAAGTTGGCTTCAAAAGTTTGCGCCACTGACTCGGAAACGAAGCTAGCCCCCCAAGCTTGCGTCGCAGGCTTACAAATGAAGTTAGCCGGTCAAGCTTGCGCAACAATTTCAAAGCGTACAGTCACAAAAAATGCCGCAAAAATATGAACGCAAGTTTTTTTGCACCCAAATTACAATCCTACCATCGAATAGCCCGGGTCCGATGGTGGAAATCCCCCATTTCCGACAATTTCCAGTCACCGAAGCATGAAATTTTGGGTTCTGCTCGTCCTTGCCACATTTTTGGGGGTACGGGTTTTTTTAACGTCTTTGTGAACTTTTACCTAGCCGCTTTTGCCTCACCGCTGAAATGTGTCTACGACGAGGGCGCGGAGCTCCAAATGACGGTCCATTTGATCGGGGAAGCAGAGCGGCTATCGGAATATCCGGTCGAGTCGAAATTTGCCCACTTTCCGGTTGTCTACGGAAATTTGACGGCTATTATTAGTCAGGTAGGGATTATTTTTATGCTTAAAATTAGCTTTTAAAAGCGTTTATCTGAAGGAATAGTTTTAAGCTTTAAAGTATATCGTGAAGTTGCA